AAAAAAAAAAAAAAAAACCATAACTCGTAGACAGCGTGCCAATCAGACACAGAGAGACCCACCCAACCCAACAATGAACGCCAGACTCTGCCGATTCAGGGAAACAGAAAGAGATGCAAATTTAATGGAAAGTGATAATCATGCAAACCACAAGTTCCTTACAGCTGCTTGATGATCTTCTCAATGCTCTCGAGGAGGATATCAGCTGCAGAGACGTTAGCATCGGTTCGACACATTTAAGGTTAGGGTAGAAATTTGACTTACCATGGTGCTGCTGGAAGATCAGCATGGGCCTGAGGCGAACGGCGTTGACTCCGCTTCCACCAATGTTGACACCAACGCCCTTGGCCTTGCCGAGGAATTCATCACGCTTGGGGGTATCCCAGGCAATGAAGGTTCCCTGGCCCTTACCACGGAGGTTCTGCAGGTGCTCGGGGTACTTCTCAGCAAGGCGCTGGAGACCAGAATAGAGGTAGTCACCAGTCTGGGCGGTGTGCTCGACGAGGTTTAGGCGCTCGATCTCCTCAATGATACCACGGAAGATGAGGGCACGAGCGGGGTCACCCATCCAGGTGTTGAACTGACGGTAAGGCTTGTTGGGACGCAGGGCAGGGTTGCCGTAGTAGTAACCAGCGGTCTGGGCCTTCTTCGAGAAGGTCACCATGTCGGGAGGGGTCTCGAGGTTCCAGTGGTCGTGGGCCCAGAACTTGCCAGTGGCACCAACTCCAGTCTGCACCTCATCGACGATGAAAAGAACGTTGTTACGCTTAGTGATCTCGCGCAGACCACGGAAGAAGGCAGGAGAGGCGTGGTTGTCTCCACCCTCAGACTGAATGGGCTCGACCACGACGGCGGCGACAGGGTTGTGCCATTCCTTGATCAAACGCTCTGTCTCCTGGAGGCAGCGCTGTTCCTCCTGGGCGTTCTCCTGGGCATGCTCCTCAAGCGGGTACTTGAGGGAGGGGAAAGGTGCCTGGGGCCAGTCGAAGGCAGGGATGTCGAGCTTGTGGATGGGCTTACTGCGGGTGGTAGACAAACTGCCAAAGAGACGACCGTGGAAACCAGACTTGAAGGACATGATCGACAGCTGGGGAGAGCCTGGAGCCTGGTTCGTCATGGTAGTCTTCAACTCCTCCTCAGTGAACTCCTTCTCGGGACCTCCACGCTGCAACTGACGGTAGTACATGAAAGCGGCTTTGTAGGCAGTCTCGTTGGCGTCAGATCCCGCCATGGCGGTGAAGACCTGGTTCAGGCCCTTGGGGGCAACCTTGAGGATGCCGGTGTTCAGGATGTCAGCCCAGTCAGCAGAGGGGAAGTTGCCCAGGGCTGGTCGGTTGATCAAAGAGGTAATCATCTCGGGCGATTGAGCGACTTTGGTGAGATGGGGGTTGTTGTAGCCAACAGGGATAGAAGCAATCTGAGCGTATCTAGTGACGGACATCAGCGATAAGGTAGGCAATACGAAGGAGATGGCATTAACATAGAACTTACACATCCAGGAGGACATTTCCATCCAGATCAGCAATACTAGCACATTGTTAGCCATTGTCACAGCAAGCATGCGTTACCGCGAAGCAAGTGACATACTAGTTACCAATAGACTTGGAATAATCAGTGAGCATGTTCAAGCTTCGCACGTCAAAGACCTTGTCCAGTTCGGCCGTGGCAGCCTTGTTCTTAGGGCCCGGGATGGCGGTGGCCAACTTAGGAGCAGCGGGCTCATCAGCGAAGAAGGGCTTCGCCGCTGCGCGAAAATGCGGGGTGGTGCTGATGGTGCGGGCAGTTGGCATGCGCGTCACCGAGCGCATTCTGAGGCTGGAGCGAGCAATGGAGGCCATTATGATTGATTTATTGTGAGAGATGAGGGTATACAGAGGCGTGGCGATTCTCCCGCTGCGTGGGTTGGGGGAGAAGAAGTACTCCTGGCAGCAGATGTGGGGAGACGGTGATAAGGTAGATAAGAGCTCTATCGCTTTGATCACAGCTCAACCAAGCTCGAGTCACAAGGCAATTGAATCCGCCAGGGGTATAATTTGGAAATTGAGTAGAATACAAAGGAACAAGGAGAATTGCGGCGCCCAGCGAGTCTTATATCACCAAAAATTCTAGGTCTTCTGCGGAATGCCGGCGACTTTGGAGCTCTCTGTTGAGCTGCCCCGCGGCCTGGGGGGGAGCTATCGTCGGCGATTTGGACCAATCAGGGTGTGTTCCACCACCGCCGTCGGCGATAAAAGCGACGTAAGGACACAGAGGGAAACGCTCTGGCTAATCATCTCTGGCCAAATATTTGTCCCAATGAAGAAGGTCTTCGCCGGAATCTATTGCAAATAATCTTAGTCAAAGATTCTAACCATCAATTGTTGTTTGTCACTAATATAGGGAGTGTGTCAATTTCCTCTCGAATTGGAGCTCCATCATTTTTTAGTCTTCCCCACCGATAAGCCGATAAGACGTCACGTTTACACGTTTATCAGTCGTCGGGGTGTGCGATAAAGACTGGTAGTCGCGTGTGACTACTGAAGATCTACCAAGTATAATACATATTCCCGGTTTAGGATCTCGAGTCAACTACTATAAGATCATCGGTGCTACATACTGAGTACATACTAATCTCATCTAAAGGCACCGTCCCAGAAGCTTTTATACCGGAAGTCATGCAGAAGATGGCTGAAGTGGTCGACGACAAAGATGACAATCATCTGTTGAATACTCTCAGATTTGTTGAGACCATCGCGGACTGGTCTCACGTCCGTGGCTTTAATGTGTACCTCCCTGCCCAAAAAGCTATCGAGAATTCAGTACAACAATTCCCAATCATTAGACACGATGAATACCCCAGAAACACCAGTGGGCGACGCCGACGCGCTCGCGCAACTGACCACGCTGGTAACGAGCCTCGCAAACACTGTTCAAACCCTGGCTGAAGCGCAATCTGCTTCCCACGCCCAGATAGCGAACAGCTTATGAAACTGGTGCAGTCACTTGAAGCTCAGATTAGCACCCCAGCTATCCCTAAAGCCCAGGAACTACCCAGTGACTACGGAATTGCCTGGCCTGTTACAGTAATGTCTTTTAGAGTTCAAACTGAATCTCAACCATACAATTTGTGGCGAACTCAATTCTATGTTCAACATTTCTGTTGATCTTTTCTGGCAGAACCAGCAGAGTCCCACAAAGCGGGGGTCAAGCAACAGAAGAAAAGGGGGGGGGGGGGGGAATAAACTAGAGAGGAGAAACGGCAGGCTCGCAAAGCTGGACATCTATCTCTGCATTTGAGCCGACGTTATTCTTTTAGGGGAGTTCAGTTTTCTACGGAAATTGAGTGTTGATTATGGGAACGAAACAAGGTAATTAGAATCGAGTCGAGTGGAAGGGAATTTTATTCTGCATGGAAATAGATTGAATTATTCTTTGATAATACCCGGTCTGGTTTTCATGATCTAAATCACCCAGATACTACCATGTCCCTTGCAGTTATAGACAACATCATCGCCCAATCCCGTTACGCGGACCTCCCAGCAATCTATCCCCTTAGAAGAATCGGAAACACCTCAAACATTTCCACCCACGAGACCCCCATAATCTCTTCCAAGAGCGTCAGTTGCTTTGTAGCCAATATCCCAAGATGAAAGGTTGAATTTCATAGGTATCCGCCAGCTGACCAAAGCAAGAAAAGACAGACTGTTATAGAACGTTGTCCAAGGGTTAGTTCTAACCTATTCTGATAATGAATCAACAGGCAGCCATACATACCTAGCCATCTATTTATGTTTCAAGACAGCATAGCTGTACATGCCATCGAGATTGCTGCAACTTGCTCCGGCGCCCGGATTGTAATATTCTCCATCACAGTTGTTCCCTTTCCAGAAAATAATTCCATATGGTTCCCCCTGGGGATTATAGTCGGCAGACCAATAATTGTGCTCGAGCTTTTGGTAGCGAAGTGGTCTGCCCCTCGTCTCCTACTGAACCAGGGTGCCAGCCACGACATCCGTGGCTAGCATAGAACTTGACGAGTCAAGCGTTGGTAAGGGGAGCAGAGGCGAGAAGAATAATACTTAGAGAAGAATGAAGCTTCATGGTGGTTTAACATACAATGAACTTGGGTCTGGATGTAGAAACGATGAATTTGGGAGTAGAAGTAGAGGCCTCTTTGGGGAAGATTACGATCACTTTATATCTTGCGGCTGGACTACATCTTCCAACTCTTGTACTTTCATTGGACTCATAGAAAGTGTTGGATAATCATCTCTGGGTGGCAGTGTACCCTGTAATTTTAGTGGGTCCTCTGTGGTATCATTGGGCGCGTCCTGTACCCGGATGCAGGATTATAGTAAGTAGAGTAATGAATAATAAGATTGGTGTCCAACATTGAGATATGTTTATTAATGTTATTCAGATCTCAACGTAGAGCTTCCTCTCATTGCCGTTCGAGATTAAATAGGGCGAGTTTCTATCATGCTGAACCCGATGTCACCTGCCCCCATGGCCAGTCCCACGCAGAACGGCCACCTGACAAAAGCCAGGATCCATTGCTTCCTACAAACAGTCCGAATCACTAGTTAGAGTGGCATAAATCTAGTCTAAGTGGCCTAGCTAACTATAGAGGCACATGTTCCTTGCTTCACCCGACCGAAACCCACCTCAAGTCTGTTTGGACTAGGGGAGTGTGGCAGTGTGATGCAACTCTACAACACTTTGTAAACATTTCTAAACTTCGATTGGTTTGAAATCTGGACCCCTATACTTACAGTTACCTAACAGCTTCTTATAGACGCTCAGAGCCGCAGAGTACCTATAAGAATAGTGGGTCATATACTTTCGGATCCCAACTGTAAGCTCTGATTAGGCCAATATCGTTCCACCAGGGTTGCTGGGCGCTTCTGAGATAGAAGTAGTATGTTATGTCCCTAAAGAGCGATTTTCAATGTTAGTTATTTGTGTCTGTTAGCGGGCAGCCTCGCATTGACAAGTAATCACTTCTGAATCTGGGTCTCATTGATCACTTCACTCGGATGGCAGTACTAGGCTTAATTAATTTCCACCTCTGTTCTAACAATTCATCTTCGAACTGACATTCCTGTTATCCCTTGCTTTGGGCTTTACACATTCGACACTGTACATACTCAGTCGGAGATCAATGATTAGAATATGATTCACTATATATCCTGTCCCAGCTATATAAATTCGCTGAGCATACTCCAAGATACTCTTGGAACCCCCTAGAGAACCACAATCCTTTCAGCCTTCACAGCCTCAGCATTCAGTACAAGTACATATATGGTAAACAACGACACAGGAAATTTCCCTATACCCCCGTTCTACCCTCTTCTCAAAACCACTACCCGGACGTTAATTAAAAGACCAAGCTAGCCCAGTTCCACCTAACCAGTGGACGCATGGGGTGGGGCACGTTATTAGAGACTGTGTCCTATCTTCTGAGTATCTAACCTAGCCTTTATTATAAACCATCAGTCAGTGTTAAAGAATTGTATCAACGTGACCTACTAATGGTTACCTGCTACCACCGTTCCCCTCTCCCTCTGGGACTCAGACAGATCGGGTTTTAGGCATTGAAACACTTTTTTGTCGAAGATCGTTCACTCTTACAGTAAATTGAGAAATGTAAGAAAAGTTTACACCCTCCATCAAGCAAGAGTAGGTGAGCAGATTTGAGTAGGGGGCCTAAAAATCAAACTAAACCCTTCCTCCCTAAAGGTGGAACACGATCGTGCGCTTTCCTGGTGACTCTATCCAATTAGTACCATGTGGCAGGCGTTCGATGTGTAAAAGTAAATGTAACCTTCGTAGCAGTGAAGTTAGCCTTAGATCCAATAAAATTTATCTATAGCGAGTGACCCACTCAGTATTATCAAGACCGGTACAGTCTAATGGTCTGCCCTATAAGCCTCATAAGTGGGGCATTACCAATTCATGAAGCCCGTTGATCATTATGAGATCAAAAAGACGGTCAGATATAATCGTGGTGCGACGGAGATTGTCCGAATAGATTATTTCTAGGAGCCTCATTTCAACTTGCTATCTTATGTCGGACTTAGTGTATGCTTTAGACATCTCAGCCGTTGTGGTCTTCGGTCTCCCTAACTGGTATGAGGCCCTAAAGAATGATATCAGATCCTATACATCCCATAGGCCCTGGACTCGGTACCTTATTCTATAATATAAAGTACTGTATATCCAGGACAGACATGAACTCCTTTCCTTTGCCACACCTTAACAGTGGTTAAGAAAAGGCACACACTCTCCTTGAAGACAGTACAACGTTAGTTATGGATGTCAGTTGCAAAAGGTAATTGCTAACACAGCATAGGACACAACGAAACGATCCTATATCGGCTACTATGGGAACCACTACATAAAGTACAATAAGTTCGACACCTATCTACGAGGTAATGATGTAAAGCAGTATTACTGTAAACGCTTCCCCTACAGATATGAAGTCGGCCAATATAATATCATTTGTCACAGAGACACTATAATGAGCTCGCAGAATATTGCTAGCAAGTTCCGACTCGACGGAAAGCAAACCTCGGCGGCTGACCTAGCCTTGAGTAGGATATATCGAGCAACCCAGCAAATATTAGTTATCCAGAACCTAGACACATTTACCCACAGCTTGAGTACTAGTTAATAATCCTCGGAGGGGTTGAGCAAATAACCGATTGAGTTAGCCTCAGCCTCGTAGTAACTGTCGCTCAAACCAAGATAATCCTCAAATGACCCGTTATATCCCTCACCCGACAAGTACTGATGCTGGCCAGATGAGTATTCTATATCAAGGGAATTATCTTCATCCCATCTACTGGTTTGGTCTCTTGATGTCAACCCAGCACTCGCAGATGTATCGGACCAAACACCTGGATTTATTCCCAAGAGACGAGCGTTAAATCTTTCGTCATGCGCTGTAAACGCAGGCAGAATGATGGCCTCGTACCAATCATCCACCTCAACAAGCTCGTCCCATTCCCAATGTCCAACAACCTCTTCTTCTTCAACCACCCAGAGGCAGAGGTATTCATCTTGATAGTCTTGATAGGTCGTACCGTGTGGGTCTCTTACCCCGTAGTAATGCAATTCACTAGCCGCACTGAGAAGGTATCGACCGTGGGCCGCTCGGACCCTTGGATTGATAACCGTAAGCATCTGAGAGCCTCTCTTCCTGGCCCTTGTTAGGGCAAGTCTCCGTGCAACCCCTGCGCAGGTGGTGAATGAGATGTACGGTGTTGGTGTCTGGTTGTTGTCATGGGCGTGGATGGCTAACGATAATGCCCGGGCCTCGAAAGTATCTAGTAGTTGACATGGACATCTTGAATACATGCAGTTTGTTGATGTTGGCTGGACGGCCGAGTGGACATCCCAGGTTCTGAGGAGTGGCTGATTTAGGACTACGTGAGATGCCTGATACCATGGATGGATTTCTTCCTCTGTGGGTGCTGGGAAATATTCCAGAGGAATGTTCTGTGTCAGAATGGATTCTTGTGCCATTATGCTGGATGCACAGTATCTAGTTGCTATATGAGTCGGTTATTTGGTGGTTAGTATTGTGCGTTGCGTGTATGCTGGAGGAAGTTGGGTAGGCACTCTCCACCTGTAATTCTGACAGGAAAAATCTTTTCTCTGTGACCCATCTCTTTGCAGATCTTTCATAAATCAAGGCATGTCATGGTAATCATGACGACTTCTGCTGATGCGTATCTTTAGTAAGGGTAACCCATGTGCATGGCTGCGACTAGAAGGTGCATATTGGGCGATGGTGACAGGTAAACTGCTTTCTTTACAAGACTTGTCAGTCAGAATAAAGGAAGGATAGTAGAGCTTAGATTGGCGATAATGATGCTTGTAACTCCTGCTGGGGCGCCCCAGCGTGAAGTCAAACTTCAAAAATTGCCCTACCATGACGTTGTCAGGGCTATGGTAACAGGGAACTCGCCCGCCACGGTAGTGTGAGATCATTCACATAGGATGCTCTTTTCACCACGTTAATACTAGGGACTGCTGCTGATTCTAATTTATAATGTGTATGACTGGTCGACTACTGACGGTTCACACACAGGCCGATCTACATCTCGTAGGTTGGAGAAGCCGGCCGTCACAGATGAGTGCCACCATAATACCAATTATTATCGAGTGATATACAGGTGTAGTTATGGCTGTTATTGTCAAAATCGGATGGTTGATGTACAAAAGATATGCACCGGATAGATTAGCCTGAATCACACCGGAAGTCTAGAACGTAAGTAGGCTTGGACTTGGGTAACCACCGAAGAGCAATACTCGATTGTAGCCGTTTATAATACCCCTTTCCTTAACAATTGAGCGACGATAGCAAATGTGACAAAGCTGTTTCGCAGGTAATTTGCCTCTAAGCTTATTTTGGCGAAACCTGATAATGACGAACAGACACATCCGCGGTGCTTATTCGGGATTGGCATGGAAAGGCTTCAATGATGGTGTGTTTACCGAGTTCAAAGATAGCACCGAGTTACCTAAGGTGGTATATTCGCATGATACGGTGACTGGTCGCAGCTGAGACAATTAATAAATGTACCTAGTACGGCAATCAGCGAAGGAAACTTAAGGAGCCCATTGTTCAGACTGTCAGGTAAACTATGAATTTTAGTACTTCTGTCAGCTCTTGGCCACACCCTGAAAAAGCGAAGATACCTTGTTTAGTCTTCTCATCTGCTCCACTGACTCGCGTGCTGTCTTTCTGAATTGGCTAAGACCCTAATCTAATGTGTGGATCTCTGTACCTTTCCATATTAGTTAGCAAGCTGAACGTAACCCAGAGAGAGGCACCTATGTTTAGAGCAATTCACCGAAAAAAGAAAGAGGAGTAAAAAGTACGTACTCCAGAGATAGGACAGGCTTAAGTACGATTTGGAAGGTTGGTAGTAATAGCAGGGGTTAGTAGTAGACCCCATAATCGCACATAAGTATCAGGTTACTAGTATCCAGCTAACCTCTAAGAGCACAGAAAAAGGGAGATCAACCAGCGGCGCAGCTGCAGCTGCAACTGCTAGTAACACGCATGGCTTAGTGCTCAGTAGAAGCAATTCCAAGATGATGACGAGACACTAGCACATTGCTAGTAGTATACAATTGTTATGAATAGCGACAGGGATACTACTACAATCATGACATCCCACAACGATCATATCCCTTAACAATAACGATATATCAGATACCAGCAACTTCCCACCATTATGGGGGGTTATTAGGCTAATAGGCCTCTTGGTACTCCAGGCCCTACCAAGATCTGCGCGAGGTCCCTACTAACCTGATACATCTCCACCCATCGCCAGTCATCACCATTAGGGCTTCGTATTCCACGGAGATTGCCGGCCGACGGAGACCGGAAATATTAGTCTACCATGATTCGCCAACAACGGCCGAGGCTGCTTCCTGGATTCTGGGCGGACAGGGATCTATACGACTAGATATGCACGTAATTTAAGTAGCCAGCGTAGTGTATGGACCTACATCCATCCTTAATCTTTTAGTAATAATACTGACGTGTTAAATAGAAATCATGCCACATCGGCGTCGACTATCAACGGATTTATTTCGGAAATGTGGAGATGGTGGGGATGGCGGGATTTAATTCAAAAGGGCTTTGTGGTGGGGCCTCCTTGTGTGCTGTTGCGTAGGGAGGGTGGAAGTATACAGTGCTCGGGTATAATTCTTTAATTCTCATTCTCATTCTCATTCTTTTTTTATTTGCATGGTCCTATCGAACAATTGTAGTGTATCGTATGTATTAATACATGTAGTTTTCCAAATGTACAAGAAGTCAATGTAAGGTGTGGCGGAAAAGGTTATGAGAAACGTGTGGTTTCGTAAAGAGAGAGTTCGAGCTCAAGGATCGTAAAATTAGCAGTCAATGCTTATTGGGACATGATAATGGTATGAAAGGTTGAAGGAATGTCATAGGGAATGTTTGTCTTTGAATGGCGAACTGGTTTGCCGGGTAAGAGATGCGGAAGACTTCTCGCTGCCAGGCGACGTGTATACCGCACTGTCATACTTAAGATCGAAATCTTGGTTGGGCGTTGTGACACGAGCATGATTGGATGGCATGCTATGATCATTACCGGTCGGATCGCTTGGGTTCCGGGATTCGGTCCAAGTCTCCATCTCAACCGTCCGGTAGACCTCAAATCGTTCCAGCTGGCTGTCAGAATGAGGATGATGCGATCGGCCCCTGGAGGGTTTGGTGGAGTGCCTAGACGGGTTGACCGACGACCATAACTTCTGAGGACGACTTTGACCATATCCGGACGCGTATTTCTGGGTGGACTGGAGTAGCCGTGGCAAGAAAAATGCAACGAGAGGTCTCAAGGCGGGCGCAGAGGCACAGATCTAATGAACATTAGCAACGTTTCCTAAGGGGAATTTTGCGACCTTTAGACATACCAATCCCAGGTTGATCTCTATTGATGCAGCGAGAAAGACTGGCCAGCCAAACCAAGTCATGTCGTACGAGGCGATCATACTCTTATACACATAGACCGTCCGGACGGTGCCGGCAACGTTGACCACGATTCCCAGACTAAAAATGGACATCACAGCAATTCGCTGCCGGGCCGGGAGTTTAAGATTCCAGATCAACGGCATCGGGACTACCGTGGATAAGAAGTCGGTAAAGATATTGATGACACTAGCGGCGAATACAACAGCCCCATCATTTAAACAGCGATGAGGGTATGTCGGTTGCATGTCCCAGTAGGCATGGATCGGGCTAAGAAATCGGTATAATGTGAGAAGCAAGAAGAAGCAAAGAATGAAAAGGTAAACATACCTGCATTGGAAAATGCATACAAACAAAAAGATAATACACAGCAGTGCCACCAAGACCATTGCCCCGATCAACACTATATTGTATGTGGTATAGAGGCCCTTGCTACCGGCTCCGAGTAGTCGTTTGCAAAACCATAACAGCGCGAGTTTCGTGATGCTGGATGATAGGGAAAAAAGGATTTGGAAGAGGAGGTTGAACTTGGAGGCAGTTGGAAGCCAGTCCAACGGAACGTCCCATATATGTCGGTTGCACCCATATTGTTCAGTGGCCAAGCAGATGATCACGCACATCGCAATTGTAAACGCCTAGAAGCAGGTCAGAATCAGCCAGTAAGGCCATATGTCTTGTGCAACATACCAGCGCGACTACGATAAGGATGTCGTCGATGCCGGGACTGCATGTTATCTTGAAGCGAGTATAGAGCCTGAGGCAAGTTACGACAAAAGCTAGGGCGGAAAAGACGACGGTCACGATAAGGACAGAATTCCCACGGGTGGCAGGGTCAATATAATTCGGTGTTGGCCATGTCGCCAACACATCGGCTGGGGGCAGCTTCATGTTTCGTGTTTAGTCCGGAGAACCGCAAGTTGTTGATGATGGTAGTCGCCCTTGTCGTTGTACAGTAGTTGGATTTTTTTATTACTCAGTCCAATATGATCATTGCCATTAGCACCCAGGTCGAGTGGTAAGGATCGTATAGGCCATCATTAGGGTGTTAACGTCGTGTCAAGGCTGGTAAGGAGCGAAGAGATATGGATGGATCGAAGTGAAATACCGACATGGGGAGACTGGCAAGATGGTATACTTCACAAATCCCTCACAAGTAGGGCGCGCCCACTCTCGACCGAGACCAGCAAGAGTATGACAGCCTAATTCGTGAGAAGAACAATCCTTGTCCCTTTGGAACCAGGGATGCCGATCAATAATGTCTTTTTGAGAACCAGGGGACAGCCCTCGTGGTATTTGTGGGCTAGGATTTTGGGCTTTTATATTTCCCCATGGCCGACCTAGGTCCAGAGCCACTACATTCACTGCAGGTAGGCTCAAAAGCAGGCACACCATGGGGTTTGGAGGAATGCCGGACTGCCCCTCCCCTGCGTAGTGTGCTGCCACGCGATCGCAAAAACAGAAGCAAATCCGAATACTACCGGGGTTTCACGTTCAGTGAAGCGTGGTGATAGGCAGATCCATGACCCATCGTTCACGTTCTGCTCCACCATAGTTTGTGGCCGATCTAAGTCATGGACCATTAATGGTCGCAGCAACGTCTGGACCCCTGGGCGGAGCCACCGAGTCCAAAAAGTTAAAAGAAATTCCAGTGCCTTTTGGATAAGTGACATTTAGCCGTTGTAACGTCGCTGATTCGAGGATATTAAGCCGACCGACGCGTCCCCTGGAAGACAGGGACCAATTGGTGGTCATCGCAGCTGCGACTTCACTTAAGAAATTGCCAAGTCCCGTGGACACGAGGCTGGCCACCAATCGCGTTACATTGCCTTTTTCTACGGTCAGTGCACCAACAATATATTAAGCCTTTCTCGTATAATATTTATATTATAATAGTCATTGTTCTAGTTTTAAGCAGTTAGTCCACCATTAGTTTCAAGTCCGTGTCCTCCCGTGCTATACTCCAATGATCACTTAGGTGGAACCACTGGAAAGGTAAGCACCGTAGTAGATCTGGGTAGCAAACTCGGCAGTCAAGGTCGAGGTAATTTCTCGTTTACCTTACGTACTGCCAGTAATGACGGACCAACCCCCGCGCGTCCCTCCTTTAGCGAGTTACTACTAATTCACTCTAACTTGTCTTAAATCAGCATCGTGGCCTCTCACCGTGTGGAGAATTGTGGATAGGGCTAACACGGTTTGGGTAGCAGACCACCTGAGCCTGGAGCCCAACAGGTCCCTCATCCCTAAGACTGTCAGTCAATCGAAGTTTCTAAACGTTTCCCATGTAAAAACACCCCCCAATTATAAGCACAAAAGTAAACTAGAGAAGAAAACAAAAAAAAAAAAAGAAAGAAAAGGAAGAAAGAAAGAAAGAAAAAAAAGAAGAAGAAAACAGGAGGGAGGCTCAAACATGTATCTCCAGCGATCTGATACCATGGTCAGACTGATACTACTAGTACCTTTCCACAGTAACATCGCGACTCAATTGCATTTGGTGGAACCACGAGGGTTTCACCGTTTCATGAACCTTAAAAAGGCGATCGAGTCAAAGATTGAAATTGGGTCTTCGGTGGTTTGCATGTGTTTTCCGAGGCAAGCCTCAGCTAGTCATTTAGCTTGCCATTTCCTCGGCCCCATGATTCGGCTAACGGTCTGTGCTTTTTTTTTTTTTTTTTTTCCCACCCAATATCACTGACCATACAAAATATAAAAGGCCCCGTACTCGATATAAGGAATGTACATTATAGATATCTGTACTGAGTACGGAGTAGTCTCGGCTATCTCAGGGATTAAAGTTTGGCCACGTACCTCAAACTGCATACCTAACCGAGGGACATAATATCTAACTAGTATGGCCTACTTTCCTTCGGTCCAAATATTGAGGAAGGATAAATATTATAAAATAAAAAATATATAAAAAATAAATAACGAGAGAGTGAGAGAACTTGAACCGCAGCTGTTCATCCAACGTATCCGCCCTATATCAAGCTTTGAGCGTAATAGCATCGCATTGCAGAAATGGTAATAGAGTTAGTTAAGGTTACTGCTTAAGTAAGTTCGCTCCGTTCAGCCGAAGATAGAACTACACTACCAAGGTACTGTACGTACGGAGTAGTAAGTAGATAAACCGTCTGTCGAGGAAATCTTATATTTGAGTCCCAATGGGCCATGACATCACTGTCCTTTACGTTCCTGGTGGAAATATTTGGTAGTCGTCACTCTTCCTCTCAGTAGGTATCTTTGTACCCACTATGAGGGGTTAATTCGATCTCCATGACATCAAAAAAAGGCTTCTTTTTGGGAGAAAGGATCCTCCAGTGTAGATCATATAAAGTGGATATTTCTATAATCGAGTCAAGACTGGGAAGGGTCTATCCCAAGAAGCTCTGGGAACGTGCCGGCAGATCATAAGTGGACCCAACGACTTCTCCTATCGTTCATGTCAATCATCCGAATCAACAGAATAATTGTCTTTGGCTTCTGGTTTCTATATCCTGAAATGAACCAAGTTTGCTACTTGCGATTATCTATCCTTATTTCCTAGCTGTGGGATATAATACCGAATCAGAAAGGAATACCCACGAGTTAACTCCTATTATGTCGAAAAAGTGATCTGGATTTTGGGAAGGACAACCGTCGGCTTGAAATACCCATGCTAGTCTGATCTTCGCAGACCGTAGCTCTTATTCTTTCACCCCTTTAAGCATCTTTTGATATGTCATTTGTGGATGACACTCCAACCCAAGCCCCAGAAGCGCATTGTACACGACACGACAAACATCCTAATACATGTGAAATGAACAACTACGCTATTAAATGAGTAGAGACACAGTCCTTGTCCTATAATGTACTATTAGGTAAGTAAACCTATGGTCTAGATACCACAAAGGGGCCTTCTCTTCAAGCAAGGCTCTATCCATAAAACAGCATGCTGATATATCAAGCACATTCCGATATCATTTGCCGAAAACACGAGTTCTTTTTGATAAAGTTCAGGAACAAGCTTTGTTCCAGCGGGATGGTACAGTCCCTGAATGCGCTTTGGAACCAATCACCTTCAAGTCTTATATTCACTGTTTAAATAGACAAACCTCAATAATAAGAGTACAACTGAAAGTTTGCTGGGTTGTTGAAGTGGGTATCTTCCTGCACATAGTCCTGAGGGCCGTCGAGTTTATTCCTTACCGATTATTCTATCTCAGTGAAATGAGAGAAGTAAATAGCGAATGGAAATACTTCATAATGCTCTATATTGTGTCTTTTCTGTAGAATTATGCAGTACTACTTATACTGAACTCGTAATTTTTGTTGTACAGTACATTGTGCTTAGAGGCACTCGGTGAGGATTACTTCAGCCTCAGTCAGAAATAACCTAAATGATGCTCTTCTAAGTTGAGAATGTCACATGCATGAGAATAATACTCATGTCCAGTCCTCTGACTCAGTATTAATCTAGACTGAACGAAGCGAACACTTTGATATGGTATTCAGCACTCTATTACTGCATATGGTGAGACCCCCATACAGCCGAACAACCACCGATCTAGTGAGGAATTGAGACATAGAAAAAGCAAGAGAGGAGATGAATCAATGCTGAAAAAGGAAAACGCTACAATACTTTTCTCCCGTATATAAGATACAATTTCCCATACTGGTGCACTTCCAGACTTTTTGACTCCCGCAGCACGTGCATATTTAGGATATCAATCTCCGTTTTGTTCCAACCCAGAACTCGGGATAGCAAAACATTGGTATATGCAGGAATGCTATGGACTTGGTGAGCCTGGGAAAATCGGCCAATCTCCTTTTGCTTCGGATCCTTGGCCCATGGACTCGAAGGTGCTTTCACAATCTTTCAGACAACATCTGTGAACCCGGCCTCTTTCATCGCGGCAGGCCATGTATCCAAGTTGTCCATAGGTTTGCCAAACCTGGCACTCGCCTCTTAAACGAGAGAAACGACCTGTTTTGTATAAGGTGCTTTTTCGATCGAACCGTCATCGGAAAAAATATCGACAGTAAAGCTTTGTATTTCGAAAAATCCACCTGGACGCAGATGAGAGAAGGCTTGTTTGCATAGACGAGGGAAGTCGTGTATAGACCCAGCAAGCTCCCGACCATGGATTTAATCGAATGGATGGGCGTACGACCATTCTGATTCAAAACCATCGATTTCAAATTGACAGTTTGGAGGAACCCTTAGAATCGCATCAAAAAATGAGAGAGATATTCCAACATTGGCATTTCAACACTGACATGGCTCACCATTTCGGCTGTATAGGGCTAAGGTCATTGCCTGCAATATAGCATATAAGCTCAAAGTAAGCAAAAATACAAAATCTGTATCACATACCGATCACTTCTGAGGACTGATATTGACTAGGGTAAAACAAGCTCAGCATGTGGAAGAATAGAACGATGCAAGAAGTGACAACTTGGATAATTTGGTCTCGTACTCCGCAAAATCGACAGCCCAGATTCCTGTGCCCGTGCCAATATCCAAGACTCTTTGTGGGTCTTTGATCGGGGCAATGTGGATTTCCCCATTAAGAATCAAGTTATAGATATGGTGGAGTATGTCCATCCGGTCCTGCTCCTCTTCATCATTTGGCTATAGACATGTGTTAGATCGTCTAACCAGACATCAGGTACCCAGGGGACAGAACATACCAGAGCATACTCGCCTTCGCGGTACGCATGGTATCTCCGACCGTTCTACAAAAGTAGCTGTTATGCGATGTGACCTTTGGACAATGGACCCTAGCAATGCGTACCTCATACCTGATTTCCTAGAACGTTAGCCTAACTATACGACTTGCCCTAAGATGGCAACGGGATGCTGAACGAAGGAAAACAGCGAATATAGGGGCCATACTTGTAATTCAAGACACTCGATGTTATCGATGTCCGGTAACTTTCGGGTACAAGGCTGGATAGAGCGCGTCAGCTAAAACGTGGAGGATTCAATGCTGAACATGAGAATATGTTACGAGTCATTATAAGCAGAATCGTTATCAAGGTAGTGCGCATCCTAATCGTGATTAGCTTGAGCATTGGGCTATCTAGTTATATAATGTGAGAGAACGAGTCAGGAAACATACGTCTGGTTCAATTTCCCGGTCAGTCGTCATCTGGAACTGTTCAGCCATGATTCTCAGATCTGCAAACAGGACGAAGTGCAATTTGAAAGTAGGTGCCATTTGTGGTTCAAATTTTACTGACTGACGGCGGGAAACAACAGCACCCCTCATCTGGGCAATTTTAGAAATAACCAATAATTGACACAACAAACCGTTGAAGTATAACGTGACTATTATAGATCCTGAGTAGTAGGCGGTTCTTTTACCTTTAACGGTATGATATTACAAAGACACTAATGCACCCGCACAGAAGCAAGGGCCAAACATATGTTTGACGGTATCTAAGGGGAATAGAAGGAATGTATACACTGGGGGGTTGCGAAGGTAAAGTAGGCATGGCTCTGTTGTCATGATTGTTACTACTCATAGCAATGGAGTCCGAAGAAATGAGCCCTTTAAAAAGTATATGAAATTCGAAAACTCCCTGACAAGCCCGACGGTTAAACATCAAAGTGTAATAGTAGAGGACCATTAAGATGTCTATTATATCGATACTATGCACGTGTGATCGCAGCTACGCTGGGGTAACCTTATACTATAGCACTACCTTAAAAAGCGGCTATCGGCAGCTATACCCCTAGTCACCGCACCACGGGCTTAACCCTACGATGCTCAGTTACCTTGTGTATATAAAGGACGTAGCGACCCCCTACCCTTGGTAGGAGGTCGGCAACTCTCTACCTCTCATAGCATACCGCTACTTGCAATCACACACGTTTGGGGTATGGATTTCCATACCGATTGAGCCTTCTACATCAACTATACCTTTTGCATCGTGGGCTGCGGATTCCTTGGATTTCATTCGTAATACCCTCGCTTGTAGGCTAGTATACCTAGTAAATAATACCAGAATTAAGTACAAGCAAGCATGAGAAGTCTTAGTCTTAGGGCAGAACAACTATTCAATGTCGTCAACGAAGATCAACATGAACATTTCCTATGTAGGCTAAGTGTCTTTTGAAAGCCCTTCGAGAATGCCATTGGGCGGAATATTAGTATAAAGAGAGTAATACATCCATTTCGAGAGCTTATTATATTCGGGCATATAGGCGCTATTGTATAGCAAATATATCCACAGTTTTTGATTCAGGAGTAACTAATACTATCCGAAGCCAGCTTCCGCATCTTTGCATATGCTGATTCTGGAAACTTACCTGACCCAGCATCTCTCTTCTATAGGTATGGAATCTCCAAGACAACGTGCCTCCTTACGTGTAACGCTTCCAGCATTATCAATGACGTTTTTTATAGCTTCAATATATGAGAATCTCCATGACATCGTGATTCCCCTACCTACCATAGATTGAGTGGGTGGTACAGCGGCGAGGCGATGAGGATAAGTATGATGGTTTTGAATACTATGGTACTATTGTGCACAGGCAGCACAGCCCTTACTTAGTGTCGGGTGATAGAGCCTATCATCGAACGACATATCAGCAGATGATGTTGTGATACTTTTCGGCTTTTCCTTCCTAAGGGAATCTTTTTCCAGTAGAGCTGGAGGCTACACGAGTCAGGAGATGAAATTTGTGGGGCCAGGTCGACAAACAAGCTGAGCAACTCTCATATATTGACTTTGCTTTCAGCTGCGCCATCGTGATTGAGGACCCCGCAATTTATACCATGTATCACCCTTCAAAAGGGCCGACGCATCCCATCAGAAGTTCCTTCTTGCCCTTTCTCTCTTCAACCAAAGGACATACACAGTTATCCACCTTTTTGGCAGAAACCACGATGGTGAAATATATCTATACAGTGAGAGACTAATGGCGAAAATAAAAAAAAAGTTTCAAGACCTCACTAATTTTTGATGTCGTTAGTACGAACTCTCCAACATGACAACATTAGCACAGTATAATGAGTTAGTTACCCCCCCCCTGGTACAATGTTCTATAGGATGAAAGAACACATTACCAAATGTGGTGGTGAATTACTCCCAATCGATCCTTGTGACGAACCAGACGAAGAGAGTGAAAAAGAGGGAGAGATACCCCAAGCATTCCTGTAAATCCCATTCACCCAAATACTTATGTTTTGCCTATACATCTAACACCGCGATTCAGTATATGGTGGGATGATGAGGACGATGCATATGAACTCACGGAGCATGAACACTTTCGCAGTCTCTATTCTAAAGAAAGAGAGGAAGCTGAGCATGAGGAGCTGAAAAAGGCTGCCTGGGGTGATGATTACCACGATCATCCAATCTATCTCGGCTCCGCGTAAGCTACTGTGTGCTGCATGATAAACAATGTAATTAAAATAAGGAGCTCTTAAAGTGAGGTTACATCTGCCAACTCGGCGGATTCATCTACAGTGGACGGAGCACTACTCTACAGAATCCTGTAAATCCTATAGATACTCGATGTCAGACGGTGAGAGCTTCTATTTAAGGCAAAATATAAGTCTTGTCGGTGACAACATAAGGGTCTGTTCAGTTGTGTAGGCGTTATACAATTAGTACACGCATATTAGTGTTATTATTATAAAGTACCATATTCCCCGGATGTACAATATCATTCTCTCTTAGTCTACAACCCCATCTCCAAATCTAGCCGACTGATTGTTTTGCGATATGTTAAGATTATCCTGTGTCACTGTTCCTCGCTTACCAGACAGCCAGGGATAGGACGTTATACTGATGTAGTGATTCTCATATAGTAAGCTAAAATGTCATGCATGGGAGTTTAGTGTCAAGCATCCTCTAAAACTTCACAGTTGAATCAATAGCTAAGGATGTATTATGACTAGATTAGGGTCCCGCGATACCACCAGGGTTATTTATCCTCTGCATGTACCGCACGCTATCCAGAGAGAGCATGAAGTCATAAGTAGCGGAGCTTTTCCACCTCAGCAGGTCGTTGAAGATACTCTAATGCAAAATAACCCGAGGAAAAGAATAGCTATGCTATGCCGCTGTATATAGGTAGTCCACGCTCACCACATAGACTCCTACTCCTAATCAGCAATCTCTCCTCATCAAAATAACAAGGAAGACTAACCTCTGTATGCAGTGTGACCGATGGGCCAGATATCTGTCTCTCCTGTACGACCTGACTCAACGCATCAATCATCTCGATTGGGCCGCATCCACCGATGACCACCCGTTCCTCTGAGCTACTGCCTGAGATGTAGTCCGAGATCAGAAGTCTAATATCTGGTTGTCCTTTCATCGTGTGAAATGCGTCATCAAGTGTGACCCCAGGCGCTGTTGTCTTCCATAATCCCATCTCGATATCGCCGCCACTGGGCAAGGCGTTGGTTAGGCATGCAGATTTATCAGAAATTGGCGTCGGCGGGACGATTGACCCCCCGGATGAGATCGCATCTCGGGTGACATAAATGGAAATATTGACACATGCGCTTTCCTGAAGCTTGGCAAGCTGTGGTTCGAACCATTTGAGTGAGTCTAGAACTAAATTATCGGTCAAATTTTCCCAATGGAACCAGGTCAAACTTAAATACTGGATGTAGGCACACATACCCAGACTCCTGATTGCCCAGAGGAACTCTATCCGCTTCAAAGTGTTACGAGCAGCTAGCTGCTCAAGTAAACCGAGTGCAATGGCAAAAGTAAAGCTGGCACCGCTACCCCCTGCAACCAGAATTACCTTGTCAAATTCCATGAAGACCGGGACCTGCCCATACTCCCCATCCATAGAGCACCTGAGCAATTGACCTTGCTTCTTATGAGCGAGATAATAGAGATCACGGGTGAATTCATCATAAGCCCGGATAACAAACTCAGGAGGGTTTGAGGAGACCATAGTGAATGGGTGAGTCCCAAACAAACGGACAGAAGGCAACCACAAAAACACATGAGACCCAGGGCGGCACAAGACATTGCGCTTAAGCCTAACGTGCACTTCGTCTCCCGGCAAGGCAGTGAGCGTTGCATGGTTTCCGACTGAGAACCAACATACTTTTGGCTAGTCGTACCAGTCGGTCCGAGAACCACATACAAGACGTGAAAATGACAATCACGAGTGTTTGAGTGGATATTTTGGGTCGGTGCATTCCCACCATGATCATGATGAGGATCAACATGAGGAGATGCACCATGTAGAAAACTGTGTCGAGGTGAGTGTTAATTCATTCTGGAGCACATTGAAGATGATACGAAAATCACTTGCCTTCGTAGGATTTTCGAACAAAATACCCTATTGTGGTTAGGCCTATAACCAACATAGCTACCCCAGCAACGGCACCGGCGGCATTATCGATTTCCTGCATCTTGTGAAGACTGCCTGACTGTGACCAACCAGCCAAGTAAACTATGGTGTGGAGGAGCATCATGCCAATGGCGGTATATCCGGCCGTCTTGTGTAGGGGACGTAGCTTTTCATACGATCGTCCGCTTAAGGGAGCAAGTGGAGTATTCCGGAGAGCGAGGAAAACGAGGAGAACGAGGTTTGCAAGAGTGGCCCTAGGTCTATTAGTTAGTGAGCTCTTGAGACTGCAAACTAGGGCGAGGACAACGATACCAGCCGAGACGTTTTCCTACCTGGGATAATGGTCAGTTTCAAAGCCAGGGTTTTGGTTCACGGGACGGACGTACGAATTTGAGGTCTCCCAAATCAACATTGGTCAAGATAAGGATCAGGATGATTGCCCAGTAAACCGTGTGGAAGTAACCACCTTCTAAGATGCAGGCCACAAATCGTTCTACCAATAGTTTTCCGTGTGGATCTATCCCTTACTATTAGCGGGTCTCATACAGAGAAAATGGCGAACGCACCGATGCCAGTGAACAAATGTATCGGTCAAGGGACCTGGCTTCCTTGAACTATACTTGAAGTAGAGAATCCCCAGCCAGTGGTGGACAATAAAAAGAACCATCATTGCCCCGAGGGCAATAGAAAAATACTTGTTAGTCCAGACATTGTTGCTTTGGCGAACAGCTTTTGACTCCATGGTGGTGAAGAGTTTATCAAGCACACTGGACAGAACCTCTACACGTGGGAGAAAAGGAGCAAGGATCATTTCTATAGTGTTCCGCTTTACTATTCAGCAAATCATAGATTCTCTCGTTCCTTCCCGCCTCCGAATCGTTACTAGTTGACAGACTATTATTACTCTGTATAGTAGGTTACAACTATCTTGATCGGATGCAACTTACGATAATAACTAGAATTCACTGGTTATCGAAAACAATGAAGTGATTGTGAGGTCCAAGACAATGTAAGTGCGGTCCATAAAGTAACAGTTTAAGATAGAAGAGCCACGTCTATTTAGTATATATATGTAATAGTTAAAAAATGGTACAAGTGGAGCTAGTATAGGTACTTGATAGTATATGTCTCAAATAACTGAGTATTTTGATTAAAATGTACAAAGACAAATTCTAATTTAGTATATAAAGAAGTGTCCTTATATATAATGGTGTTCTCTATGCTATTAAGGTACCTCAGTTAATGATGTTTTGTCGTATACTTATGGGTGTCCATTAGTCTCTGACATATAGCACGGAAAATGTATCTGTTTTTACCAGAGTATAGATTATCGATTTTCCTGGGTTAAAACCTTATACCGAGAGTTTCCGATATCATATTCCGGCTAATATTCAGATTCCTTAATATCATTATTATTATAATATTCTACGGCCCCGTTTAAGGATCACATTCAGGGCCTTTGCCGCCAGGAGTCCCAGCATACTGGGAGCAACCAGTGTGTGTACCGCAGATATCAGGGCTATGGAGTGTTACGCTGCTTTTACATCACTCCAGGCTCTGTCCAGATGATCGGAAACCACATATTAGTGGGCCCTTGGGCATACCAATACCGGCTTGAACGACTTAGCCAATACCTTTTTTAGCAAAGCCTTCAGTACCCGAATCGGCCACCTTTTAAAAAGTGATTTAGTGCAACATACGGAGCCACTGAGAGCAACATAACCACCAATGATATCAGGATACTACTGGATTAGGAAATCAAGTTGGATTCAGGGGGCGCAAGGCCCAGGGGTCCATGTGTGTTGAAGTTGCCTAAATAGGCCTGGTGGTGTCATTCCTAAGCGATCTCGTCTCCCCTTCAAGCATCTCACTGGAAATTCAAGGAAAATGTTCCCCACGAGATATCTAAATGTTGGCAATAAAAGCTCATGTTTATGAGGCATGCTCACCTTCGAATTCCTTGAAACTTGGGAGAATAGCAACCTGTAAGACACAGAACTTTAATTCTATTCTAAGATATCAGAAGTTAGTCACTAACCCCTTATTCGCGGAATCCTTCCAAGTTCGCTGCCCAGTGCATCGTCAACTTCAATTTCAGGTTCAGGCACCCCGTGCACGGACCCGACCACTAGCACGGAGTGTCGCCCAATAAGCCGAGTGCTGACTAGTCTGACATTGGACTATGCTATTTTGAGCTAATCTTCTACCCGAGTAACTCAAGAGACTGGAGGTCGATGAATATACATAGATTGCACACAGTTTTGGTAATTCACGATATGTTATACTTCATATGAGGGCATAGATGGCCCGGGGTTGAACAACTGAGAGGTATGTTCGTCTTGAAATGTCCCACAATATTTAATTTTCAGATTTGCTGGAAACCGATGTCATGTGATATCTACTAAGTTTGACACGCACGAGGTGGACATGTCAAAAAAGTGGACTGGCACTGGCATACTGGGGTCCGGGAAGCATGTTCTTTAGTTAGCTCTCTAACGGAGTACTGGCAGCCTTCTCTCGAGGAAGAATCCAGAGCAATAGTCAGCCGGGGTGCACTCTGCAAGAGTCTATATACCTTTTTTCTTTCTTTTTTATCTCTTTTTCTTTTTTGAGGATGCGTTGTTCAAAACTCACCATCCTACACGGCAGAGAGAGAAGGAGAGCTGAGCCGTGTTTCAAGTCGAGGGCAAGTGGATGGAGAATTAAATTTGACTTGCCGCCTCCGACGGTCCAGAAGACTCCAAACTTCAAAAGGCAAAGGGGCACAGCGAATGAATGGAGCGACCTGATGAGAGCGGATACTCCCGTGCGACGTCTCGGGGCGTGGCGCAGTTCTCGCCGTTGCGAACATAGTGAAACAGGAGGCCTGGACCCAAGCCATGTCCCGTTCCATTGGCTACCATGTCTCCCGGTTCTGCACGTCAAAGATCCACTTTATACACATCCGTCCATCAGAGACATGAGATGTTATTCATGGACTTACGCACTACACCCTCCATGGCACTAGTTCTCCCCGAGACCTAATCCTTCTTTTTTTTTTTTTTACATGGCCATTTTCTTTATTCTTAGCACTGAGGCTGTCTGTGAGTCGGGAAATATTGTTCGCTTGGCGTCCCGGAGGGGTCTATTGAAAGTTAGGACCCCCGTCTGCGCCCTCTTAAGGTTAATGGCCAGACGATACTTGCTGTAGCACTGTACACTACGGAGTATACAGTAGATATAACCCCGGTGCGGACCCATTCGTTTAGTTCGATCTTGTTCTTCTCCATCTGTTTGTCTATCGCTAATTCTTTAGTTCACTCCTTTTTCTGGTTTTAGTCTGGCAATTTCATTTATTATCCTTTGAAAAAGGGTTCGATCACCCTCTTGCACACGGCTTTATACATTTCTTTCTTTCTCCTTTTTTTTTTTTCTTTTTCCTTTTGTGTTAGCGTCTGTATAGCACTTACATTCATCTCCTCGTTGGTCCCGTACTCCGTAATCCATTTGCATACCCCCAAACACCCGATGGAAGGACACAGTTCACCACCCGCTGCCGCTGCCGATGTGCCGGCGCAAGCTGGCGAGGGCCCTGCTCCAGTTCAAGCCGATATTCGTTCTCATGCTGTTCATCACGACCAAGGAACCGTCCCGGAACGAGAGCCGTCACCAGGTCGGCGGATAACCCCACGCCCGACCTTTCTAGAAAACCTGGCCAATACTCGAGATACCCAATTTATGCTTGACCGACGGAACTCTAGCGAACTGGATCGGTACTTTGTATGTGATTGAGTCTTTAGTCATCTGGGAGATGTAAACGATGATCTAACCAAGTTCCACATCCAGCATGGTCCCCGTGATTTGGACAAGCATTCTAAATGGCCCACCTTCCTCCGAATGCATGGCAGTGTGCTGCCCAAGATGATCCTGCCGCTGTCCTTTGTTGCAGCATGGGCTACTCTGATCACATTACTCTCGAAATTTGTACACCCGCGTTAGTATAGTATAACTGGACACTCCATTAAGGAATGCGTTTGGCTGACCAACGGTTAGTGGGGATCAACAACATTCTGCTCACAGTTACGGGTTTTGTCGTCGGTTTGGCACTGTCTTTCCGGAGTTCGACGGCTTACGAAAGGTAGGCAAGCTGTTACCACAGTTGGTGTCTTGAGGAATTCTAACTGAATCATATAGATGGGCTGATGGACGCAAATATTGGTCGCTGCTTATCCAGACCTCGCGCAATCTTGCTCGCACTATCTGGATCAACACTAGAGAACGGGAAGGAGAGTTGGGAAAGGAGGACCTCCTGCAAAAACTGTACGTTGACACGAATCACAAATGACCTCAGTTATAGACCACCCTTCTGACAATATTAGTACCGCAATGAACCTCATCCTGGCCTTCGCGGTTGCACTCAAGCATAAACTCCGTTTCGAGCCGGATATCGCTTACGAAGATCTTGCGGGCCTGGTCGGCTACCTTGACACTTTCGCCAAAGATGCGCATGATCGTCAGCGCCTCCAGCCTCCGCGGAAGTCACTTTGGAAGTCAACAGGAGAATACCTTGGTGTTTCCTTTGCCGAATCGAACCCCAGGAAGCTCGTCAAGCGATCCAAGAAGCCACTGGGCCATCTTCCTTTGGAGATTCTTAACCATTTATCGGCTTATATCGACAGATGTATTACCAACGAGACTCTCAGCATCAGCTTGCATCAGGCACAAGCCAGTATGTCCCACTTGCCTCTTTGCGATGCCATAATGAACATGAACACTGACATATATCATAGTCAACGGCCTGGCTGCCCTGAACGAAGTCGTCACGGGAACTGAGCGCGTCCTTGACACCCCACTCCCAACAGCATATAGCATCGCCATCGCCCAAATCGCCTGGATCTACGTTATGTCTCTACCCTTCCAACTCTACAACTCCCTCACATGGGTGACAATCCCTGGCTCAATTGGTAAATAATCCATGTCCTAACCATTTAAAAGACACTGCGTGGAATCTAACAAATGCATCCAGTGGCCGCATACATCATCCTCGGTCTCGCCACTATCGGCAGCGAAATTGAGAACCCCTTCGGTCAGGACGTCAACGATCTTCCTTTAGACACCTACTGCCGACAAATTGCTTTGGAACTGGATATCATCACCGCGACTCCAGCGCCTCGTGTCGACGATTTCACCGTCCGTGACGACAACTTGGTGTTGTATCCGCTTAGCATGGATGGCTACAATGACTGGAAGGACCGGAGCGTCGCGGACATCAGAGCTGCGCTTAGAACAAAAGTGGTCGCCAACTCCCCTGCTGCGTTGGGATCGGATGAGTCGACTGTTGTTGGAAGCATGAGCAGTAAACAAACGGTTTAGAGGGACCAATACGCGTCAGGAGTCAAAACCTTAAAGACTCGAAAAAGAAGGGAAAAAACAAAAAAAGAAAAAAAAAATGAATCGTTCTTTGAAAAGTTACTATCAGCGCGGGCATTGGGTCTCTTTTTGAGCATGCGCGTTTCGGTGTTTCTATTGCTTGAGGACAGGGAGTACTCCACTAGTTACTGCTATATTATGTTCATGTTATTCGTTGTGAATATGTTGGTTTGGGATAATCGCTACTTGCTGCGCAGATGTACATGGATGGATTTAAACATTAGACTGTTCATATTGAAACGACTAGATTGTCTTGGTTCGAGCAAAAGGTTCCCTTTCTTGCAGTGCGTCTCATAGGTCTTTCCTACAAGAGCTATTGTAAGAGTGCGCCCGAAATCACGAGGGTGCGCCTGACAGCCGGGTTTCGCTTGTTGTAGCTCGCTATACCGACCGGATATATAGCTGGTGCTCCGCGCTTGGTCACTACTCAACCATTCCTTCAGCCACCTAGGTCTTACGATAATCCTCCGTTTGTTTCCCGGCCTGGGACGGGATGTTAGTTCTCCACGTCATCACATTGCCCGGTGAAGTTCGTGTATCGGGACTGATCATCGTCCCGACTTCTTGCGGTTCAGCGTGTGAGTGCTGCTGTATACGATCGCATCATCATGTCGTAGGAGAATAGCCGATCCTGAGAAACCGACCTCTTTCTCCGATATAAACCGAGAAACCACTGACGCACAGTTCCCCTACATCACAGATCATGGAGCGAACAAATCTTCCCCGGACCCCTGAGTCAGAGCTCCCAGATAATTTCCCTTGGCACAGACCCTCCACGCCACACTACCCACCGAGCCAACGCCAGTGCCTCCTCCGATCCAGGAGCTCACCGCTGCCACGACAGCAGGGGCATCTTGACGCGGGACACGCACCCAGATGAATTTATCTGTGGGTTTCGGCTGTGGAGTTTCAGGGAGGATTTTAAGGATATCAATCGAGATGGCTGTGCCTGACAGGCCGAGAAATTGAGAGAGCGCAGAGTTGATGTATGTTCGAGCTGTGAGTGGGTCGAGGGGCTGAGATTGGAAGGCGGTTGACGTGCCTGGTTGGTGAATTCTATAGCATATAGATACTGTGTATTAGCAAGGTTTACTACTTGCATGCAAACAGTCCTAGAAGACATACAGCTGTAGTTTGAGATAGGTCCATGGCGGATTGCGCGCAGTGAAGTGGATCGCTTCGGCCGGAGCTGCTTTAGATGCGACGCGATCATCGGGAGCTTTTCGTTTAGAGGAAGCGGCTTCTGGGTTGCTGGAAGACATTTTGACTTTGGAATTCCTTTGTTGATGACTAGGCGTTTCTTATCGAAAGGCGGCCTACTTGAACATAAATCTTTGCGAGTGGTGTTTAATGCGAATAGAGATCGGCGTTAACAAAAAGAAAAAGAAAAAAAAAGTTCGGAGAATTCCCGTGATGTCACGGCGGTGTCCCACAGTAAATGGTGCCGGACCAACATGATCAGGTCAGTGATTGGCCTATTGGAGAGAGCTCAATTTCAACGGATGGTGCTGTTATTTCTTGATCACCGCTTCCTCCAGCTTTTGACGTACTTGCTGTATAAATTTCTCTTCGCCTTCGGTCCCAATCTCTAAATCAGAAACACAAAGTGTCTTGTCGCGCGACTTCAAACCGCGAATGACGTCCACCGTAGATTTGGGGACTTTGAGGATCTGGTTTTCGCCAGTCAGATAATCATGTTGATCTCATCTGAGAATAATGTCTAGTAGTTAGGAATGAACAGAGCGAAGATCAGTACCTGAGCAAACACTCGTGATACGGCCGCGTTGGCTTCGCCGTCTCGTGGGACGGCAGCCACACAAACGTCCACTTTCTCAGAGCCAACTGCTATGATGCCTTCGCGATTTGCAGACGCGTTGGGTTTGACGTTGCAGGAGATTTGTAAACTGTACTTGTTCGAGATTTGCTTGGGGTTACGGTGTTTCGTGGCCGTATTCTGGATGAGACGGAATAGTTGAGACGATGGGTTCGACATTGGTAAGGTTTATTTGGATGTTGAAAATTAATTTTAAATAAAACGAGAGAATTTCAGTTGAAGAGGTGTCAAGAGTAGTACGTAGTCAATCAATTAATGTAGTTTTTGTGCCAGTGGTTGTTAAATTGCGGATGTGGGGAACGTCAACGGTTTGTTTACTTTATTTATACTACTGCTTTTCTCCTCGTTAACACCAGTACTACTTCTTTGTTTCTCCCAGAATTTCACTTTTACTTTTTGCCCTTTCCGTCCGTTTACTTTATTCTCTTTTTAGTTTTCTTCTTATTTTCAACACAGATGAAAAACTGACCATTATAAGCGAGTGTACAGTAACTAGAAACTCAATTACGTTTTCAACTGAAGAAGTCTGTTGAAACCCTTACTATATAGCCAACATGACACGACCTTTGGAGAAATGTTGATTGAAATGGTTAAAATATAGAGACACGGTTAAAGGCTAGTAGACGAAAAGATTGGACGAGAAAAACGATGCGGGAGGGGAAAATGTTTGTGCTCAAAGGCCGCAACTGAATGAAAAGCACAACAGCAAAGAGCACCTTTTCTCCTCACTCTCCCCCATTTGCCACTCCACGTGGAATCATGGCCGAGAATTTATATTCTAACTACCCTCATTTTCAAGCTTCTCCATCTAATCACTAGCTTTACAATCCATTGTTTACTATACATATCTTCTTGTCAAATTTGTTGAGCCTCTATGATCTGTACTTGTATGCACCTCTCTACGTTGCTAATCGACTTAACACAAGTAAGGTGACTCTCGTAGATTAACATTGACAAGAAGTACTCACTTATGTCCAACAGGCCCTGTCGGATCTGTCCCCGAAACCTGAACCATGACACCTCCCAGAAACCAGAAAACATTCACTACACAAATGCTAGACAGCCAAAGAGAAAATGCACCCAGAACAACAACTGCGCACTACGGTCCGTGTGGAGTGGTTCTGGGAAGGTTAAGAGTGAGAAGAGCTCACGGGGAGAGTGAATCCAGCCCAAGCACTATTAGCATGCACCAGATGAAGACTCCAGATCGGGATAACTCGGATCCCACTGTATGTTGACATTTTGCTTTACCATTGAAGCTGATTAGCACGATGCTTACCGCGTAACTCATAGTACACTGCACAGAAACATCATGCCGCCACGCATACTATCATCTTGGATTCTCCTAGCCCGACAAACCAGATAGCTCGGCTGAGTCACGAACATGAGAATGACGATATGACAGCTCCACACATTGATCAGGATGATTGGAGCCTAGAGAACCTACCGGATATCTTGTATATTCTGAAACCCGAGCATGGAAAATCCAGACACGTTGTTCGTACTGCCGCACACAAGGTCTTCGGGAAGCACGTCAATGCTTTTTCAGTCCTCCCGGACCAGATATCCTCCAAAGTTGAAGGGTGGAGACTTGAAGCCTGGATGCGTCTCGATCGTCGGATAACTGGGCAAGACATTATCGACCGGGTAAACCCCAGGTACAGGTCTAGATTAACATCAGTTGACATTGAACTTCGTCGGAAGGCTTTCCGAGAGAAATTTCACGTCGCATGCTGGGGAGCTCAAAAGACCATTAATAATATATCTCGCCTGGCTATATCAATTGGAATAGATCCGGCGTCGAACACTACGAGAGGCTTAACGCCGGGTCTAATCGACCCCTCTAAAGGCGAAGCTGGTGGGCGAATTCCACTGCCCCCAAGAGCAGCCTACGATGATATCTCCGGTTCTGTTTCCCACCAAAGTTATTCAGATAGTGAGAGGTCTCGCCTGATTAAGCAGAGCTCCCACCATGGCCAGACTCCAAAGGTAATACTCGATAAGTCCCACCGAACTCACCAGGCCAAATCAGCGGAAATCCTCTACCATTTGCACAGGGACACAAAGCACTTGCAAAGAAAAGCTGTTCCAAATAGCGATTGCTTCAGCATTACGAATTCTCGTCTTAAAAGGCAAAGTTTCCATGATGTTGCGAGGTAAGTTGTTTGTGCACGACTATTATCAGAGGCTAAACGGCTAACCCAGCGGTGCAGTACGGACTATAATGCCACTCACAAGAGAAGAGACAGAATATCCATTCAGCAGAACCTCTCTGATTTCAACTCCTATCCCACTACTCTACGTGAATTGGCTTCTCACAGAGGGCCTCCCGCTCGAACCTTTCCCACAGAGGCTGATGCTACCGAAAGGACAATGAGTCTGGATGAATACCTACACGGAAGTCGGCTTACTTTCTGGGATTATCTGGATCTTCGTTGTGAGAACAGTCTGGGAGATATCAAATGGTGGTCGCTAAAGTCCGAGCGTTGATTGGCGGAATGTACATGTCGCTCCTCAGGATCAAAGTACGCTTACTGTCACTATTATGGGATACAATTTGTGAATATGTATGTGGAGCTCTCTGTGGTGTCATTTCAATTTGTTCTTGAATCGCATATTGGCTTTATTCAATATTAGCCGCTTTCAGGCATCACTTTTGTGGAAAAGACGGATATTGCGATGATTTGAGAATACCTAGGCATTATGTACTGTGCAACTCTTTTGCAGAAAGGGAAATCTAAAAGTCCTGTACCCCTTCCTCACCTTCATTTTAAATTTGAAATGTTACTACGCCGGATGTCTACAGAATCACTCGAACATGCTCTATCTAGTGAACCACGTGGGGCACTACTGGTTATAATTCTATCGTTTCTAGTTTCCCCCCTTCCCCCTCCCCCCTCCTCGTCTCACCTCATTACAGGATGACTTGGACCTTCTATTTCATGGTCCAAATATGAAAGAGAGTCTGGGACACTTGGTTCTGGCGAGACATAGGACTAGGTGGTGTAGTTCCGCTTCTATTCATTGAGCTCGATACTGCATCGAGACTACAATAGGCGCTGGGGAATTGTGATTGGACGAACGCCTATTACAATATACGTCAGAGCTGTGAGAGGCCCCCGGGGAACAATCATATTCACACTCCCCGGTATGTACTCTCGTCCGAGAGCCCGACCATGACAATGCTATTCTGCCTGGGTCACACCAATCAGAACAGGCCCCAGCCTTCCAGGGCTATACTTATTCAATTGACTCATGAATTATGGCTTGTCCAGGGTGGGTCCATGACACCTGGTGGGTCCACTGGTCCGGGGAACTGCATGCTTGTCGTGGTGCTGACATCGCAACTATATCGGTCGAAGAGCCGCACCACCAACACATGAAGAGTAGTATAGTGATATGAGATTCATTCGAAGCGCGAAAAATTACATATCTCACTTCTTATATTGCAGGCGGAGGCAATGGATTGCTCGTCAGAAAGCGAGGATCAACAAATTGCCCGGGAGGGGGGCTAGGAAGAGGACCTCGCGACACAACTTCAGTGAATAGTGAATATTGTCGACAGCGTCTTGAAACCCTCTCAATTTCCCAATTGGGAGAACTATACTCCCAACCACCCAGTTTCTATTCAGAGTAGACAAGAAGAATACCAGGGTGCTAGACACAATGGCTCGCCCACTTGGTCCCTCGAATCTCTTGACAGAGACTCTGGATTGCTTCAATCACTTCATACCTCTTCGTCCATATTACGATCCTCCAAGCTGCTAGCCTGCTTCAGTGTCAATTCATCGTCAATCGAGCTCTATTCTCTGGTTTCGTTCACAAACTATTCAATATCGGTGGTAGAAAAAGCACCTCTTCAAAAGTCTACCTCAACAGCGAGGAAGACAACATGTCTCACGTATGTCGATGCTAGTATCCTTATCCAGTCGGTTCTTCTTGTGCCCGACAGTATATAGGATGCGTTAGTATCGATATGCATGCTAACATCAATCACAGCCGATTTCGAAGACGGTCGATCCAGAGGAAGACCTTGAGTTGTCTCAACAGCCACATGCTTCTGTGTATCCCGAGACGTCTACGACCGCCGAGTCCTCAAAGAGCACCAAGGCCAGTGCAAAAAAAGGCAAAGGAAAGAAGGACAAAGGTAAATCGGTGCTTTCTCCAACATAGCAGAGAGACAGTGCTAACAATGACATAGGAAAGTCAGTACCTCGGCAGGACAGTCCTCAGGCTGTTGACCCTCGCAACTTTACCATTTTTCGACCGGACCAGGATGACTGGTCGTGGACAAATCTTCCCGAAATACTTTACCAATTCGAGCCTGGAGACAAAAGAAATCGTAAATCGGACCCCCCTCGCATGAACTACCCCATCCATGGCGAATATTTGCGTGACCTCCCCATACTGCCTGACAACATAGCCTCGACAGTCGAGGAATTCCGAGTGGAAGCTTGGATGCGGCTCGATAGGCGTATTCGTCTCAGAGATATCACTGATCGTATGCACCCACTCTTCAGAATTCAAGACAATGCGTTGCAGCAGCGCAGCGTCCGCTTCCGTCAGCAATTCTCGCTGATTGCATGGGACTCCGGTAACAAGCGTAGCCAGCAACTCAAGCAAGACATACTTCGAAAGATGCAGGATATCGGACTTCTTCCTGGTATGAATACGACTCGCGGTATAACGCCCGGCTTGATAAACCCAGCCCTCGGGGAAGATGGTGGAAGGATCCCGCTGCCCAACCAATACAACAAGGGGAGGAGAGTAGCTCGTGGCAGAAAGCCCTCAAAGACGCCCGTGCAGGAAGAGGCAGACGCCCACCACGAAGACATCGTCCAGGAAGGGCACCAGGAAGAGCAGCCAGCCGACATCTCAAACCCCACTGAGGAATCTGTGAGCGCTGGGAAGGTAGACACATCGAAAGAGCTCGTTCCAGAAGGGCTGGCCCTAGTGGTACCTCCAGTGGAGTCTGTCTCGATCGATTTCACAGTAGATGATCTCACAGTTGAAACTGTCGCAGAGCTTTTTAACTACGTCCCATCATATATTCCATTCGATGAAAGTAATGACAGCCTAGAGGGACCTCTGTCTGTCATCACAAGATTGATTTCGGATAACGAACTACCAGAGACCGTTAGCATGGAAGACATCGACTTGACAGTGAGCGTCAAAAACTGCATACCACGACATAATACTGAGAAGGCCTTGAGACCCATCGTGCCAGGAAAAATTCAGCGTAGGCGTCCTTCCCCATTGAAACTAGCTAGAGGAGGGTTTTGCGGCAACGTTTGCCACATGGGGAAGTATCCCACCCCCATCTATACCAGCCTCACACTTGTGTCTGGCCCAACTGGCGCAGGTGTGCAGCGTGAAGGATTACTCCCTCCTTCCCACGGGCTGTATCCTGATGTGTTGACTCCGTACTCCGCCTCCGAACTGCCATTTGGTGTTCGCCACCGAGTCTTTGACAATCTGTTCGAGCAATGCCTCTCCGGGGACAGATACCTCTTCGATATCCCAGCCATAGCCGCCGAGGACATGGAGATGATGGACATCAGCAGCATCAATGACATTAACATTGACGATTATGACGACTATATTCAAAAATAGTTTCGCGGATCATGACAGGAGGAATCGGATAGAAATGATATTTGGTTCCCCAACGCGGTGCTTGTCATTATCTGTGCTGCTGTGCAATTCAACCTTTTGTATTAACGCACTTATGTCCTTCGAATCGTGTTGTTTAGCCGTGATTGTTCTTGTCCCCTGCTTGTTTAGTCTTTTTACCTTGTCGCATCACAAGTTTTGTTGTTGAGCTTCTTAATACCCACTGGCCATCTTTCAATAATGTCTGACATTTTATGTCAAATATGTGCTCCGATATTCCCTTCTCTGGTGTACCAACAATTTGTCTTTATTTTCTTTGTTTCCTTGGTCTTTTGGTACTGCAACGGGGATCTTCGCCGGACAAGATGATGTTCATTTAAAGTTGCATGCCAAGCTGGATTTCCGTCACATAGCGCACATGGCAAATGCCTTGCTTGGTGTTATCAATGTACAAACTCTGTATAGCAGAGCAATATAAGTACTGAAAATGACTTGTTCCTGCTCGTTGGGGTAAATGGCTTCTAAACTCCTAGCAAGTAGTGTAAGCCAATGTTGCAGGTGCTATGTCCCATGCAGATTTTCAGGGCTGGCCTGTACATACCACCAGAGTCATGTTGCATTTCAATATTGATTATACCTAAGACCTTACAGCAAGTGTTGATGGAGAGTCAAAGTGAAGGAAAAGGCTCGAAGATGACTCCTTTCAGAGATAGGGATGCACAGAGTAGTATCTTTGTCTGGAGTTCTCTTCTTCTTCTTCTTCTTCTTCTTCTTCTTCTTCTTCTTTGCCTCTTGGAGTTTTCTTTTTGGCTCATTTCTTGCTAGCTGTTTGCAAAGAATAGACAAAGGAAATTAACTCTCGCGCTAGGCCTCTAAATGGTAAATTATATGTCAGTGAAGTGCGGTGGAAGGAGGCGAAGTCATTGTATAACAAGACACAGCGGGACAACCAGATAGACATTGACCCAATTAGAAGAGATACTTGTTCCTGTTAGGCATCACATATTGCTACCTTCTCTTTGTCCCTTTCGAGCTACGATTGTTCAAGCTTAGCGTATGTTTCACCGCTACGCCTGTCATTTAATAAACAGTTAATCTTATTGCATTGATCCAATACCATTGCTTAAGACAAGACCTTCACCGAGACATCATGGATTGAATAATCAACATCCAATATTATTGCCTAGGGTATCTAGTCAAAGCACCGTTATTCACGTAGACATGTAGCTCTATATTCCCCTCAAGGCGACTATAAAAGCAGTCCTTCCACCCCTTCAACTACTCCTCCTGACTGGCCAACCCACTCTCCCCGACTTGTCAAGAGTATCAACATCGTGCCTCAAAGATGCAGTGCCAACGTAAGAAACCATCCTATCACCGGCACAACGATGACCCTCCTAACAAAGTCCACAGACACCTCACCCCCAACAGACCGCTACCACACCTGCCCACACCCACACCACTCCCCCTACTCCGAGGTCAACCTGCCCCCCATCCTCTTCCGCATGGACTCACCCATCGGGCAAGACCTCCCAGGCCTCTCTCCCCTAAGAGAAAACGGCCAGGTAGTACGAGACCACGAGGGCAAAGAGATCTGGGACTTCCCCTTCCTACCCCGATACATCACCAGCAATCCCCCAGGCTGGCTGCTCGAGTACTGGATGCGCACCGACCCACGCCTCACCTACCGCGACATCCGCGTCCGCATGACCGCGCCCCTTCATCTCCGCCCCAACGAAAACGCCCTCAACATGCGTCGAGAGCGCGACGCCCGTCGTCCTCTCCGCCTATCCTGCTGGACATACCGTCGTGGCGCCCCAGGCCGTCTTAACAAAATCGATGTCGAGCGCGTCGAGCGCTGGTCGGTCGATCAGATCCGCTACAACACCACCATGGATGTTGTTTATACCGATGGCGGCGGGCCTGTGCATCTCGCTGATCGTGCCTTGGCTGCGCACACGCCCGCCACCTATCCGTTGGGTTATTTTCTTAATCAGGGGAGAGCTGAGATCCCCAGTGAGCGGATTAGGGCTGCTCAGAGCGTGTTCTTTAGGTTGTCGGAGCGGGCGAAACAGTTAGGCTTTGCTTCTTGGAGGCAGTTGCCTGATAATGAGTGGCCTGATACTTTCAGGTATAATATCTCTCGATGAGGTGGAGGACGATAAAGATGGAAAGATGAAGTGTATGTCCGAGTTTGTTGGGACGTTGGATGTTTGGTTGTGTGGTGAACGGAGTGATTCAACCTCATGTGGTTATTTCGGACTCTGGAGGTGTCCTTTGAAAAGAGGAGGGGGGTTGAGGGTCTTTAAATACCTCTGCCTTGGGTGCAGAAAATGTGCAGAATGGCCTGCGTTTTTACGCGCATGTATGCGCCGAGAACAAGGAGTTGCTGCAGGATAAAGAAAGGTTATCTGACTGTGTGAATGGTTGTTAATGAGTCATGATTGGTAATGTTTTCTAATGATTCGTCGTACTCCTTCAATGTAAGAGATTGTAGATTCACTTAGATTGCTCTGTATTCCACATTGTTTCTACTGTATCGGCTTTTAATAGAGAAGAATGCTGTCTAAGCTAGAAAATCCTGTTGCAACTCCTCCTTCGTTGACATCCTTGGACTTGGTTCTCATCAACCATCCGCCTTGCTCATTGTGGGTGATCTTTCCATCAGCCTGATCCCACAGAATAGTTCCATAGACACCCAGCTCTCCGATGACTTCTCCACTCAGAACCTCTCCATCGGTTCTCAAGGCAATGTTCTTTGCCTCGGTAGGTGGTCTGATCAATTCCATGAGAATCCAGCGCTTCCATTCGCTTTCGGGGATGGAGTGCAAGAAGTCCGGAATGGCTTCCTTGTAAATATTGTTGCCACCACCCTCGCGCTGGGGCTTAAGAACGTGGTCCATGGCCGTTTCAACATTTAATGCAAGGTCCCTGCCACGTCCACCAGAGGACAGATCATATTGAGGCGCAAAGGTTTCCCGGAGCCTTGCAATAACGGCTGGGTCGGTGTCAGGTAAGAAGCTTGCAAGGTGGTCAGGGCCCGTGGTTTCGGCCAATACCTGTTGTACAATCTTACAACCGGCCAGCTGGTTTAGAACTGTAGGGCATTTGATCGCTGCAGAACGCTCGACGTGGGTCCGTGCTTCCCAATCACGCTCCGATTTGAAGTCGCTTGGCGCATAGAAGCACCGCAGATAAGTTGTCGTGACTTCAAATTGCGTTTCGGGGGAGTGGGGAGGCGAGTATACAAGGGGCCGCGATGGGTTGGAGGCTGGGATCGACGTGTGATCTAGAATCTCGGAGCTGAGCAGACGGAAAACGGGGATATTGTGAACCTTTGTCAGCTGCCTGAAGAGTGCCAATTGATCAAATGTGTTCCTCTCGTTCTCCTGGACCAAAAATATAATACATGTGGGAAGGGCGGGTGTGGACTTTGATGTGCCGTAGGCATTGTGTGCTGCAGCTAACCCCGCGGAAAGAGTCTCCACTGCTGTGTTCTCGGGCGGCGCATTCGACTCGAACAACGGGTGGGACGGATACGCAATTGGGTGGCCAGGAGGAGAATCGAGAAGTTCCGTATGCAGAGATGTCACAAGAGAGGACAAGCCTCCGAACGATGATGAGATCGTGTTGAATTCAACCTGCTTCAAGGAAGGTGTTGTAGAGCTGGACGGCGCATGGACCATATAATCCGATCGATAGAGTCCAAGTGATAGTGTCTGGACATATCCTTCTTTTTTGACAGCGAGATGGACTTTCCACAAGTGCGAAATGAAATCATCCACATCAATGAGACTACAAGCAAACATGGTTTAGTTCGGCTCACTGTCTAGTTCATAGATAGCATGCCCGATTGAGCTGCTCCCACCACTCAACCAAAGATGCGTTAGGATATATCTTACTCTTCCATGATCTTGCCAATCCATTCTTCGTTACATGTTATGGCAGCGTAGAGCCGATTATATACAGTTTGCAAAGCTGTCGCCTCATTGAAGCATGATTTTGGGAAGGGGCTAGGGAAGAGAGTAATAGGAGCATTCGTCGCAAGTACCCCAGAAGGATCAATTTCTTTTGAAACGAATGAAGGCGCAGGGCGAACCAGCAATCCGTTCTGCGTGGCCCAATCCTTGATGGTGGTCACCAAGTATTCCTTCTGTGCGGGGTTCAACGGAGGAGGATAATTGGTATAAATTTCGCCCATGATTGATGCAGCTGACGATCTATAATTTCATATAAAAGAATGGTTGAGAGAGGCACACCAGTAGTAGAACCGTCTAAAAGCAGGAAACGCCTCAGAGAAGTTGCGCGAAGAGAAGAAAACCAATGTCTTCAACCACCAAAAGTGAGGGGCAACGGGCCTCAACTTTGCTTATCAATCCAACTTTATCGTCGGAAGCTCCGAGACACCGCCTGATGCACCGCCCTTTGGGCCGGCAGAAACGTTAACTTTACTTGTAGATCACTTACTTTTCATCTCCTGCAGCGCAACGTGTACTGGACGCGTTGCACGTGTCATATTGCATAAAATTACTATTTTGAGCTGTATTTACTAATACACAGACGACACAAACCTCTAGATGTAATTCGAGGACATCATACATTCCGGCGGGCCGAAAGCCCGAGACCTGGTGGGTTACTTGCATTATCGGGAATATTTTATCACATTGATCGCTAATAACTCGAGTTTAACAGAACAAATGCCTGCTGAGGGAACAGATCCGGTCGACTGGTCTGTCGACGAAGTGGTCCAGTTCCTTTGCCATAATCCACACACCCCATGGTCACAGTCCGTGTCAGGGGCCCCTCGGCCTGACCCTACTTCCTTCGAGGCTGCTCTCCGCGACAATCTGATCACTGGAGAAGTGCTCTTAAACGATGTCGATAAGAGTGCGCTGCGAGATGATCTAGGATTGAGGGCCCTTGGGCACCGGAGCTCCATGCTCACGGCGATACGGTATCTTCAAGAACACTCCCTGAAATATCAAATCTCTCAAAGTCGGCTTGATTCTCCTAGAGAGAGTCACACTCCATGTCATTCAGCGTTTATTACACCGAAAGCTTCCCAGAAAGCCACACCACCGCTTTACTGTGGTCCTTTATCCTTAGATGCAACTCCACAACGTACTAACTTACTATCCAGTGTATCTACGGTGGTGAGTACAAACGCTGTAAATATGGCAGGTGTGCCCAATTCGGGAGGATCTACGGCTCCGTCCAGTACTCCTCAAGACAATTCTCACATCACAACGTTGCAGACTCATGTAGAAGATCTCGGCCCCCTTGAGCGTGTTCGCTCACATGAGCAAGTTTTCGTGGATACACACGGAAGGAAGCGGCGACGGCTAGACCCCACTACTCTGACTAGAAGTCGAGCTGATAATGAGCATACTTCAGATCCGCTGCAAGCCAAGGAGTGGTATATGGGACCGAGACAGATCACACCATCCCAATTATTCTACTCTCCTGATCCAGACCAAAATGACGAGTCCTTCACAATAGTTGGATCAAACTTTCCAACTGCACAGCGTTTGTTTGTGAACAGGTGTCTTCTTTATTTTCAAAAACAAAAGCCCATAATCCTGGACTCTGCCCAAGATCAAAGTCGATCAGCAATAGTACCATATAATATGTCCATTGTGAAAAGTGGCGAAAGACGTTTCACATTGTACACTGCGAAAAATGGAAAAGTCTCTGTTAGTACAGAAAACATAGAAGACTGGCCGCAACTAAATCGGTCGCAAGCAGTCTCTGGAGAAGTGCAGACGGACACACTAAATCTATCTGACCCTTTCTCTTATCTTTTACAGCGGTATCCAGTGCAAGACGAAAGTCAGGATGCATTTCCATTGTATGGAGACTCAGGATCCGAGGGTGAGTTTGACGAAGAGACTTGGCAAGAAATTGAAGACGAAAACCCAGGAGGATGGTCTCGGAAACCCTCTAAACTCACGCCTACGGAGAAAGAATCTGTAATCAGAGATTGTGTCTCCCAATATGAGAGCAAATGGCTTGATTCTTGCTTGCCAAAAGAAAAACCCAAGGCACGCAAGCTCTGGTTAAAGGCTAAGAAGGGGAGATTTACCAACCAAGAAATTAAAGGGCTCGTTAGGAAGATTACATCTCTAAACAAGCGTCTTAGGAAATTGCAGGACGCAGTCCGTGAAAGCGAGTACGCAACGAAGTCCGAGCTACAAACTCAGTGTCAAAGCATGGAGCAAACTGTGATGGATATTCAACAATATAGGTGGCGTGTTTCGATCTTGGAGCAAGAAACCTGTCCTCCGAAAATTTCAGCCCCTCTTAAACCTACGTCCGCACAAAGACCGAAACATAACTCCGGGGATGAAGAATCACTACATTCAGAGTCAGGCGATATGTCTGATGATTCTATGGATGACTTCATTGACAAATCTGATATTGAGGACCAACCCATACACGTTGAAAACAATAGCAGCACTCGAACCCCACCAATATCTGAAAGTGACGATGACATTATCAGCCCTTCTGGTATTAGGCGTCATTCAAGAGCGAGAAAACTTCCTTTTCGGGAGTCAAGCTCCCCGTCTCCACCCCCTTTGAACAAGAATAAGTACCCCATAGAATGCATTGACCTCACAGAAGACTCCCCGGCAGTCGATAATGAGGAGGAGTATAGGGTTGAGACTCCCCCCCTAAACCCAGTGTCGCGAGCGATAACGCAACCTTTCGAGGATCCTATCAAATCTGAACGGAGTTGCTCAATTTCCCCTGAACCATACCTTGGTCCCAGGGTGACGGTCGAGATTCCAGTTTACAAAACAAAGCACCCGAACCTTTTCAAACCCAGGAAGCGGCCGAGTCTCCCTGATATACACGACATTGACAAGCTTGTGTCGGTGCCTTGGGATTTACTGGAAGAGCGACAAGACCGCCGGAGACTATTAGCAAAACTGATTGCAACCCTTTCTATCGAAGAGCGAAATAAGTTGGCTCAGGCAGTTCCCAGATATTCTAGTTCAGATTTGCAGCAACTCACAGGAACTGGTCTAAAGATCTTGCTGAAGAATCAAGAAAGGATTCCAGAACTCGAGGAAGCTGAGAACCGCGTGGTCATGCGTGTTACTTCCTTTTATATCTCGTGGATAAACTGTGTCCACCTTCCGTCGGAAGGAATCCAGAAGAACCTTGTTCTCAACGCTCAATCTCGAATCAGCAGCTTTGTCACGTACTTCAACGAACTTTGCGCGCGCCTCGATGAATACCGCAAGAAGAAAGGTTCCAAGATGCATCGTCTCAATGAAAAGGAAGCGATATCTGATCTTACAGACACTCCTCACAAAAAGCGCAAGAGAGAGGTCAAGGAAAGCCAAAATGCGAAAAAGAGTCAGCAGAGCGCACAGCTTCGTGTTGCGCTGCAAGAGAAGCAGAGAAAGCTCCTTGAAAGGAAGATAGGCAGCACTAACACTGATCCTACACGTCAAGCAGTCAGCTTCGGAAATCCTGCTATTTATCTAGACCCTCAAATTGGCTTGCGTGTCAAGCCCCACCAATTGAATGGTGTTCAATTCATGTGGCGAGAGTTGATCGAAGATGAGAACAAACAAGGATGTCTGCTCGCTCACACAATGGGCTTAGGGAAAACAATGCAGGTTATATCGCTCCTTGCAACAATATCTGCGGCAGCGTCTTCCGATGATCCTAAGATACGGCAGCAGGTTCCTGCAGCTTTCCATAGATCTCAATCGTTGATTCTGTGCCCATCGTCCTTAATTGAAAATTGGTATGATGAGTTTCTCATGTGGGCTCCTGTACAATCGGGCATCGGGCCCTTGAGGAAGATAACAACTTCCGCCACAACGCCAGAGAGGCTACAGGAGGTGTGTGACTGGAATGAGGAAGGCGGGGTGCTTATCATGAGCTATGACATATTTCGGACGTGGATCCTGAATAGGGAGACAAATAAAAGGGGAAAGCCCTTGAATGATAGTGATTATGGCAAAGTCAGAGATTGCCTTCTCGAAGGACCTAACATTATTGTTGCCGACGAGGCCCACAAAATGAAAAACCCAGCCACTGGCATCTCGCAAGCCGCCATGCAGTTCCGCTCTAAAAGCCGCATTGCCCTGACTGGATCCCCTCTTGCGAACAATCTTATCGATTACTATGCGATGATCAACTGGATTGCGGAGGGCTACCTTGGCGAATTTGTGGAGTTCAAAGCAAAATTCGTGGAGCCCATAACGGAGGGACTTTATGTAGACAGTACGTACACAGAGAGGAGAAAGTCTTTGGTGAAGCTTCAAGTCCTCAAAGAAATCCTTGCTCCAAAGATCAACCGTGCCGATATCTCCGTGCTCGCTGGCAGTTTGCCAACCAAAGTCGAGTTCGTCATAACGGTTCCCTTGACGGACCTACAGAAACAAGCATATGATTCATATGTGGAGAGTATATTGCAAGGGAAAGGCGCTTTCGGCAGTGCGCAGCTATGGTCCTGGCTTGCGATTCTGAGTTTATGTTGCAATCATCCATCGTGTTTCAGAGACAAACTACTAAGCCGAGCAAGCGATGCACAGAAAATAAACAAGAGGCTAGATGATATGGAGATAATCCCCGGTGATGAACCTATCGCGCAGGCAGGCCTTCCAGATTCGGAAAAGCTGGTTTCAGAACAAGAACGGATCTTTGCTACAGTCCCTGACATAAAAGCCTTAGAAATGTCTCATCGGGCGCGGATCATGAATTCGATAATCGACGAATCTATCAGAGCGGGTGACAAGATCCTAGTTTTCTCACACAGTATCCCAACGCTCAACTATATTGAGTATGTTCTTCAGTCATCAAACCGAAAGTACTCTCGCCTAGATGGACGAACTCCCGTTGTGACTCGACAAGATGCGACAAAGAGATTCAATCGTGGCTCTGAACAGCAAGTGTACCTAATCTCAACGCGCGCAGGAGGGCTTGGCTTAAACATTCCTGGAGCGAACCGTGTTATCATTTTCGACTTTAAGTTTAGTCCGGTATGGGAAGAGCAGGCTGTTGGACGCGCCTATCGCTTGGGCCAGCAGAAACCAGTATTTGTCTACCGTTTTATTGCCGGTGGTACCTTTGAGGAGGTTATGTATAACAAGGCTGTCTTCAAGACCCAACTTGCTTTCCGTGTTGTCGATAAGAAGAATCCGGTTCGTTGGGCACAAAAGTCACTTGGTGAATATCTTTTCCCAGCCAAACCGGTCCCTCAAAAAACCATCGCCGAATATCTGGGGAGGGATCCACAAGTCTTAGACAAGATCATCATGGGTGACAACGGCGAGGAGAAGTCTATCCGCAATATTGCCCTCACTGAAACGTTCCAGAAGGAAGACAATGACAAATTGACAGAGGAAGAGAGACAGGGCGTCCAGCAGCAATTGAGCGACGAGCGCCTTAAGCGCACTGACCCGGAGGCTTACCAGAGGTTAATAGTGGATAGACAAAGGCAATCTTGGACTGCAGGCCAAATTCCGGCTTGGATCCCATCGTCATACACGCATCCAGCTCCCATGCAATCAGCTCCCATGCAATCAGCTCCCATGCAATCAGCTCCCATGCAATCAGCTCCCATGCAATCAGCTCCCATGCAATCAGCTCCCATGCTGTCTCAACCACCTTATATGCAGCCAACAGTTCCATCAAGCGCTCACAACACTGGGCCTCCCGCTCTAGCACCAGACATGAGCGTTTACCAAGAGCCTTTTAGGACACCGATGCCCTCAACATCCGCAGCCGCGATAAGTTTAACTTCAGGAATATACTCTTCGCGCTCTGCTCAGAGTGAACCACCTAACGAAAGCACCACACTCTACACCACTTTCAGGCTTTCACCTACCAGGAGCCTGGGACAAGGCGGTACACAGACAGATACGCAAATGGATGGTACCAGTTTCGACACAAATGTCCAGCAACCTGATATAACCGCGTATACAGCCCATCCCGAGCCCCCGCAATCAAGTACATCATCAGACGATAACTCCGAGCATCCTTGCCGCCAGCAGTGAGCAACCTCGAACACCCGAATCTTGGCCATTCTTACATTCTTCGGAATTTTGGTCTTTTCTTTCCATCGTGTTTTATCCAGAGCTTTTTTAGCGGCATGCAAATATTGGCAATTGCGAAGCCTTGTTTCAATTCACTAACATTCTTTTCTTTCTTATCTTCCCACTTCTCTTGTAAATTTCATACGTTTCTCTTTTCTTTGAACCCCTCCAAAAAAAGCAGCGACAGGTCATCTCTTTCTCATTTCAGCACGGAGTTTTAGGGGCAAAAGGACGCGATTGCGCCAATCGAAGCATGTGCTGCGCACAATAACGAGTCAACGATACATGAACAAATAACACAATAATAAGATACCTCAAAGCGTGCGTATGCATATTTGCCTCTTTTATGTAAATGGTATAGTTGCGAAGGGGCTGTAAAACTCATAGGAAGATCAGTTGTTATTCCCACTTTGATCTAGCCAGCAGATCCAGTCTTCTCTATTCAATTGATTTCGACAATGTTCGAAAGAAGCAGGGAAATAGGGAAAATATTACAACAGAAAAGTAACAGAAGCCCGACATGAGATTCCAGAATCTTCACAGTTCCATATCCGCACAGAAAACGTCCGAAAGTAGTCCAGGCCTGACAGGACGATGTAGATAGAATAGAAATCACTCCAGGGAGACGGTAGAGATTTAACAAAGACCTGTGTACACGATCAAGTAAGCAGCTTCTCGAGATCCGCAGCCCGAGTCGCTCTATCATCGACCTTCTTCTTAGCGGTTTCACGGAAAGCGGCTAACATCAACTTGCGTTTTGTTTCCTGGATGGCCAGGACGCGATCTTCAATGCTATCTTCCATCACCAGACGCCAGATAGTCGTTTCGCGCGTTTGGCCGAGGCGGTAGACTCGGTCGACGGCTTGGTCTTCTATTGCCGGGGCCCACCAGCTGTCGGCGAGGATAGCCTGGTTTGCTGCCACTAGGTTGAGGCCGACGCTGCAGACGCTCAAGCTTGCGAGAAGGACTTTGCAGTTAGGATCGCACGAAAACCGGTAGGTCGAGTTGTCGCGGACTAACGAGCTCATTTTGCCGTCGATACGGGCGAAGCCGATGCCATAGCGGTTGAGGTGAGGCTCGAGGAGGTTCAGGAATGAGGTCCATTGGCTGAAGACGACTGTTTTTGTGTCAGGGGCTTGGCCTTGGGCTGTGAGAATTTTGATTAGAGCTTCGATTTTACTGCTTGGATTCTCGGGGTCTGCGACAACAGTTTCAGTGCTTTCGCCCATTTCGACGGCAGGTTCAACGAGTGTGGATGTATCGTTGATCTCAGCACGACACATGGGACATTTGTGCTGGCGTTCGATTACTTGTTCGATACAACCTTTACAGAAAGCGTGGGCGCAGGCTGTGATGGCCGGTTGCTCTAGAGTGTCTAGACAGATGGGGCATGTCTCTTGACTCTCGACTTGGATTCGCAGCATGTCTTGAAGGGCTTTGATGTTCTCCGGCGTTAACGGGACGACCTTATTCTCCTCCAATAGCTGTGCAAGCTTTTCAACACGGTCCTTGCAGAGTGCCCAGTGATTACAGACTTGTCGGAGGCGAAGGAGCACTTCCAGGAGGTGTGAGTAAGTGGTACTGGACTTGTCTTTGGACTTGAAATCTAGAAGCATGCCTCTCGCTTCAGACCTGTTATGATTGTGAGCAAATGCCACGGACATTTCTGGGATCCGGTTATACATACTGGAACATATCATATTTCTCCTGCTCGTGAGCGTAGAACTTAATGCGAAGAACGCGGGAGGTAAGGGGCGGCAGACGCAGGTTCACAAACTCCATATCCTTTCTACGGCGTAAGCAAATGGTACTCATAAGTGCCTGGAGAAGCAAACGAGCATTCGGGTCCTCAGACATAAGTGGTCGGATCAACACGCTAGTGAATACCGTCATGTCCTCAAGGCCACCGGAAAGCCTTATGAAGCGAACCTGAGAATAAAGATCCTTGAGGGAGTTGACTATTGGCGTGCCAGTCAAGGTCCAGCGAGAGTCTGCTCGCAAATTGCATGCTGCTAACGCGCCTTTGGACCGTGGGTTACGGATCGTATGTCCCTCATCAAGGACTATACGGCGCCAGTGGACGGAAAAAATTCCTTTTTTGGGGGGCACTTTTGCATTCGGGTTGTATTCCATTGCAAGGGCGCCATAGCTTGTCACTACCACGTCGTACTGGTCAAGATTGGCGGCTTCTTTCTTTCCTGTCCCATGGTAGACATGTACCCGTGGAGCGCTCTCGCTATGTGTGTGGTCTTGTATTTGGTTTTTCCAGTTGCTCATAACTCCAACAGGAGCTACTATGAGTGTAGTTTTGGAGGAGCCTGGGGTCCTCGGTGCGGAGTTTGCCAGAATTAGGGAAATGATTTGGATAGTCTTTCCGAGCCCCATATCATCAGCCAGGATACCGCCACTTGCAAGAGGCGGCGCAATAGATGTGGAGAAGTGTGTCGCAATGTTGGTAAATTTATTGTCCTTTCTCTTCCAGAGTTGTACCACATCCTCAGATCCAGCAGCAGGGAGAGTAGGATTTTCTTTCTCAAGCATCCAGGCCAGTCCTTGGCGTTGATAAGGGAGGAGTTCCGTCGAAAGTGCAGCAGGACGATCAGCCATAGGCATTTTAGCCAAGTCTGCTTCACTTAAACCAAAGTTCTCGGCCACATGGCCAATATCCCGAGGGTTGAAAGTGCTGCTCTGGCCAATGAGTTCCTCTAGGCTCTCTCCTCCTTCAATATTGCCATCAGTATGAAGGTTGGAAAACATGGAGTTATTTGCTGCCTCCCACTGTTGTCCTTTGCCTTTGGCTAGCGCACGAGCTCTTTTTTCGGCCTCTTTCCGGGCCTTTTCGCGCTCCTTCTGCTGCTTCCGCTCCTCTCGCTCTCTCTGCTTGAATTCGCTTAAAGGCAGCTTGTCCTGTTCCATCTGACTTTTCAACTCTTGTCTCCTAGCCGGATCACTAGTGCCGAACAAGCTCAAAACAATTGGGCAATCCCAAGGCCCAATTTCCCCAGTCAACACGCCATCAACAACCAGCGACCTCGTATCCTACAAATGCAAGCTTCAGAACCGAAAGCACTACTAGCACGCATTTCACTGGGGACGTACCATGTATTTCGCCAACTTGGCCGCCATATTCCTCGGGATATGCCCAATCTGAGCTCCCATAACATTCTCAACGCGAATGGCATTAGAGTCATATTGATTACCTGGCTCACGTCTCAAAATCACGTGTTCACCATAAGTGGCATGCCCGCGATAGTAGCGAACGCCCACAATCTTTGTATTTACATTCCCGTAAAGCATCGAATTACCAGCCGCCGGATCATCGGCAGCCTGGCTCCCCGGAATTACATCTGCAGCTTGTGTGTCATCTTCTTCATCTCCTGTGGCCACCTGCGATAACTGGCTCAAGGGCATAAAGAGGGTATCCTCCCCAAGACGCTGTCCGTGACTGACGCGGGGTGTCTTAGCAGCCGAAGGCCGATTCTCATCATCGATTTGGGTCAGATCTATCTGATCAACCTGTCTCTTTCCTCTCCGGGCACCCATGGTGGTCTGGGAGATGGTAGGTAGTTGAAGGCTTGCAATTACTCATTAGGGGAAGTAGGATCGATTTCATTGTTCGTGGGTTGCGACAGTTCGATTCACGGAGTACTGTTCGTGACCATTCCTCTTTTGGGCTAGTGAACGTCAAGCATCCAACGCGCTATGACGCGACCCCACGTGATCCCCTATGATATCAGATTCGAGATGGATCGCCAAGTTGAAGTCAAGGTTCTATCAGCGAATTCTATAGAAATTATAAACTAAACACTATCTATAGGGTATTTTGAGAGGGGGATGGTAACCAGAAAGGGGATGTTTAGGGATCCATCAACGGATCACAATACAGGATACAGTCAGCGGTCATGAAAGAGGGGAATGGGCGGAAGGTCGCTATTTGAATGACTCGCGGGTGTTGACTCGATCAATGTCATAGGGGTTAGCATCGTACACAGTTTGAGAATTTACCCCCTCAGACCGGCGTGATGCCTGTGATGCTATAGACTTTCTTCGGTCGTACTTGGAGGCAGACGGGAGATCATCCAGTTGCGAGCTCGCTGGAGTGGGCTCGGACAGATTATCATCCACCTCTTTCAATCCCTCCATGGCATTATTCTCGGACTTCTTCTCCGCGTCTGTCTCTTCAGGAACATTGGTGCTTTGTTCCATCAACTTCTTCATAAAAGCGTCAGACTGCGCTGCATATTTGCATCGCGTCCTAATCGCTGGGCCGTATTTGTAAAAGAGAAAAGGAAACGGGATGCACGCGACTGCTAGAAATGCAGGGATACTGGAGGCCCAGTGCACACCTAGGTCATTGTACATGTATGTAGTGAAGAGCGGGAAAACAGCACCGAAGATGGAACGAAGCACAGAATTGGCAGCCAATACGGACGCAGCAAAGATTGTATAGGCATCAATCAGGTAATTCATCAAGCTGAGGAAGACCAGCACCATGCCAAATCCGAACGGCGCGCCGGCTGCGATACTGGCCATGAAATGAATCGAGGGATAGTTCGTCCAGGCAAACCAGAAAAGACCAATTGGTATGACAATCGAGGCAATCAGGCAAGGAGGCAGGCGAGCCTCGGGAGGTGCAAACCCATTGTGTCGTGCCTGGGTATTGATATAGCGTTTATTATCCCAGAGTGTGTAGGCTACCGCAAGGAGCATTCCAACCATGATTCCCAGAAAAGCCAGGCCAGAAACACCCTGGTTCCATCCTCGCTGGCCTTGGTAGACAATGGGAAAGGCTGCAAACATCATATATAGGGTACCATAGATGATAGCCATATAGATTGACAGCAAGAGCACGATCGGTTCACGGAACAGTAGGATCCATGGTCGAGATAGGGCGATCTGGAAGGCCTCTTTGGGTGTTTTCTTTCCTTGGTCTACCTCAACCTTACTTTGGTAAACTTTCCCGGTAAGTTTAGAGAGTTTGGCTGCCCGCCGCTGCAGAAGGACAGGAGCGTAAGTCTCCGGGACACAGATTGCCCCAAGAATCCAGAGAGCACCTGAGAAGATGGCTAAGAATCCCATCACCCACTTCCAACCTTCCTTCATGCCTAAGAACCCCCCAATGATTGGGCCAAGCACTGGACCTAAGAACGGGGCAGCTGCAAACACGCTCATTGCTATACCACGCTGGCTGGCTGGGAACATATCTGCGATCACGCCGCCAGCGTTGGTCAGCGGCGACGATCCAAAAGAACCTGCGAAGAAGCGGAAGATGATAAGTGACCAGATATTTTTTGACCCTGTACAAGCAGCGTTGAACACAGTCAACCCACAGTAACTGCCAATAAAAAGATACTGTCGTCCATATAACTCGCTCATGGGCGCCCAGAGCAACGGACCGATGGCGAATCCTACCACGAATAAGGATACTCCCAGCGTGGCTACTTCTGTACCGCAGTTGAATTGTTCCATAATTTGGTCCACACCGCCGGTGTATGCAGAAGATACTAGCGATACCGCTAAGGTCGCCCAGGCCACCGTTACTGTGTAGAACCATTTTCGGCTATCTTGGAAATTCATAGGATTTCGTGGATCATTGGGAAGCCAGGTGACGAGATAAGGGTCATCTTCAGTGCCGGAGCCCGCATAAGGGTAGTCAATGACTTCCTGAGTAAGTATCCCTTGGTCGATGATAAGGCGCCAATGTGGAATGCGAGTAGGCTGGACGGGCTCGCCTGTGTCTGCCATGCTTGTTGAATGTAGGTCAATGGCCTAAGCACTAATGTGTAGGGGTGTGGTACTAGTTCTTCTGCCGTCTGTTTCTCTTTCTTATCTTATTTTCTTTTGAGAACAAAGAAAGGTGGGTAAACTAAATCGAGACAATAGAATTAAATGAAGAAGAAAAAAAGTTTCTTGTAGATCAACCGATCCAGCACCACATAATTTTTAGGACAGTTGAGATCCGGGCAACAGGAAATCAAGCAAGAGGAGACCTGGTTCAGAAAAGGGTCGAATGCTGAAAAAATCGAGAGCAAAGCTATGATCAAGCCCAACATGCATAAGGTCAGGTATTAAGTATACTGATAACCGGGGGGGGAACTAAACAATGACAACGAGTCAACGACACCATCGGGCTTAACGGCAATAGTGACGGTACCATCGCGATAAGTCAGCATGGAATCGGCACAATCATTCGCAGCAACCAGCTTCGAGATGTCGGTGTTAAGAACGTTATGCAGCAGGATTCAGTATAGCATAAAGTTTGCTGATAAATCGGGTATTGAATCTGATGATCAATAATTTATCAATCCAATCAGAACCGACGCTCGCTAAGAAAGCACCGCACCATGGTAAGACGAAGGATCTAAAGGCGGGGATTGCCGACAAACTAATTCCGGAGGTCAACTCTTGAGAAATGCATTAAGTCTTCAGCATAAAGAAGGTGGATCATCCTGTATTGCGATGAATCTTCTCTCCAGGCGGGAGGCATCTCCACTGTGTTGAAAGCTGAAACTAATCAATTCGTAGACTAACCAGGGAACTAACAAGAGAGGTGGGAAATTGGGAAATGAGGGGAAGTTACTTCTTGATTACGAGAGACAAAAAGAAACTCTTATGCGCACGTGGTATGGAACATCATGAGATCAGGCCTGGAATTACTCAAAAAGGAGATCCCTAACTTACGATGACACCTAAGGTGTACTAACAAACAAACTACTAATTAATATGTACTTAGTGCTGATGTGATGCAACTATGTTTTAATGTTTTCACCCGCGTCTTATACAGTTCCTTATCCGATGCATAAAGTACGAATGATGATCCATGCTGGATTCTGGAACTTATCGAACCCATACTATACAACAACGAAAGCCAATGCTTTACCGTGACTTTTTTTGATCCTGTTGAACAAGCTTTCAACAAGCACTGATCTCCATTGGGATGAAAGGTACTAATCCTCCAGATCCTCGGTCCGCGTGAGGCTCATGGATTGCCACCGCTTGATTGGCCTCGACACGATAGCTACTTTTACTAGTAGTACGTAGCAATCCACTAAACTAATGCAGTCTAAATCAGAATGGTTCTTATATCCATCTATAAGTAGAAGTTTTGATCCGAACGGGATACAGGAAACAAACTTGTCCGCTCAATACGAGGATACGCCCAGAAATATATATGCCAAAGAGGGTAGAACACGTCCTTTGGTCGCATTGCTGAAATGGCGGTGGAACCGAAACATCATGCCGTTGGCCAAGGTTCTTAAAGCAAACTACGCGATCCGGGTTTTATTCCTTTCTGTGAAATTCTATACATGGAGCAGAGCTTGCGGGATGACTGGAAAATCATCGTGGCGAGGTGATTAGACAGAAGGCAAATCCACACCGATATCCCTTGCAAGGCCTGTTAGGATAAGCTCGCGGTTTCTGACGTTATTCTAACTGAACTACTACATACTCTCAACTCATTCATTTAAGTCTATACTAGGTACAGTAATACTATATATAGATTTCTTTCGTTGGGTTGTTGCATTCCCGAGAGGTTAGATTTCTCTTTTTTCTGGGAGACTCCTTTGCCTAGAACTGCAACGGATCATCCTATGGCCGACTCTCCTATTTCCTACCTCAACATCGTTCGCGACAATGGCGATCAATTGGACACGCACATTCACCATGGGGAGCTAAAACCCATATTCTTATGGCATCTGACTCTTTTCATAATCCTTCCTGTATCGGCACTTGTCATTCCTTGTCGGCAAAATACTCGCTATGTCCGCCCCCTCGTTCTCGTCCTCATCATCAGCCTGGCCCTCGAGGTTATCCGATATCGACGGGCCCTTCTTGGTGCAAATGGATACATGACAGGATTGGTGGCCGCATGGTGGTTCATATGGTCTGCGACATTGCTAGTTTTCCACAATGTCGAGAGGGAATTCTTGCGCGTTGAGCGAAAGGCTAGAACGACTGTGGATGCGACGTCGAAGCGCTCTATTCAGAACGGATATGCCTGCCCGAACGGTGGATTAAAGGACGCAAAACCAAAGGAACAGCAGTATATTGAATCCCTCATATGGCAGCCGTATCCCCTGTCCCTCTCGAAGAGGTTGAATTGGTCATTGGGTCTTCTATTCAACATGCGGGGCCCCGAATGGAATTGGCGCATATCGAGCATGGGCCCTTTGCCTCCCTCTGTGGAATCCCAACTTAAGTCTGGACCACTATCACGATATCCCCGAGGCGCAAGTAAGGTAACTGCATCATATTCAGGAGCTGAGACCAGAATCCGTACTGTAGCCTTCGACTGTCTCAAGTACTATCTCCTCCTGGATGTGATAAAGGTCCTCATGATGCACGACTTATACTTCTGGGGGGTCACATCGCCACCGCCTCCCCCTCCATTCCCATTAAACCAATTCCTTCCACCTGGAGCGGAATATATATACCGCGTCCTGATAACGGCATTGGGTGTATACGCCGCCGTAAGCTTTGTGGCCTTCTTTAACCCACTGATTTTCCTTGGACTGTCCCGGTTATTCCCCAACGTCTCCCGCAGCATAACCGCAGCGCCACTCGATGCGCCATGGCTTTATTCAGACACGTTTGGTCCGTTCCTCGTTCCCGTGCTGGACCACGGTCTTGCTGGCGCTTGGGGTGTATGGTGGCACCAGCTTTTCCGATTCGGATTCACATCCACGGCCCACTGGATTCTATCGCTTCTTCCCAACAGATTAGCCACAAACTCGCGTTTCAGGCGCCTCGTCATGATATTTGTCGCGTTCGCGCTTAGCGGTTTCATCCACGCCTGCGGGAGTTATACCCAGTGGTCCGACACTAAGCCTCTTTCCGGGACATTTCTGTTTTTCATTCTTCAATTTGTTGGCGTTACGATACAAGAATCTGTCTCTCATGTCGTAGTTCCAGCCCTGTTAGATAATTACACAGGTAAGTTAGGGAAGACTCGATTGCCTCGTTGGCTCCGACGGTCTGCGAATGCAGGCTTTGCTTTTGGGTGGCTGTGGTTGACCGCGGGTTTGATCATGGATGATTTCGCCAAGGGTGGCTTGTGGTTGACGGAACCTTTGCCAGTGAGTCCCCTGCGCGGATTGGGATTTGGTTATGGGGTGGAAGGGGAGGGGTGGTGGTGTTGGAAAACTCCGTGGTTTCGGTACTGGGACGGAGGGAGTTATTGGGAGAGGGGAATAAGAGTTATGTGAGTGCTTCCTATCTAGGCCGTTGTCCACGTCTATCTTTTGGTGTATCTAGGTGTATGCTTCTCTTGAATGGGATGCTTCGTTGGCTGGAAAATTATATAGAGGTTTTAGAGGATAGAGTATAGAGAGAACCTAGTTCATAGGAGATATATACGAATACAGTCATGATATTTTGTGGTTCAACGTTCGTAGCATACACATTAGCCCTCCATGGTCTCATCCTCATCCTCATCTTCGTCTTCCGTGTCCGGATCAATGTTCAATGCTGGCAGGTCATCATCGCTGTCGTCCTCTCCAGCATCTGTCAAGGTGGTCTGTGCGACGGCTGAGCCGGATAGGGGACCACCGACGGTCGTTGTAGATGGTGCATTCACGCTAGCAACCCGAGGGGGTGGAGCTGATGTAACGGTGGCTGAGGACGAAGGAACAGAGACAGCAGCGGTACCAGTAAATGTCGTGGGGGATGCTTTGTCCAACGATGGCTGACTGGCAACAGCGGAGACATCGCCTCCGACACGGGGTCGTTTACTCTGTAAGTTAGAATCTACTTTCCCTGTCGAACCGAGAGTGGGAGGCTGCGGCTTGCTGTCCTCCGCGAGACTGCGTTTGGTTAAGGCAGGGGCAGGCTTATGGGACACATCCGTGTCCATCATATCGTGGTGTAAGATAGGGGTGGATAACGGCTGGAGGAATCCAGTACTTTCAGGGGCTGCCCCAGAAACAGGCACAGGCACGTCTTCTTCTTCCTCCTCCCCCTCCATATCAGTATATCCACCAACACCGGAAGCATTCATCAAAACGGGCATCCTAGGTCTAATAAGGCCCTCCACCTCCATCTCCGCGGGGAAGCTGCGGGCCAAGAATGGCATGATACTGGCGCTTACTCCACGACCCTTTACAGCAGGTACAGGATTAAGAACGCTGGCAAGCATATTGTGCTTATCAGATGTTAAGATAATCGTCCGATCAATTTCAGCTCGGAGCGAAGGAGACAAGTATTCAGTCGGAGCGTGTGTAAGCACTCCAGCCAGTAGTTCCGATGCGGATCTTGTAAGGTTAGAGAAAGAGGACATATTAGACTGGCGGCCTTGCTTCAACATGGGGTTGAGGAAGGAGTCAGCGTTTGCTGTAGCATGATTGGACTTGGCTTTGCCTTTCGCGTCAGACGATGCTCTCGCCGAGGCGCTCTGATCGTGCGCGGGAGGCAAAAGATCATGGCATGAAGTTCGGATCAGATCAGCAAGAGAAGCGAGGCTTTGCTTTGTCAACGAAGGACCCATGCGGGTGAGCAGGGTCTGAACGAGGTCATATGCGGAAACGCGAATTTCTCGACTGAATTTTTCCGCACGGTAGACCCAGAGAGTCTGCTCTAAAATCGTCTGTGTCACCGGGATGGCACCGGTCTCTAGAACCTTTACAAGGTTTTGAAGGAGCTCCATGCAGCCGACGTGAATACGAGGAAGTTCAGCGAACAGGTGCTCCCTTTCCGTACGGCTAATCTGCGGGTTGGCCTGGACATCCCGTCCATCGGAGGGAATAACCACGGCAGTCAGTCGCGATGTAAGATCCAAAATGGGGCCTACCGGAATGGCGACCATAGAAGCAGTCGCGGTGGTAAGGCAGGTAGAGAGCATTTGAAGGAGTACGACAAGTCTGTTCACACCCGAGTCAAGTCCCTGCCAACCGGCGAGCCCCAGAGTATCTAGGCCGCCATCACTAACTTCCCTGCTATAATCCTGCGGTCTTGAGGCTTGTCGAAGAGCTGGGTCCACGGATTCCCACTGTTCCACTACCGCCCGGAATACGTAATCCGCAGCCCCATGAATAGAAGCTATTGTCATCTGGCAAGCATTCTTCCATTCCTCCCCAGATGTATTCTTCGGAGCGCAATGGTGCAAAGAGATAAACAGTCGTTCGGCAGAGTCTAATGCAGTCTGAGGAAATGTAGGCGACGTCGAACCTATTATTGCTTGAAGGATACTGTGGATCTGCGCCGAGAATGGACGGAAAATGGTTGGATGCCGTGCGATCATTTCTCCGAGTGCATTGAGGACGGTTTCCAGGAATGGACTGTGAGGCTTCAGCTTCCTGATCGGTTCCGACGAAGGTTTGACCGAGATAAGATTCAAAGCCGAGGTAATGAAGCTTGGTAAAGATGGGGTTGTTATCTCGCGCACGAGGGTGGGATACTGATAGGTAAGGTGGAAGATGCGTGTCAAAGTGATGATAGACATTTTCTTGGTGGAATTAGGGTCGGGTTTCTGTTTGGCGATAGTATCAGCATCTTATTTGGAAGTGAATTAATCGAATTCCAATTGCGATCCATAAATCAAGAACGTACCGCAAGGATCGCAATGAGACCACGAACAAGTGGTTCGCATCCCCGTAGGATTTCCCATTGACCGGCCTCCACGACGGCTTTTACAAGCACGACCGCAGTCCATCGACCTTCCGGAGATTTATCCTGTAGCAAGCTCGCCAGGCGAGTCATAAGCTTGTGGACTTGAACGGCATTATCCGACTCAGATTTGGACTTTTGATTTTGCGGCGCAGAAAGTAGCTCCCCGCAATTGCTCAACGACGTCGCGAGACATGATGCAATGGGAGGCAATTGTTTGACGGGTATGTTGGTCAGACGATGATTGACAGCATGTAAGGACATCGACATGGAAGCCATCTTGGCAAAGCGTCCGTGTCCTTGTCAAATAAATGCTGTAACTTTCGGTGATCTTTGGAGAACGTTTTTTTTTTTTTTTTTTTTTTGGGAGAAGCGGAAAAGCTTTGACCACATGAAGCCTCGGAGGTACCGTACGGACCGTACCATACGCTACAGACTGTGTTATCGGTAAGGTAAAAGTGGTACTAAGCGTTACCAACCGACCAATAATTACACTTGCGTAACCCCCCAAGCGGGTCTCAATGGTGGTTCCTAGTTGTTCCTCTCCCCTGGACAATGATGATCACCAGAGTTAAGTCCTCGGGAGTTGCACCTTGAGGAGAAGTACACTTTTGTTCTTCCTAGGTAGCAGATCTTGTGCCGGAGCCTCGGGGTGGGCATTAATTATGGGTACTGGTTCAACTGCCCTCCCCCAGATTCTGCTATTCTCCTAACTTTTAACATTCCACCCTTAATCATGGCTGTAAGTACTTGTCCTTAACCTTCTGCCACATCAGGCTACGTGTTACTCTCCTTCACTTCGTAAAAGAGTTATTCAATTCCTTCAATTCTGTTGACACATGCTTCGGTTAGGCTCGAGATTCTGATAAGGGGCGTCGCTATATTGCTGCCTTGGACAACGCCCGTTGTCAGAATAAGTGGGATGAGATTCCCGAACTCATTCGCAAAGTGACCAAGCATGCACCTCAAAAGACTTGTAATATTCTCTCTTACTCTATCAGGTGTCATTGGCAATCTACAAAGAAGCTAACCGAGGTGCGATAGGCCTGCTAGAGGTAGCCTCCGCTGAATACCAGGTGGCCTTACATTCCCCGCAACGGCCATCTTCTGCTCAATCTTCCTCCGCGTCCTCGTCCTCGGCTTTGCCAGAACTTATTCCTCACCTTTTGTCTACTGTCGAAAAGGCAGATGGCCCCCCACAAGATATCTTTCAAGCTCAAGTTTGTCTAGGATGGGTACACTGGACACTCAATGAACCAGGGTTGGCAGTGGCTCGTCTCCCGGACGACTTCGATGAGACAGTTCACAAGCTCACAAGTACTGGAGAGGAGCTTTCGCCATGGACTAAAGTATGTATTGCCAAGGCATGCTATCTCAAAGGTATTTATCTCAATTTCTGAGCGTCTTTCCATCCTCTAACGGGAATAGGTGCCGGGCAACACAAAGTATCCGGGTCCGCCGACGCACTGGACACACTTCAGGCCCTTACTTCGTGGTTGAGTAGTCACAATGGGCTGTCTTCAGATAGCTCCCAATTTTTACACTGGTCCGAGCAACTCGCATCTGAAAGCGCACTGGTCGCTAGCACGGAGGCCCTCAAGACTATTCCCATGGCTGATGAAGCCCTCATGAAGACCGCGTTGAGACTCCTTCGGGTGTGGTCTGCACACCCACATGTTAAACAAGGAGCCTTGCCTCATATCGACGGCTTCGACGTATGTACACCAAAGTATTTAACATGGAAGTCATACTATGACCTCTTGTCAGCCACCCTGCAACACGATTTAGCATACGTACCACCGGCAAGCGGGTCAGAACGCCAGCAGCTTGCTGCTGAAATACGCCGCGTGGAGTCGATGTATGAGAGTAGCCTTCTCCGTGAATCTAAATTTCCCACAGCATATGCGGAAAGCACACAAATCGAAGACTGGGTGGAGCAAGTAATCACGAACTGGGAAATACTCTGCGGGCCTCAATGGACTGATGAAGACCTTGGAGAAGGAGGCCAAAACGCAGTTGGTAGGAACGTCCTTGATGTAAGTGCTTTGTGAAGCCCATTAGTTGGTTACGCTAACGTCCTCTATACTAGATCCTGTATCGTGCAGCTACGAAAACATACCATTCTCACTTGATACTCCGGCGCTTATTTCACGTTCATTCGGCATTGGCCGACTTTGATCTCGCTCTAAAGGCTCTTGACTCGTATATCGAGATTGTCGTAAGCGCGAAAGAAAGGGCAGAGAAGTCGGCACAGTATGGGGAATTGGAAAACGATGGCACTTTATTGCGGACTCTCTCCGAAGGGGTCACTATGCTGTGTTGTTTCGGCTCAGAAAAAGAAGCCGAGAAAGCTAGGGAGTTGACGACTCTCATGAAGGAGTTCATTAACAAACATGTCCAAGAAGTTGAGGGCGACGACGAGGAGCAAGTAAAGCTTCTAATCTCGTCAGATACAGGCTCGACTGGTTCCCAGGCAGTGTCTCCTACTGACATTGCGGCGGCTTATAGAGGTGTTGGTATAGGTCTTGCGGCCTGGGCTAACTGGACACCCGTGAATGAAGAACGTAACGATATACGATCCGAAGCCATTGATAATCTGGAAAAGAGTACTGCGCCGGAGCTAGAAGACGAGACCAACTATTCATCTCTATATACGCTTGCTCTACTTCTCGCAGAAGATCGAGATCTGGATAGTGCGATTGACTGTGTCAAGACAGCGTTGACAGCGAAGACACAGCCAGGCACCGTTCAAGGGTATTTTACACGGGAACGAGACCTTGTTCCGCTATGGCATCTGCTTGCCCTTTTACTAAGTGCAAAGCATGATTTTGATATTGCTGAGCGCTCTTGCGAGGCTGCATTTGAGCAGTTCCCTGCCGCAGTCACTTCTCTAGCCCACCACGAGAGAAGGCCACAAAAGCAACAGCAGGCTACCCAAGACCAGGCCAACGGCGCTGGATTACAGCGTACCTTAATTGAGGAACTTCGAGGCCGTGAGAAAGAACGTATAATCGAGACGCGCATGACTCAGTTAGCATTTGTTGAACTTCTGGAGGGCCCAGAAGCTGCTGTTAACCATAGCGAACAATTACTCGGGCTATTTGCAACTCTATTCGGCAATTTAGCCCTTGAAGCTGACGATAAGAAAGATTCCCAGACAGACAACCTCAGACCCCCATCGAGCTCCGCGCATACCGTGAAAAGTCTCCGCGGCAGTATATTTGGGAGGCATAAAGGACCCCGCGCACCAGACCGTCGGGTGCAATCTGGATCTGACCATAAGACAGATGGAAACAGTCCTTCGGTAGTACCGAATGAGTCGGACCAGGCGCCAACCATTCAGGTCACGCACGAGGATAAACACCTTGGCCACGAAAATCCTCAAGACTCGCGGAAATTGCGGAAACGCAGCAGTACCCTTAAGAAGGGCGACAATGCACCCGGCCCAAACCATAGCCACATAAATGGTGATGGGCCCGTCGTGAATGGTGTGGGAAGTGTAGAGCAACCGAATGGAGGAGAAACCCCTTCCCCAGATATGGTTGCAGCGGCAGTGTCTGGAAACAAGGAACAAAGTGGAAAGCAGCCCTTGCGACCTGTTGCTCATAACATGAGCCATACGCGACAGCCGCCACCCATGGGTCATGCGAAGCAGCCGCCTGAACAGGATGTTCGTCTGCCAACATCATATGGTTTTGATTCTCCGACTAAAGCGGTGACTAAGTTCCCGCTTGCCCAGGCCCAAAAGCATGCCCTCTGTATCCTCGTCAAAATTTGGCTTCTCATTGCTGGGCTGTATCGGCGCGCAGCGTTGTTTGACGATGCATTTGAAGCGTGTGAGGAAGCCGCCAAGCATGTTTCGCGAGTCGAAGCCCTTTGCGCAACTCAAGACTCTTCTGCTAGGTCATTCAGAGAGCGTGGTTGGGGTGCGCCGAAGAGTGCCGACGAACTTTGGGCCGACCTCCTTGCTGAACGGGCGTTCTTGTCGAATGCTCAGTCACGCCGTCACAAAGCAATGGATCAGTTCGAACAAGCATTGATGCGCGACCCTGACCATCCCAAAGCCACCATTGGCCTGGCAAACATTCTCCTCGATATTTGGGATCAACAGATGCCGCTGCTGCCACCAGAGCCTGAGATTGAACTTGATATGTCGATGCTGACGCTAGTGTCTCCCGAGAAGCAAAGCTCAACAGCGAAAAAGGCTGACGAAAAGGCTACAAACAGACAATCATTCGCTGAAACACCGGACTCCGAACATAGCCAAGTCCCACATGCTATTCAAGACGTGGAGCCTAAACTTCTCAATCGCATCGCCGCTCGTGACCGAGCTTACGGTCTGCTCTCGGCCCTGACCAAACGCGGTAGTTCTTGGGACAATTCTGAAGCTTGGTATACACTCTCCAGAGCGTACGAAGCCGAGGGGAATACTGAGAAATTGAAAGAGGTGTTGTGGTGGTGTGTTGAGCTCGAAGACCGACGACCAATCCGGCACTGGTCTAACCTCGGTTCGGGTGTATATGTTCTCTAAATAGCGAGGAATTGCTTTCTTGTATTTAACCTTGTTGAAAGAGCAGCTCTTTCATCTTGTACTTAATAAGATACCTCCCGTTATAGAATTATGAATAGATACTATTTTATACATACGGGGAAAATTACAAGGCGTTTCAGATGGAACAACTTTGATGGAATCAAACGACCAATAGGACAACTTTATTTACACATCACCCAACAATGGTCTTACAGTTGGGGTCAATCAGAACCAAGTTAAAGCTCAAGGAAGGTTGCTCCTCATCTAGTTACGGGGAGCCGCGACAGGGTCCCAAGCGGAGTATTTCGGCTTGACGCTGAGAGAGGCATTAGTGAGCGTTGCTTCAAACAGGTTGTCTTTCTTTCTTTCTTTCTTTCTCTAGCTCCACCCCTCCCCAAAGGACACAAAAGGTAACAACTTACGTATTGTAGGTCTTGAAAGCAGCACGGGAGAGCGTGAGCATAGGCCGATGCTCGGACAACTCCCAAGTGCGCACACCAGTCTGCAAGATCTTGTCCGCGGTAGGAGGCTGGTCGACCATGTAAGAGATCCAGGCGTGCCTGTTTAAGAAATTTAAAAACATGCCCTACAGCTGACGGAAAATGGTATAATCGAATGGGATCCTCACCAGCCGGGCTCAATCTGTGAAGGGTCGTATTCCTTCTCCTTGTAGTCGACCCATCGTGTCCGGACTGCATCCCCAGTTAATCCTGGCCCAGAAATACCTTCTATCAGTACTCACGAGGAAGCTCCTCCTCAAGGTTCTCGAAAAACTTGTTGCCGTAGCGGTCGACGCCAATCAAGGTACCGGCTTTGGTATCACCTGAAGTCGCAATTGCGTCAGTAACCGGCCAAGACCGGTCAATTGAGGGCAAACTATACCGATGTACTATCCACGCGAAAGCCCGCTCTGTAAGCATTCATCCAAACATAATTGGCCGTCTCCCTTCACCCATGTCAATGTCCCGGGAGTTGCGTACCTGCATCTGGTGACCATAGTCCTGTGGAGGGATGAAAATTAGCTCTCGAATCCCCGCGTAAGCAACCCCGAATCAGCGACGAACCTTGATACCAATCCTCCTCAGGTTCCGCAGCGTCCGAAGAATAGTCGACATCTTGGGCAAAGTGCAGCAGTAAGCTCGTCGTCCGTCTGCAATGCTAATCGAAGTGAAGCGGTTGGTTGTTCCGTTTGATCGATTGGAGTCGAGGACCCGCTCAATGCGGTCTAGTGCGGCGTACGGTTTGCAATGTTTGCAACCATGCCCGTGATCGACGTCTGTGGACAGTTTACTTTCACCTCCAATTGACGCCCCGCCTGCGAATTGCTGTTTTTTAAATTCTGTTATTGCAGGTGGTTACGGAAGGAGTGAAAAGATGTTCGGTCGCGTCGGAGGTCAGACTTTCCGGTGTGTCGTGCGCAGGCCGATCGTGCGGAGGAGACTCTGTGAGCGCAAATTCTCGGCCTATACAACCAGCACCAGTCCCAGCGCGAATGCGTCCTCTACAGCTTCACCCTTGGGAAGTATCACTTCGGAGCTTGATCGGATTGCTCCCTGCTTTGAGGTTCCGGCTTCGCGAATTACAATCTTGGACTCTCCTGCTAGTTTCTATAGCACCCTCAAGGTAAGTCTATATATGATATAATTAAACGGAGATAGTCCGGGACTAATGCGGAGGGTTTGCAGAGCAAGATACGAAAGGCCCGGAAGCGCGTCTACCTCTCTACGTTGTATATCGGAAAATCGGAGCACGAGCTTATTGAGACAGTGAACCAGGCTCTACATGACAATCCCGATCTCAAAGTATCCATTCTGACGGACGCCTTACGAGGAACTCGCGAGACGCCGAATCCCTCATGCGCTTCACTTCTGGCCTCGCTGGTCGCTGAACATGGCTCGGATAGGGTGGAAATCCGCATGTTCCATACCCCGAATCTCACGGGATTGAGAAAGAAATGGATCCCTAAGAGGATCAACGAGGGTTGGGGTCTTCAACATATGAAGCTTTATGGCATTGACGACGAGATTATACTCTCCGGGTATGGTATCTTTTTTTTTTTTTTTTTTTTAACAAAATTCGTCTTTCAGACTATCAGCTAATGATATATATGCAGAGCGAACCTTTCCAATGATTATTTCACGAACCGCGTGGATCGATATCATGTTTTCAAGTCTAAAGAACTGGCCGATTATTATGGCAGTATCCACCACGCAGTATGTAGTCTGAGCTACCAAATACTACCGGATCCGCATAACACTGCTGGATATCTTATGGATTGGCCAACATCCAACGGCACGGCATCACCGTTGGAAGACCCCGAGAGCTTCACCTCCTACGCTTCTACAGTCTTGAACCCTCTTATTCAACCGGCCCAAACGAAACACGCACTTGAACAGAAATCCTCAGACGGAACATATGTCTACCCCGTTGCCCAATTCACCCCACTACTAAGACCCGATACCTCTACGGAGTTCCCCGCAGTGACCACAATCCTTCGCATGCTATCAACATCCCCCGCGTCCTCCGGTGCCCGCTGGTTGTTCACCGCCGGCTATTTCAACATCCACCCTGTCCTCTCCTCTCTACTGATCGCAAGCACATCAACCTCACATACCGAATCCACGACACGTGGTACCGTGCTCACAGCATCCCCTTGGGCCAATGGTTTCTACGGTTCCCCCGGCATTTCCGGCATGCTTCCTGCCGCATACACCCATCTCTCTGCACGGTTCCTTGACCGTGTAGCTGCGGCACAGAGAACGAATTCCATTCAGCTGAAAGAATGGCGACGCGGAACGGTCGGGGAACCAGGTGGCTGGACTTACCATGCTAAGGGTCTTTGGATCACGCTACCCAAGGAAGAACATCCCAGCCTGACTTTCGTGGGGAGCAGCAACTATACCAAGCGTAGTTATAGCCTTGATCTAGAGGCTGGCGCGCTGGTCGTTACCGGTGACCAGGACCTGAAGCGGAGACTTGGTGCAGAGAGTGAATGGTTACAGAAGGAGTCTCAAGCTATCTCACGGGATGACTTGAGAAGAACCGAACGTCGTGTTAGTTGGAATGTTCGTTTGGCGATGTGGATTGTTGAGAAAGTCGGCGGTGCCTTGTAGGGTGTAGCAAACCCTTCTCAGGGATGATGGGGGCAGTATTTATTCTATGGTAATGATAGAATTGGTATACCCATGTACCTTATATGTAACATATACAGTGTCTTATATAGATTAGAACGAGGGAGCTTGTACTGCAATGTTTTTATAGAAAGACTCGCCCGTTGAAAGCCACTACTTTTCTGAAGGATATAACGAATTGCAGGAGAATAAATGGTAGTAAGAATATATATATTATCAAAATATCCCAAACCAGACCTACGCCATCTAATTAAGTGGTTTATGATAGGAACAACCAAAAATAACCCTAGTAATACAAGTTGATGAAAGAATGTTTTCTGAGAAAAGAAAGAACCCCCTCCACAAATCTAACAACAAATAAAAAAGATATGAGAATCTAGAAAAAGAAAGAGTATGCAAAGACCAAGACGGTAGCAATAGTAGCAGCTGAGTACTCGAACTCAAACCAAACGGCCTGACCACCGAAGGCGATGCGCTTACTCTCCTCCGTGGGATGAGCAACACCAGTCTTCTGATCCCGCACGAGCAGATCCTCTCGATCAGGCATGATTGGGGGATTAATGGCATAGGCGATCGGCGTCCACATAGAGCTGCAGATGAAGAAGAAAGCGAAAGGTGGCCAGAAGGCATGTGTGATCAGACAGATGATGACGTCCTTGGCGCCGTTTTCGACGGAGAAGCAGCGGTAGGATGAAATGATCACTGCGATCAGAGTGACATAAACGAAGGCTAGATGGAATACCACCATATAGTTCAAGAATATGACGCGTAGACGAACGAACATGTTCTTGGTGAGTTTCGGGTCGCGCTCGTTGAGTGCGGAGGAGAGGGATCCGGTTGGTTTGAAGGCTTGCGTTTGACCTCCGAGCCATTTGGGGAGGATAAATGAGCGGACCATGCAGACTGCCATGTAGGGTGCCATCCAGAGTTGGAATCGGGAATTTCTTTGGCCCGTGTGGTAGCCTGCTGGGGAGAATAATGTTGCTTCGCAGAGCCGGTTGATGATGGTTGAGGCGAAACAGGCCCAGATGAGCCAGTGGAGTTGGTCCTCATTTGCGTACGCAACCAGAGGTTTGCCCCACAGGAGAATAATAGGAATGGTAAATAGAGACGCAGTGAGAAGGAGAGTAAATAAGTTGAGGATTGCGTAGATGAATCCGGAGAAGCGTTGGGCGAAGGTCAGATGCTGAACACTCTTACCCCATAGGCAGAAATTCAGCTTGGCTGCTGTGTCCACGGTTCCTATCGCCCATCGGGTACGTTGCTTGAGATGCCCACCGTAGTCTTCTGGTACTGTCCCAAACTGAAGGGGTTCGTGGATGTATACTGTTTTCCAGCCTCTGCCGAGCATAAGAGTTGAGGTTGCGACATCTTCAGTAAGAGTCCCCAGAGGGAAGTTGCCGATGTCTTCAAGAGCTTGACGGCGAACCACATAGCCGGATCCAGTACACCAGGCCACGCCAAGGGCATCTTTGATCGGCTCAATGATATGTACGAAGAAGTCCAGACTCTGTCCGAGGGGATCCGAGGCTGGTGTATTGTAGAAGAGCTGAGGAGGACATGCGAGGGCTACCTTGGAATCCCTGAGGAGATGGGGAAGGACAGCACGCAGCCATTCACGTTCAGGGATCTGGGTGATGTTAGTTGGTCAGAGATCAAAGGCGAACAAGGTCAATGAGGTCACTAACCATATCAGCGTCTAGTGCTGCTATCAACTCACTTGCTCCTCCAGGCAAATATTGCACTTGTTCGAGGCCATAGTTGAGGTTGCCAGCCTTGAAGTGGTGTGGCTTGCCAGGGATCTTTTCTCGTGCCATGTAGAAGATGTTGGGATAGATTGTGGCCAACTCCTTCACAGCAGCTGCCAGGGATGCAGATTTGGCGTCGTCTAGTACGATAACCCTGAATTTGTCCAGTGGATAATCTTGGTCACACGCACCACGGACGGTGTCCAAAACAACAATATCGTCTTCTCCGCAACAGGTGACGAAGACATCCACCGTAGGGACCTTATCTCCAGTCAACCTAAGCTTAGGCCTGCTTCTTTTCTTCCATGCCATGATGGTCCAAAGGTTATGGATCAGAGAGGGTATAGCCACAGCCATCTCAATGGCGACAAAGACCCATGCCCCGCCATAGTAGATGTCAACCGACCTTTGTGCCATAACGATACAATAGATACGCAGACCAAGATAAAACAAGTACACGGCCGTGTTGGTGATGGTAAAGAGCGGAGCGAGGGCGAAGACCCATCGCCTCCACCCGGTCGAGATATCGACATCATCTCGATTATGAAGAACAGCTATGTTCGAAGAGCCAGTGGGATCAGAATGAATCTCATCAACTTGGGCTTCCTTACACTAGACATTCGGCCAAGTAAAGTCCGTTAGCTCTAACATGATCATCCCCTGAAAGTATCGGAAAGAAGACAGTAATTACCAAGGACGGTGAAGAGTCTGAAGGGGTATTTGTGAAGGATTTTGCTGTATCAGAACTCCCGAAGGACAAATGCCCTGGGCGGATTGGTATCGCGCCTTTGGCATATTCGTCCTGACATTCGAAGCTGTTAGAGTTGTGTTCAGTTTCATAGATGTTCAAGGCAGCTGCTTTCTCTTGATCTTGCTGACCCTCGTGGTGGTCAACCATCTTGAGACTGGCCTTGAGCTATATAGTCTTCACGATGAAAGTATAATCAATTAGGCTTATGCTCTCAAGATCAGGGTCGTCCCAGGTAGGTTGCCAGAGAATTTTATACATCGTGTATGACTTCCTAATAGCCGAACAATATTTATCTGCCGCAAAGCTCGCTAAGACAACTACCCACATTATCGGTAAGTCCATGGCGATAGAGAAACTCAAATTTGCATGATGCAGGTTCATCAATATGATGTATTGACTCAGTGCTGCAAGGAACCTGCCCTCCCACGCCTTCCAAGGGACGATGTTCATGTGCTGCGTCATATCCTGTATACCGAATTAGGGTTTGCGATCGATACGTCCCCTGCATGAGGGCAAACTATAAGATCTCCGAGATTCAAACTTAGCAGCCGCCGATGATCAACTACTCTTAATCGACGGGGGGGCCTAAAAACTATTGAAGTCTTTTCGTTAGTGCAGCCCACTCAGGGTAATTTGATATCAGAAAGGAGGGCTTAGCTGAGCTTGAATTAAGGTTGTGTTATGCCTCCTTTCCTACGAATAGCCCTAGCTCTGATCCGGGTCACTACCATCCGAAACCAACAACAAAATGTAAAAGTCCCAACGAATGCCCCGAAATTTCTTTCGTAGATTTCCAAATCAAATCAAGGTAACATGGCTCTTCAATTGCTCGTGAACGCTGGCCTGCTGGCCCTCCCAATCGGTGGCTCTATTGGAACTCTCATGGGTATTGACGCACACCGTCAAGCAACAGGACAGCGACCTCTCTTCTACAATGAAATCGGTAATGATGGAAGTACCTCTCGCAATGGCATTACCAACACACGATACTGTGATTTGTTCAATCCTATTTCACCGAAGTCAAACGGCCAACTTTACACATGTAAGTCCGTGTGAGCTGCTGGCAGGATTTCGGGGCAAATGTTGACTTGGGAGCATAGTGAACCCCAACCAGTGGGGCGTGACAGACAAAACAGTAGGAGGATTGTGTATGAATGTAAGTACTTCTACTTTGATACTTCAGTTATGTTACTTTATGGATTGTCATACTCATCATGTCTGTCTGATCAAGGTCACCACCATTGCCAATGGCTCCTACCCGACTATGTCAACAGCACCAGAGTTTTCTGTGACATGGAAATTCGACCAGGAAACCAAGGACCAGACAGTGCATGCCTTCCCGAACGTCCAGGTTGACAATGTTCTTCCCGCTTCACTTGCAGACATAGAGCACCTGAACCTCGATGTCCATTGGACATATGCAATGGGCAACAAAACCGCGAACATAACGGATGACGCGAAGTTCAAGGATGTCAATACCAACGTCGCTCTTGATATGTTCTTTGATAGCGACATCAAGGCCGCGAAGAACGTCTCGATAGCTAAGTACGAAATGATGATTTGGTTTGCCGGCTATGGCCAGGCCAAACCATTTGGGTATGAAGATGGTATTGTCAAAACTAAAGACCTAAACGGCACGACCTTGTGAGTGGCCTATAGTCCCATTATTGGACGCCTCGACATATGCTGACATCTTTTACAGCCAACTGTATACTGGTCAGAATGATCTTAAACAGGAGGTCCTGACGTGGTACGCAGCAAACACTACGGAGAAGTTTGATGGTGATATTCTCCCTCTCATCTCTGACCTATATCACCTAAACAAAGATATCGAATTATCCAAGAGTGACTATCTGGGAGTTCTGAGTATGGGTACTGAAGCGTTCTCCTCGCATTCTAACGTTACATTCTGGATGCCAAAATTATCCATTGATATTCAGGGCCCTCCGGTGCGCAGTGATACGGCGAAGGCGTGATAATGTTGGAAGACATAAAGTGTGTGTTTGCGTGTGCGTGTGTATTTGTTAGATGCTACTACTACATTTGTAAAGTTACAGAGAACAAAGAATTCGGTATTATATTCATTTAATTATTTTCGTGGATATGCCTTGAAAGAAACAAGCTATAAACACAGGACTTGGCATTTATCATCCTCGTTCAATAGAGCTTCGATATTGCTTACTACATATGGCATATGCCCCCCTCCATTCCTTTTGGGAAGTTGAATCTGACCTATAATAACAATATATCCACTCACCTGCATCTTGCTCGGGTGTCTCTTAACTAATCGAGCTAAACTCGTGCCTTAAGACAAGTCTCATTGGACTTACCTTAAAGAGATGCTATCTACATATGTGAGATGATTTGGAAACTATGTTTCTCAGGGGTTTGTTCCTATGTATGTACGCCGCAAACCCTAAAATGCCCGGAATATACAACCGAAACGCTAGAAATTCTATAGCACGTTGAGGATGCGCGTCATAAGACACCGGTACAGTTCAGCCCTGGATTTATCAAGCACGGGGTAGTAGCACTATGAATTCTATTTAAAAAGAAGGATTTCCGGTGGGAGTGTCTTCGTAGGAGTCCGATTGTTGACCCAATGGCTATCCCGCTATCCATGAAAGATCGGCAAGGCACCTGATGGGTTAGCTGTAAGGGATGTGTGCGGGGCGATCAATTATTTGCCTTCCTAAGACAAGTAGCCCTTATCTCTAGATTTCACATGCGGAGCTTCTGTCCATGTTCTCGCCGGTCGTTTGCGATTGGGGCTCCTTCCGAGTGGCACGTCAAGACCACATCCCGTAGCTGGTTTGGGTTCAGTGGTTTCGATACATACTCGTCCATTTCTGCTCCGAGACGATCGTCATTTACGATATCAGCTGTGATCGCGATTATTGAGGTCCGCTTTGTTTTGTGGGTTCGCTCGTAATTGCGGATCTTGGACACTGCCTCAAGTCCGTCCATTACCGGCATTTGGATATCCATAACGATCACGTCGAACGGTCGGCTTTGATATGCTTGGAGCGCTTGAAGACCGTTTGTAACGACGGTAATATCACTGGTGCACTTTTCAAGTGCTTTGGCTGCCACCAGTCGGCAGATATCGTTGTCTTCTGCTATGAGGACCGACAAAGGCGTGGTTTGGTTAGGTTTGGGGTGTTTTGGACGATCCTGCAGAGCGCTAAGTAGGGAGCTCAGAACACTTTCGGAAGAACAAGGGGAAGTAATGTATGATACAATACCCAGGTCAAAGGCTAACTTTATGGAGATCTTGAAGGAATCCGACGGTGTGGGATTGAACAAGACAAGGGGTGTCGAGCCGAAGTGTCCATGAGTCCGTAGAGCGCAGGCCATTTCAAGATGTTCCACTATAAGGACATCTGGAAGATGATTTTGGTCCCGTAGCTCCTGGATTTGGACATCATGCTGGTTTAATACACGCACTTGGATACCATGCTCGGTTATGATCTCGCATATAGGGTCGCTCTCTTGACCATTTGATGTGATGTAGAAAACAACACAATCTCTGTGAGATATCATGCGTTCAGCCGTGGCAGCACACGGACTTTCAAGCTTCAACGGCCAGGTAAAGGAAAAAATGCTGCCCATGCCTACAGTTGACTGAACCCAGATATCACCACCCATCAAACTAACGAGCTTTCTGGATATAGCCAAGCCAAGGCCTGACCCGCCAAAGTGTTTAACCACGGAATCATCTGCCTGTTGAAATCTGTCGAAAATGAGTTCCAGCTTATTTGGTTGAATACCGACCCCAGTATCTGCAACAGAGAACTCCAGGACGCATTCGTTTTCGGCACATGCCTGCTCCTGGGCAGTCTTTACGGAAAGTTCAATTCTCCCATTCTTGGTGAATTTGACTGCGTTTCCGACCAGGTTGAAGAGAACCTGGCAAAGTCGGTTTGGGTCCCCAACGGCGTGTTGGGGCACAGAGCTACCAACTTCATAGGTAAGGTCAGTCTTCTTCTTGCTCGCCTCAACTGCAAGAGGCTTTAGTGTGTTCAGGACTGTTGAGCCAAGATTGAATGGGATACTTTCGATAACCATACGACTGGCTTCTATTCGTGATAAGTCAAGAACGTTGTTAATATTTGCCAAAAGACTTTTGCCCAAGCTATGAACCAGGTTAAAAGCGTCATGAGCAGTTGCCGGAAGACAACCCGCTTCGAGTCCTAACTGAGCCATACCAATGATACCATGAATGGGTGTGCGAATCTCATGGCTCATGGTAGCAAGAAGTTCCGACTTGCTATGGTAGGCTTCCTCGACAGTTTTCCTGGCAGATACACAATGTTCCAATCGTTTCTCCACAGTCGAAATCATGTAGCGAATGCTAGTTTTGAGCTTGATTATCTCGTCAAACGTGCGGATCCCGATATGCCTTTCAAAACTATGCGGTGGCGCAGGATCTGGTAACTCAGTAAAGTAATAAGCTTCGGTTATAGGGTCTCTTTTGGATGCATCGATAGTTTCGGCGTCTACCTGCTGTTCTGGTATCTCTTCACCCTCCGTTCCGCTACGGAATGGCTCGTATAGATCCAAACTCCGAGGTAGTTCCGCTAAGTCCTTATCGATTTTGCAAGAATTGTTGCTTGTATCGTCAATCCATTCCGCCACGGGGCACTCCTTTGATGTACTGTCCTTCCCAGATTCACTCGAGCCGCCACACATGCTTATTTGGGTGTCATTCGGGATACCAGCTGGAACTTTCCTACTTTGCACCAGGGGCTAAATCTGTTTGTCAGTCTATTTACTTAATCCCCATTCCAAGACAGACTGCTCTGTGGCTACCATATCTTTATAGGTGGCCAAGCAAAACGGGAGCTGTGACACTCACATCTGAGAGCTTGTTCCTAGCGAACGCTGTTACTTCTTTCCTCGCTTGACACAACTCCTTGGCGACAAGGTCGTCAGCCCTCTTATAAGCTTCCAACCTACATCTTACAGACAAGTAGCCTGCTTCCACTTGTGATAGAGCTCTCTCTGTATTTGCAGACTGAGTCACTGCATCAAGGATTGTAGAAAGGACTTCCCGCGAGATTAGAATACTATCCCCCACTTGACTTAGCGCGTCATGAAGATGCGACACAACGACATCCAGAGCGAATTTGCTGGCCATATTAAACACAGCATCCACTTTTGTATCCGACGCGTCGCTGTCTCTGCCACAAATATGGTATTCAAGGGCAGCTTCTGGTGTGCTGTACCTGGCACAGTGGAGACCTTTGCTCCGGCGCTCTCTAGTTTCGTAACGCTGGACGAGTCAGCCAATGATTCTGACCTGAACTGATTTGATAAATGCTATCCAGACAACTCACCCCTGGCTATACACCGAACTGTTTCTTCGATATGCCAAAAAAAAAAAAAAAAAAAAAAACCCGGACTTGGGGTAAAGAATGCTAGTTTGTGCGGAGCATTCTGGCTTCTGAAACAACGCAGAGCATCAAAGGCTTCCTCGTCAATTACCCCGTGATAATTCCAACTTTGACCTCAATGAGAAAGTTGAAGTGATAAGTATGTTACTCTTTTTCGGACTTCAATTCAGGTAAAGAAATTGGAAGGGGCAAATGGGCAAACCCAAAAGGCTCCCTCTAGAGGTGCCAAAGATTCCCAGTGCCGAATGCAACTCTAAGCCAAATACTAAAATAGTACAGCCTGTGCGCCATGACATCACATCAAACTTCTAGGCCCTTTTCTCGGGGTTCGAGCCTTCGACAGAGTAGAATTCTTTAGCTTCCATCTGATTTGCGCCTCATCCCGGATGGGCGCCCTAAGCAATAATGATGGGTTTACAGCACTAGAGATGCATAAGGATAAGCAGGTGACTCGATCTATCTTTACTAGAAACTTCAGGAAGAATGATCCGCCTATAATAGATAGGCTTAAACAATTAGCTAGGAGAATAGCCCGTCGACAAGCACCGCGTGTCTTTTCAATTTCTGCTCTGACATCATTGTCGATCCACCAAGTTGAGGAAGGTGCCTTAGTCCAACCTTGAGGATGTTACTCTGAAGTCAGACTTAATTAGTGATCATTGATTAAGATACTGACGCACTGGGTCTTTTCGCTACCGGTAATTACGTCTATCATCTCACCGCGTTCACTACCATGGATCCACCCCGTTCTTATTCCAGAACATCCACCTTGTCGGGATTTGGGCTTCGATTATTCGGAGTGGTTGGAGTTAGTTTTCTTTATTTTCACCATTGTAATGAATGAGGAAGAAAATAGAAAACAAGGTGAAGAGAATGCAGGATTCCTAGCACCGTGCTTTGAGACTTTCGCTCTCTTCCTTGGTTTGGCAATGATCGTCCCACGTCCTTTTGCTGACCCCCCGGCGCATAAAACTTCTTTAGTACATTATGCCCTTGGGAATACTCCATGTTGGGCTAAAAAAAAAACTGGTGTACATTAGCTGGTCCTACCACAAATTCCCTCTTTTGAAATCTTTCAGGCTCCGGTAGGAGTACACAGAGGGTGCTGATCGGCGCAACCATTATGACAGTAGCCACCCCGCGTCTTATATATCCCCCGGTGCAAAAAAAAACCTTCAAAGCAACGGACAGACATTGAGACATGGTATTAACTTCTCAAACGGCAGAAAAAGTCTTGTACAATGCTGCCCAAGCCCAATACCATGATGCCTCAAGATAAGATGACCAGCCAACCTGATAGGGTACCAAGCATCATGTGCCAAAACCAATCGAAACTCAACATGAACAACCATCAACCAAACCTCAGTCAAAAGTCCTCGACCAGAAACCTGATCGGAAGTTAAATCCGATCAAATCAACCAACTAATATGATAGGCCCATCGCACTCTGGTACCTCTCAACTAGTTATCCGTGTGGGTCTCCCTGTTTCGGACAACAAGAGGGTCTGGAAGCTTCCTTGCAATTTCGACTGGCGCTGATCCTTTGCGACCCGTTAGCGTTAGGCATACATTTCTGCTGCCCAGCGTCTTGGTTGGAGGTCATCCTCGCTCGTTCAGGATGCCGGATTAGAAAGGTGTGAAGGCTCTAGACCCGCGCGCTGTTTGCAGTGCTTTGTGGTTCTTTCAGGGGTAAAGTTGGTCCCACCGCTGGGTGGCGTTGGAGAGTTTTTATTGAGGTTTTGTGTTGGCTTTTGGTCCGGTGGCTTTTGTTTAATGAGTCATAGACTTGTTGATTTATGTAGTGCCTTGTTTAGTGATGTAATAATAATGTTTCTCTGCATTGATGGACCATTGAGTTTTGATTTGATCGTTGAAGTTAATGGTACCCTAGTTTGAAAACGTAAATCGGCTAGTTTACGCAGTGATGTACCGACATAGTTGAAATGTGCTCGAGCCTCTAATATAGAAAATTTAAAATATTTTGGGGGAAATTGGGAATGGATCGTAAATCTTCTTTGTAGCCGATGGCATGCTTAAAATACGAAGTGTTCTATCTGTGCTGGACTTAAGTGTTGTGGTCTATGCGAAGCCAAGCTTGCAATTTTATAGAAGAACCATTACTCTATTGAAGGTAAAATAACATAATACATATATATATATATACAATAAAGGTAGATTCATTAATTTCTATACAAAGGAAATCCGTTTATACAAATGAAATTCGTTATGGACACCATTCAGGAAGCCAGAAAGATCCCGAAACTTTTCGAGCATAACCCAGAGACTCATGTCCTCAAATCCCTCGCTCCCTCCGATAATGCCTGACTTCCTACCGCCCAGGGTGGAAAGAATTCATTCCTTGTCTGGCCCATACCATCATACTGCGCCTGGTCTAGATCCGGGGTCTGAGCTGGCGGCTGGAATGTGCATTCGACCGTCTCGACCGTCAACCTGGCTCGCACCGGGCCCGGAGGAGTACGTCGAGGACCACTTTCTCCCGAACCGCTTCCATCACTATCCTCGTTCTCCTGGAACCAGCTGTCTTCACTCGCGATTGTCTCCAAGTCCCAAGCCTGCTGATTGGTCTTTAATGGGTTAAAGGGCGATGAAAGACGCTGTTGCGGCGGGTTTACGTTGGGTTCGTCGGATTGCTTTCCTGATATTGTCTCGGATTGTCGTCGACTGTCATTCTCAATTGTGCCGCTACTGGTAGTGATGTTGAGTTTGCTTGGTTTTCGTTCGAGCTTTTTAGCAGAGGCTAGATTTGGTCTGGCCTGAGGGCTTGCTGAGCTTACGGGCGTTTTCTGCTTAGGTTTCGGTAAGCCGACCGTCACCTGTGGGGTTCCTGGTCTGTCTGAGATGGAAGATAACACCGTGGATGACGGTGGTGGGTGCGGCTTTGGAACTTCACGGGCTGCTGGTGCAGCATAATGAGAGGTTGGCATCTTGACTGGCTTCTGGACCGGAGCTTTCTTGACAGGAGGATTTGGCTGTTCGACTATTGGGCGAGGCTTGCAACCCCCTATCAACGGATCGACCGGTGAGTTCGCCCGGGAAAGCTCACTTGGTACCTCAGTGATTGGGGTTAATAGACCCGGATCATCCACAATCGTGATGTCGTCCTCCCTGGGCAGGAAGTTGAATGGGGAAGTAGATATGGGCGGCAAGGGACGCAAGGGAATGTTGGGTTGTGAAATTCTGAGGTCTTTCAAGCTAAGCTCCTCAGGCTTTGTGTTCACGGTCGATTTAAGTAATGGCCCATTTGGAGGTTTGTTTGTTGCTGTTGGCACACGAGGCAACTGGTGAGATGGGACTGGAGGTCGAGCGTCATCAGCCGATTGAAGAGATTCCGGATCTGCTGCAGCGCCCGGCCATGGAGTCGGAGGGCGTGATCTGAGGTGGTCGATAGCGCTTTGCTGAGGCGTATCACTGGAATCACCCAGCCCTTGCGACTCTAAGAATCTTTTGACTTTGTCTTTTGGGCCAACGGTAAATGGAGGAAATGTGGTCAGGTTATCACCATCGGCCTGCGATGGTTGCTGAGGCTGTGAGTGGCCCACCAGCGACTCCGAAGAAATGCCTTCCGACGCGAGCTTAGGGGTCGTGTCGAGTTTGCTTTCCATGGAAGTCTGTGTGGTAGAGACACGTTGATTGTGGTGTGGCTTGATCGGAGCCTCTGACTGCTTCAGCGATGTCTCCTTAGTCCTGTCGACTTTACCACCCTTTCCATCTCCCTTGGATGGCACTGAAGGACGCTGCTCTTGTACGGGGTGATAAGCGCCCGACTTCGAAAGGGTCTCAGCTGACAAGGCTCCCTGCGTACTCGATGAGAGTACTTTCGAAGTAACGCCTCGCGAGGCTTTCAGCGCCGAAGACGAGCCTGGTACCATTGTCAGACGCCGTGCCAGTCCGTTCTCGTCTACCGGGATACCCAGCCCGTTGCTTAAAAGAGTCGTATTTTGTTGAAAGACTGAAAAAAGAAAAAAAGCTACATATAATGGCTAAAACGGGGAAATATAGCCATGATATTGCGCGACCCAGCTGCCTTGTCTGGCAGGAGTCTGCTGAAAATCTCGTACCTGGCCATAATGATGCCCAATTGATTTACGAGTCGCGTTCATACTCCACTATAGCTCAGCCCAAACCACTCAATCACCAGCGAGAAACACAACGCTGATCATTTTATTGACAGAAGGTGCCGGCCATTGATGGTTCGGTGGAGTTAGCGCGTCAACCGGACAACGTTGGGGAGAGCAAGCAACACTGAATAGCTCCCTGCAAGTGATTTCTAGAAGCCTAACTGGCTCCACCGAGAAGCACCAGCGACTTAGTGCCTGGCTCTATAGCTTTTGTTCCGTAGAATAGGGTTATTCTAGCGTAATAAGTGGTGGATTGCCGGCCAATGGAGATATCATCAAGTCAAGAAAAAGGGGCTCCCGAGACACAGTGGGACCCGATGAGCAAACGTTATAGCCCATATGTTGGCCCACAACGAGACCCAATCCTCTCAATTGTCTATCCAGTAGCGTACAGCTTGGAATTGTCGTAATCCTTCGGTTGTGGCCATCCTATCCTGGTGATATGGCCTTGACAAGGACTCAAAAGTGGAAACTTCATATGGACTATCGATTTTTTCCCTTATCCACCACCATGATGCCCACCTGGGGACAACAAATTGTCCTCTTCTAAGATTCCACTTATTTTTCTACTGAGATGTTTTCCTAGAGTACAATCGTATTATCAAAGCATTATTAAGCACGTCTTTATCCAGGCATCTCATAGATTGTCCGCTATTCCAGCGGGGCTGTGTTTCTCTCTTTGTTGGATTCTACCCTCTTTATGACTTTCTCTTTATATTTTTCCTTTAAAAAAAAAAAAAAAAAAAAAACAAATGATACCCAAATCAACCAGGTAAGAAGAAAATACACATCACTTTCCAATGTGCAGCTACACACCAATCCATGTCCATCCCAGATATCTGGAAGGTAGGTAAGCTGCAGTATCAAAGCTATTTCAGGAAACTCGACTGCCCAACCCAAATTAACTTTCTACGAATGTAACCCAAAGCTCGTGTCAAGTAATTTAGCTCTTTTCTCGAATGTCAGCTTTGTGTCCACCTTGTGGTGCTCGTCCCCTGGTTCAGAGCTCCTTTGCTCCACAGCTCTACCCAACCGGTGGAGCCTTTGCGGCCGTTATCCATATTCGGCTGGTCCCTAGCTGTTTCAACCTGGGTGGTTTTATTTCTCAATAATTAATATTCTGTCTCGAATGAAAATCTTCTATTCATTATGCGGGGGGTTGTGATTGTGTCTTGCTTACCTTGCAGTATAGTGTGTTGATAACTTGATATGACTGATGAGAACACCACACTATATATCATACCCACTACCTATTGGAAAGTTATATAAGAGCTGGTTTCGTACAATGATATTCAGGTAGACAATCAATTGTCGTATAGAGTAGGCTTTTAGTCACCATTTATATTTCATGGTAGCGGTTTTAGTTTATATTGCGACGGGCGATAGATCACGCATCAAAACAAATGTCACTTAGAGAGTCGTACAAAGCTCTACTTTATGTATTTTTGCTAGAAACAGAAAAAAAAAAAAAAATAAGTTATCGTCCTTGAACACTAATCGCCATCCAGGTTGCTGTGGCACACATGGAGCGAGGATAAATCCTAAATTGCTGGCCGGGAATCTTACACCCTTCACTAGAGTACAGATCCGCTGTTACGCATTCCCATCCAACCCCTTATGCTTATGTTGCGCCATGTCCGTCCTTCTTAGCAACCTCCGATGTCTGCGTAGGTTCGTCTTGCCCATTCTTCCCCCTTTTAATGCTCTTCCATTCCATACCAAGAGAGGCAAGCAGTCCAGCAAGCGAGACCCCCATTGCAGCGAGGAAGATTTTCGTGCAAGCCCCGTTGTACGCCTGCTGCACTTGAACCATATACTCAGGCGGGACAATGGAAGCTAGGTTAGTAGCACCATTATTAAAAATCTTTCTTGTATCTAGACCTGGAATGTCTGAGAGCTGAGATATAAGATAGTTAGTAAGAATCGATTGACCAATTGTAGCAAAGACACTACCACCGAGCTGCTGCAGGAAGAATACGAGTGCGATTCCGATCGGTACATCAGCAAGCGGGAGGACTCTCTGGACAACGAGGCCCGAGACTTGCATTCCAAAGCCCAGGCCGAAACCAGATAGGAATTGATAGCCGATCCAATGGGATGAGTCGGTGTTGAGGTTGAAAGTGGACATCAAACCTAGGCCAACAGACAAGATACATGGGCATATGTACATGGCCGGGACATAGTATCCAGTCTTCTGCGTCATGAGCCCTGCTATGAAGGTTGCGAGAACCATACTGAGCATGAGCGGTAACGTGTAGATGCCTGACTTGATGGGGCTGACGAGTTGGACAGTTTGGACTATTCATTGCCGTTAGCTGGATGGTCTTTTTATGTGGGGTAGGAGGTTGCGCTTACACCAGATCGGAAGAAAGTAGACCATCAAGATCATGGAGCTCGATATACAGAGGGTGTAAAGAGCTGCGCAAAGCATGCTTCTTTGAGTGATTACCCTTGTTGGTATCGTTGCCGTTTCTGGTCTGAGGATCTGAACGGCGGCAAAGAGCAAGAGCAGGACACCAAACAGAACGAAGAGTGTAATTATTCGATTATTACTCCACGAGTAGGTCGAGCCGCCCCATTGTAGAGCTAGCAGCAGAGAGACAATGGCTGGCACGAAGAAAAACATGCCCAGAGGATCGAGCCGTTTTAGATGAGTCCCAATGGAAGCAGGTTCGTGGTTTGACTTCGGCGGATCCCATATCAAGAACAAAAGTATCAGTGTTACTGCTCCGATAGGAAGATTGATGTAAAAGCACCATCTGGTAACTCAAGTTAGTCAAGGATAAATCCCCATGTTAGCAAGCCTAGGTAGCAAACCTCCAGGTGACCGAGCTGGTGAAGGCCCCACCGACCAAGGGCCCCATAACACTAGAAACCCCGAAGACTCCTCCAAACATGCCTTGAAACATAGGTCTCTTGTGCAGCGGAATCATGGGTATTATGATGAGCATGCACCCCGAGAAGACCCCTGCGGATGCGAGCCCAGCTATAGCACGTCCAGCTATGAAGGCGCCTGAGTTGGGGGTAGCGCCACAGATGGCAGAACCGATTTCGAAAACTACAATGGAAAGTAGGAATACACGCTTCATATCGTAAGCTCGGTATATGCGGCCATAGAGAAGCTGGGAAGTTGCTCCCGTGAGCAAGAATGCCGAACCGTACCAGCCAATGTCGCCCAGACTATCGAACTCATCTGTGATACGAGGAATAGCAGTGCTGACAATTGTCCGATCCAATGTGACGACAAAGAGGGAAAGAAGATTGCATGATATAATTAGCCAGAATTTGAGAGTCCTGGGCTGATAAAGATTTTCAGATGCTCTTTCTGGCTTTTGCCCTGCCTGATTCGGCACTATGCTCTGCTTCTCAACGTCTGGAACTTTGCCTGAGCCCGTATCCTTGTTGTCAACCTCGGCGTTGCTATCGTGGGTTGAAGATGCCATCTGGTTGTTTGTTGCTAGCGATTATATCTTTGGCTTGGTATGACTCGGGTTGTAGATATTGTATTCCGGCTTTCGATGCTGTCCAAAGTAAGGTATTTAACGTGAAGAGTCAACTTACTCTGGTTGAGTCAAGCTTGCTACACTTGCAATAGACAATTTTATAGTATTTTATTTGACTATAAAGAAATCGAAGATATTCTTCCCAAAAAGACCTGTCCATGCTATATAGGCCGGCCACAGACAGCACTATGACTCCGTCAGTCTGGGACCACGCTGTACCCCACTGACCACGAAATACAATCCAGTCATACTTCACTAGAAAACGCCATCCAGTAAAGCAAATCCAACAAAAATCGGTAGCAAGTAACAATCTTGACCCCGATTTGATAAGCCTGTTACCGTAGGAATATCCGTATTGGGACTAGCGTCGGAGACTATCATGCAGTTTCGGGACCGAATCGAATCTACGGGACCGAAAACATCATCAGCCACCCGCTTATACACAAACTGGTCATCTCACAACTTATGATCTTCGTACTGACTCAAATAAATGCACGAACATGAATAATCTCACCAGAGGTCATTCTTGCGTGCTATGTCAGCAGCGCAAGGTCCGTTGTGACCAGCAGAAGCCCTGTGCCAATTGTGTCAAAGCACAAATTGAGTGCCGGGTTTTGCCCCCACAGCGTCCTAAGAGGAGAAAGAAGAAGTTGCACGAACGAGACTTGATTGACCGGCTTAAGAGGTATGAGGCACTTATGTCTCAGCATGGGATTAGCTTCGACTCGGTCCTAGAAGGTGGGGATGGTGTCGCGATTCTCGAGCATGACCGCGGTGGCTCGGGGACTGATGCAGAAGGTAATGCACAGAATCATAAATCACAAGAGCATGGCAAGTAGGTTTTCCAAGCTCTATGTCATGTACCACTCTGACATTTCCCAGACGCTCGAGATGGTTTCCATATTACAAAGAGGTTCGTTCATGGAGTGGTTCTCTCATTCTGATACTTCTACATTGCCAGACTGGTGTCTCGATATGAGGATTGAACGACCAAGGAAAAAAAAAAAAAAGAAAAAACTAAATCCATCTAGTACTGCGCAACCGATGATATGCTGCATGATACGTCCGACGATGATAACGAGCGGCCCAATATTCATGATTCATTCGATACCATGTTTAGTGATACCGATGGCTTCCCATTCAAAGTCTGTGGCTCCCCCGCCCAGATAACCGATTTACACCCGCCTGCGATCAAAATATTTCAACTATGGCAGGTTTATATCAACAATATAAACCCTCTCTTGAAGATTAGCCACGTTCCAACGCTCCAGGCACACGTTGTCGGGGCAGCAGCCGACCCTGCTAAGATTCCCAAACCGCTAGAGGCTTTGATGTTTGGTATATATCTCGTCGCTGTAACATCTTTGACAAATGAGGAGGTGGAGGGCACCTTTGGTGAAGGAAAAGCAGTGCTCCTATCTAGATATCACCAGGGCACGCAGCAAGCCTTGATAAATGCTGGTTTCATGAGATCAAATGAGCTTAAGGTGCTGCAAGCTTACTTTCTATACCTGGTATGTCGACCTTTGCATTTTGCCCTGCATTCTTGCATGTACCTTCCCTCCAGTTTATGAACACACATCAACTCATTTCCACTATAGTTCAGTGTAGTACAATACGTCGATCCTCGGTCTCTTTCCTGCTTGATCAGCATTGCAGTACGTATAGCCACACGTCTCGGGTTACATCAAGATGGCACTCGGTTCGGCTTGTCGCCATTCGTAACAGAGCAACGGAAACGATTATGGTGGCAGATTGTCGCTTTTGACAAACGAATTGCAGAGGTGACAGGATCGACTATTGCCGCTCTCTCGTCCTTCGGAACTGACTCCGGGCTCCCCCTCAATGTGAACGATGCAGACCTAGACATTCACGCTAAAGAACCTCCTGCGCCCAGCACTGGCGCAACAGAGATGCTTTTCTGCCTCACGCGCATTGAACTCACTATGGCAACTGTCCCTAATGGTATGCGACCCAATCCTGTGGCTTTGAACAATCCGTTCGCGCAACACAACTCAACCCCCTCGTCAGCCGATGTCGCTACTCAAGAAACTAGCAATCAGCCTCCGACAAATGGTCTCGATCGCTACTGTGCGCACATGGAGTCCACGTATCTAAAGCACTGTGATCATAGAATTCCCGTTCAGTTCTTTGCTCTGATGATGGCACGTGTGTCGCTTTGTAGACTTCGAATTGTTGATTTTATGTCTCGAGGTGTGTCCGCCACAACTCTCGAAGACCGGGAGCGCGACGCCCTCTTCATGACTGCTGTCGAAATGCTTGAGTGCGATAATGTTATCCATACGACCCCCAATCTACGCAACTTTCTCTGGTACACTCAGTTGCTAGTCCCCCTGCCAGGCTATGTCTTCCTCGTAGGTGAACTGCGCCAGCGCACCACGGGCGAGCTGTGTGAGCGGGCATGGAAAGCTATATGCGGCAACTACAACCACAGGGGTCTCATCCGTAAGCTGAGAAGTCCCATGCATGTTGCCTTCGGCCGTATGCTCCTAAAGGCCTGGAACGCACATGAGGAAGCCGAGCTCCAACTTGGGAGGAATCTGCAACCTCCACAGCTCGTTACATTACTGCGCGAACGTGTGGCCCAGCAAGCTTCAACATCCCAATCAAAGCCAGGTTTGGCGGGTAACGGCAGTACGGACCCTGTTAGGACCACAACCGATAGCCCCGTCACTGGAACCAGAATGTGGGCTGGCGATAATCCTGTGCTAGACAGAATGGGCCAGCCGTCTGAAAATGCGTCCAATGAAGATTTGACGTTTCCGTCTCTGCACAGCGCAAGCCAAATGTATGATGAGGTTTTTGCCGACCAGAATGACGTCGACTGGTCATCTCTCATGCAACCTTGTGTGCTGGGAGGGCTTTACGGCAACACTGAGCCTATCTTTACGCACGGCGGTGGTTTCAATTATCCATTTGGACCATGATCATGATCATGGGATCTATCGGTTGTCCCACCCTTTCCTTTGTCATCGTTCGTGTCATCGTTCATGTCATCGCTATGCTCATATGGTGTTCCATGTGGCTCTCGGGTTTCTACGCATGGACACGTCCACAATGGTCCAAATGATGTGCTTCATATTCGACGACTACATCAATAGTCTTCGCTATCGATAAACTCCCATTTGGCCTTCACCGCATGATGCAACTTTCTCATAGGCCAAGCATGGATGGCCTTAGTCTTCTCAATGACAGCCTCCAGTGCTTCTCGGTCCCTCGGATCAGTGAAATACTCACCGTAAAGTATGATGCTGATCACGGCATTAACCAGGGCGGGCGAGAGGTTCTGGTGACTCAGACCAATTCCACAAATGTTGAGTACTATCGATCGGACTTGTGCTTCAACCTTACGATGCGCAATCCGGCAGTGTGGGTCGTTCCTATATTAGCCTATCAACAATCCAGAGTCGGGTAAAGAGACGTGGGCAAAGGTATTAGAGCGCGACATACCTAATATTAGGATTCTCTGCGATCAAGATCATTCGAGCGATTTCGTAGTGCTGGGCGCCAAATACCTGTGCACTTGAGCAGTACCAGACAGTCGAAAATATCTCCCCCTTGGACTTGTCGGCCTTTTTGTCTAGGATTGGAACGAACTCAGGCATAATTTCCGTAGTGATCGAGTGGAGTTTTTTCTTTAACGCAGCTGTATTCAAGGTGGTCAGCTGCATGTACTCGTTCCAGCTGAACTTGTTGGCGCTCACCCCAGTCTAGTGGCGACCTGTCCCCCAGCCACCATCTCGTTACATCTCCGGCAAATAAGATCAGTTTATTAGCAGCAGAGGCACCCTGGCGCTTATCTTGGTCGGGTTTCATTCGGGGGAAGCGCTGCATAGCCAATGCATAGTAGATTTCCTGCCTAATAGCTATCCAGAATACAGCATTGGCGAAGCTGTGGTGCGTGGGTATTGAGACAGTGGTTTCTATGATGGCCTGTATGATGGCAAGGAAATTAACAGGCTGCTGGTCGCGAGTGCCAGTGCTACTATCAATCTCCTCTTCCTCTTCGATCTCTTCATACTGTCGCAGGATTACGGCGGCTGCCATAATGTTCTCTTGGTACTCCCGGTCACTAATCTTATGGAAGTCTATGAGCGCGGGTATGCATTTTAGCATATACTCCACCGCGGTAGACCTCGACAGATGGGGAAGAACCTGCCCTTGATAGCTCGGTCCTTTGGATGTCCTGTACTGCGGCAAACGGCTGAGATGACGCGATGCAACGGCATAAATAGCATTCCGAAGTGGAGGGCAATGTCGGGCGCGGTGCGGAACTACTACTTGAAAATGTCTCCTATCATCACAGACGTCAAACTATGCTTCTGTTAGCTTTTGGTTCACCATTGCACGCTGTGTATACCTTACCCATGGAGAAAGTTCCTCGATAAAGTACCGCAATAAACAAGCTTCTTGTACGCTCTCCAGCGGTTCGAGGGCCGCATCACTAGAAGTGGGAGTAGGGCTGTATTCAGACTGAACTGGTCCACTGAAAGATTTGGTCCCCTGGCTATTCTCACGGTGGCCTATTTCCTCTGGGCTTCCGGAGATAGATAGAATTTGGGCAGGAAAACTTAGATCGGATTCATCTGGCAGCTGGGAGCTAAATTCACTTGTAACCGAATCCTGCGGCGACTCATCTTCTCGGAATATGGGTCCAGTTAGACTTGAAACATCATGCGTTAGCTGATCGGCTTCGCATGCCGTAATAGCTAGAGCATGTAGACGCTGGTTTTCGGAGGCAGTGACCTCCAGGCAATGGAAGGGCTCTGAAGGGTGCTGTGCCGTTGGACTTGTGTGAGGGATGGTGCTAGAGGGCCCGTGGTTCGTGTGTCCAATGGAAGGGTCAAACTGGACATTGCTGACAACAGATCCTCCTGTACCATGTACACGGAGCCGAGCTACGAAAGCTGATCAGTCATCAAAGCTTCGCTAGCTTAATGGAATTCTTCCGGAACGTTGCTCACCTCGCTTTGGCCTACTGTTCACCCAATGTTGGTCCTCGGAAAAATGGGCAGTGGACCCTTGACGGAAGATCTGTCTTTTCGATACTATAACACAGTCTAGATTCTTCACTTCACATCGTCCACACTTGGGTGCTTGTTTATCACCTGTAAATTAAACAAGCTATGATCAGCATGCTTTCCGGCCACTCTCTATGTATGCAGTCATGCAAGGGTGTAGCATCCGACAGCATCCAGATACGAGCAACATTATCTTTCTCTCTTCTTGCGTTTTCAAGAGCTAGCTCTGCACCACGGTCACGGCCACTACTTTAGTCTTACATTTCAGATGTTTGTCTGTCAGGTGGGTTAGTACGAAAGAGCGCGTATAAGAGAGACTACACGACTGACCACGACAATTCCAGCATGGTTCTTGGATTGCTCGATTCCGCTGCATTGGCATCATCTCTCTGTAGGCGACGATATCCCAAAATGGCTAAACTGACATGAGAATAGAAAGTTCATGGTCACCGAGTGAAGTTCAAGTTGGCTGAAGAACATAAAACTGCGGCGGGACCTTCCGTATCGGGAAATCCTGCAGGCAAAACGCGGGGAATTTCCCCAGTACCAGGTTAGGAAGATTTCCCCGCTGTCCCTCACGCTTTCATCTCGACTATACTATATGTGGAAAGTGTCACCGCGATTGAAGACTCTCTTTCGAGTATCATAGTGTATCAAGTTACAGAAAGGGTATATATAAACGCTACAGGGTCGTTCTTTTTATCCTAATCATCATCGCTCGACAGTTATACGACTGTGTTTGTAATGACTCCCTACTTCTTGTTTTCTACGTTAAAAAAAAAAAATGAAACCATGTGATCGGAAATAAAAGCAATCAAGTCAGGCAATTTATGCTAGAGTAAACCTCAGGCTCCCACCAAGGGCACATCCCCCGGAATTTAAATTAATTTACTCCGCGATTCCCCCGCATTTACCCCAGAAAACGATCACCTACGCTACAACTTACAATAGCCGACCAACCAATCATGGCAGATGCAACGTGAGTTAAAATTTCCAAATAGTCAGGCTGCCTCGCCGAGCATTACTGAGAACAGAAATTCTCGACGTCGATACTGTTTCAGTGACGTCTATAGACCAGAATCATTTCCGTATTTTCAATAACCGTAAACTTTCGACTCGGAAGTCCGATGTAACATATGGATATGCCGGTGTATTTAATGACACCGGACATCTATATGTCCTCAGCATTCCTCAAGGAAATAACCCGGTTGACATCCAATTCGATCGGAAACCGCGCCCTCGATTGATCATGGCGACGGGTATGAAGAAAGACACTGAACCAGCAGCCTTCCTTTCGGAAGGGTTTTCCACTTCGGAGCATCACGAAACCGTTGCTATCAAACCTGATATAGAACTACAAGAGACACCAGCCTACGGTCCCGATGGCATCCGAGGCCTGGTCAGCTCGGGGTATGTCCTTGGGGCGGCTTTCCTAGCATCCCTTGGAGGTTTCTCATTTGGATATGACCAAGGGGTTATCTCCATTATAAATGTCATGGAGCAATTCCACGCGGTCTTTCCTCAAGCCGAAACCGCCTTCGGTAAAGGGTTAATGACGGGGATGCTGTTGCTTGGAGCATTCGTGGGCTGTCTCTTCATGCCCTATCTCGCCGATCGAATCTCCCGAAAGTGGGCACTGACCGTAGTCGTCGTGATCTTTGATATCGGAGCCATAATTCAAACATGCTCGCAAAACTACGCTACGTTAGTGGCGGGCAGAGCCATTGGAGGCATCGGGGTCGGAACACTCGCAATGGTATGTTACACGGTTTCTCGATATTCCCTGAACGATCCTTACCCAACAAACTGGTTCACCTCGCTCACCTGGTCATGGAGGGTGCCCCGCTCTACATTTCCGAAATCTCGCCTCCTAACCTACGAGGAACGCTCTTGGTGTTGGAGTCTATCTCCATTGTCTCTGGCGTCGTCATCTCATATTGGATTACGTTCGGTACGCGCTTGATCGATAGCCAGGTCTCGTTCCGTCTACCATTCGGTCTGCAGATGGTGTGTGCAACAATCCTTGGTGTTGGCATCCATTTCTTCCCCTACTCGCCTCGATGGCTTGCCCTCGTCAACCGCCAAGAGGATTGCCTCGCCAGTCTCTCCAAGCTCCGAGGCCTGCCAGAAACCGATGTACGAGTACAAGCTGAATACCAGGGTATCATCACTGAGGTCAAATTTCAAGAGCTAATCCAGGAGAAAAGGCATCCTGGCCAGCACGGTATCAAACGACAGCTACTGGCTTGGCGAGACCTATTCGGCCGAAAAGGCTGGCGGAGGACAGTCGTTGGTTGTGGAGTAGCCTTTTTCCAGCAATTTATTGGAATCAACGCATTTATCTACTACGCGCCTACATTATTCGAGTCAATCGGCCAATCAAGCGAGATGTCACTTATACTGTCGGGCGTCTTCAATGTCCTACAGCTAGTCACTGTCCTTGTCTGCTTCTTGATCATTGATAAGATTGGGCGTCGGCCGTTGGCCATCTTCGGTGGCTTTGCAACCGGAGTCGCGTACATTATCATCGCCATTCTATCTGGGCTATATGGCAATGACTGGTCCGCCCACACAGCTGCCGGCTGGGCCTGCGTCGCCATGGCCTTTCTATTCATTCTTATTTTCGGTCTCACATACTCTCCTCTTGGTTGGGCCCTGCCATCCGAGGTCTTTCCCAACGCGACTCGATCGAAGGGCGTGGCATTGTCGACCAGCACCAACTGGATCTCTAATTTTATCGTAGGTGTTGCTACGCCTCCCATGATGGAGAACCTCGGCTATCGAACCTATATTTTCTTCGCAGTCTGGTGTGTCATGGCCGGTATCTGGGCACTTATCTTTGTTCCCGAAACCAGCGGCAAGACCCTAGAAGAGATCGACGACGTGTTTGGCGATACAAGCGGACATGAAGAGCAAGAGGTTATGAGAGCTGCTGCTCTGGCGACCATGAGACCGCCGGTGCAGACCGGTGTATGAAGGCCAGGAGATGATATGCATGATTATAGTCCACTCTGTACCTTTGCTCTATCATGAACTACGTATATATGTAAATTTACTCCAATAGTCCCTTTGCACTAAATGATATCTATCTCATCAAATTCATGCATATATCATATCCTCTATTACACATCGCTTCATCAAAATCATCACATAAACCATCTATCCCACGCAAACAACAAAACCAAACCAAGCCAAACTACAAACTAAACTCCAACCTATTCCCCGCAAAATCCCTCGCAAAGAACCGAGTCGGATACTCCTCGGTCATCTCACCTACTCACGTTAACATCAAGGAAAAAAAAAAAAAAAAGGAAGAAGAAAGAAAGAAAGAAAGAAAGAAAGAAAGAAAGAAAGAAAGGGAAAAACCAACCAGAAATAGCCTCCCCAGGCTTATCCGCCTCCCTCGGCGCAGCTCGTCCTCCACGAACATGGTGGTCCCAAATCCGCTGCTGCAACTTCTGGAGGTCTTCCAGGGATCCAATCTTAAAGCATGGATGACGCGTGGAATCCAGCGATTCGTTTACCCCGAATGCGATATGTACCTGCTGGGGACCTCCTGCGATGTCGAACCTGTAATCGCCATGTTAATTTCGAAATTCTAATAAAGAGGAGGGAAGAGAATAAATGATAATATGACATACCACGCCGTCGTTTCCACTTGCGCCTGGGGGACTGGACGGGCTGTGAGCCCGAGGGTTTGGACGTAGAATTCGTTGGCCTCGGGGAGGGAACCCTCGGGAACAAGAAGATTGATATGTGCGAGGCCGGTGATCATGGTGACTCGTTCTTTAGTTTTTATATTTAGTTGTTTTCGTCAGGATTGGTAACTGGTATGAGTTTTGTTGTTGTTGGTGAGAGTTTAGTTGAAGTACGAAGTACTTACTACCTTATATAGGGCTGTGCTTTGCTTGCGGGTTCAATTAGGAAATGATTCCCGGTTCAAGCGTCGGAATCCCTTTCCCGTTGCTTTGGAGGCCATTTCCGGAGGTCGCATTTCTACGCCTTTTTATTTGTATCCTGGTCTATCTGGATTCTGGCTAGACTATTACGGTTTTTCTTCAACAGGGGGATGTGTGAGTCATTCTAGATACACTATATGTTCACTGTTGCTATGTCGTGATTAATTATCTGACTTTCGTCATTTGGACGGTCATTAGGCGCGATAAAATTAAGCAGATTGAAATGGGTGTAGACGTTCGAATTACATATTTTTAGGCTTGGTCTTCATGGTAAGTATCAAATGGGACGGATTCCTATCAAAAAACTCGGATATTATCAAGAATCGAACCAGGCGAGACCTTTATGTTCATGGTTCATGGAGCACCACTAAAAAGTCTCCATGGCAGTTGTCCTACTTTCGAATCTCTTCTCTAACCAATTTAATGGGCGCATTTCGTCTAAACCAAAGGAAAAAGCAGTCCGATTGTCTAATTTGGAATAAACACCCTCTTGCCAATATATACGCCGTCAATCGACTTAACTGAAGGCAGCATATCACATGAGTCCCATAACATCGCGATAGATACACATTATTTTAGTTTCACTGGCTCTGCTTCATCTATGCAGACGCGACCATCTTGTCCTTGACATACAAGTCGACATACTTGTCCACATCGTAACCCTCAAGGGCAGACTTGTTCAAGCCCAAGTCGAGCAGCTCGTCGATGCGAGCCTGGTCGAAGTGAGCCTGCAAGTGACGCTTGTACTTGGCCAGGATCTCGGGCTTGGCCTCTTCGCGGCGCAAGCGGTGGCCCAGAGGAGCCTCGACAACGACCTCCTCAAGCACGGTACCGTCATTCAGAGTGACGGTGAGGGCATTGGGGATGGTACGCTTGGCTGGGTCGTGGTAGTCCGTGGTGAACTGAGTATCTTCAACGCAGCGAATGCGCTTACGGAGATCCTCAACGAGAGGGGAGGTGGCTGCCTCCGAGCCATCGGCGTAGTCGGTGGCGGTGAGACGGTTGAATGCCAGCATGGTGGCAACCATGTACTACATCAAATCAGATCATTGTTCAACCATCCCGAACTTCTTCCGGCTGAGAGCTTACCTGGACGCAGTGGTCACGGTCCGCGAAGTTATCCATCGCCTTGAACTGCTTGTCAATGATGCGAATGCAAGCTTCGTGGGTGCGGTTGGTGATTTCCTTAATATCCTTGGCGCTCTTGCCCATAGCCGCGAGCTTCTTGTTGATGTGCTCGGCAGCTTCGATCGCTGTCTGAGAGTGGAATTCGGCTGCGACAAGAATAGTTAGATGTCATCTAAGATTTCAGAGTACGAGAATACATACCAGGATAGGAGACCTTGAAAAGGACGTTCTCCATGACGTAGCTGCCATAGGGGCGCTGGAACTTGAACTTATTGCCCTTGAACAGCACATCGTAGAAACCCCAGACAGGGGCGGAAAGAACAGTGTGCAATCCACCCTCACCCTTCTGCACCTTAAGCACGAGGTTAACAGCGCGCTGGCATGCGTCACCGGCAGCCCAGGACTTTCTTGACATGGTGTTGGGAGAGTGTCTGTAAGTCCGAAGACTCTGACCGTCGACGAACGCCTGGGAGATGGCATCCGCAGTCTGTTTCTCACTGAGGCCGAGCATCTTAGCAACCACAGCGGTCGTTGCGACCTTGACTAGAACAACGTGGTCCAGTCCAACCTTGTTGTAAGAGTTCTCCAGTGCCAGCACACCTTGAATCTCGTGGGCCTTAATCATGGCCTCCAGCACTTCCTTGACCTTCACGATCTTACCACCCGCAATATTACCGCCAGCGCGGTTGGTCCGGGAGATCCAATCAGCCACGGCGAGGATACCGCCCAAGTTGTCCGAAGGGTGACCCCATTCGGCGGCCAGCCAGCAGTCATTGTAATCCAGCCAGCGGATCATCGCGCCAATGTTGAACGCACCATTGACAGGGTCGAGCTGGTACGGTGTACCGGGCACACGGGTTCCGTTGGGAACAACGGTTCCCTCCACAACGGGACCCAAAAGCTTGGTGCACTCTTTGAATTTCAAGGCTTCCAATCCACAGCCTAGGGTATCGAGGAAAACAAGACGGGCAGTATCATACTGGAATCCAGAAAGTCATAAAACTTATGGTCAGACAAATAATGATCTTGTACACATTTGGGGAGAAATTACGAAAACTAGGTATGCGAAATAAACAAAATTTAGGGAGACATACAGCCAAATCGGAGTTGACCTCGTAGTTGTGAATGTAGTTTGCCATGTCCTGGATTTCGGGATCGTAGGGCTTCTGGAGGGCGCCATCCTGAGAGCCAGACTGAAGAGGTGCCATGGTTGAGAAACGAGAGACTCGAGGAACGGCCGAGTTAACTGCACGAAAAGTATTAAGGGAGGAAAGGGAGGATGTGGCAGATGAGATTCTGGAGACGGAGGAGATGCGGGACTGGAAAGTGCGGGGAGACCGGTGGGTCAGCCGTCTCAACGCCGAACACGAAGCAGACATGATAGGATCGTAGGAGGTTTAAGAGAGGGCACTGACTCTCAATGATATATGAGAGGGAGGTCAATTCGAGGAGGGAAGATCGTAGGGGATGATTTAAATAGGAGAAGAGAGGAGGAGGAAAAGAAAGAGAAAATTAAAGGGGAGAAAAAAAGGTAAGGGCGACAGAAAATGGAGAAATGGAGAAGAGACTCTGGAGTTACGATGGACGGTCAGGTCACCACCCTTCAGCCGAGGCCGTGCCTTTGTTTACTCGCGGCTATTGCCGGTTATGCATCAACCCTCAATTCCCACGGTCCATTGATCAATCAGATCCTCGGGATCCATTGAATTCTATCCGGACAGGGGTGACTGATTCTCAACAATTTGGAAAAAAAAAAAAAAATTACCAGAGATTCATTTCTAACTGATTCAATAGGAACAGAATCTACCATGCCTCTCTAATTCGCAAGGTCCGAAAGAGGGGGTTGATGATTTCAAACCAACAAAAAGTCCCGCGGTCGGACGGCATTCTCTTGTTTCCGCGGTTATCACTCGGAAAGGACAAGCATGTGGCGGATCAACGTCTCATCCTCTGCTCAACCGTTGATCCAGTTCCGAGATACGAAAGGAATTGATATTCATAAGATAAGAACATAATTCCTGGAGCCACAGAAACCGTCATCATTGTCATTCTCTCAAATTCCGGCGAACTTCGTCCTCATCCGTTTCCTGCAGTGTCCGAATAATCTCCTTATACATAGCGTCAGCTAGCGAAGGAGGAACGGCATTCCCAATCTGTTTTAGGACCTCATGACGCCCGAATCGAAAGTTTACGGGGAACGTCTGTAAACAGGCGTACTCTCGATGGGTGAAGTTCCTTCTACCTGAAGGGTGATAATTATCACCTCCATCACAAGTGATTGTTCGAGCCGCCTGGTAGGGATCATAGGGAGGTTTGTTGAGACCACGACTTAGTGCTGCCTGTACGTCATGGTTCGCCGCCCCAAAGGGGATATTGGAAATTGCTTCATGGATGTTGGGGTACTCCCTTAATCCTGGACCATGGGAGGGACGCGGAAAAGGCGGCAGAGTTTCTCCAGGTCTATAGACGATGTCAGTGTATCTTGGTAAGCACCATCAACTGTCGGGGTTTCCTTACCCGGAAGCAATGACGAGGAGCCTTTTCCGGATCTGTGGGACTCCGTATTCGAGAAGTCGCAAGATACACCAACGGACGGAATATCCAATCTCGATAAAATCATTTATCACACGATAAAACGTATCGCGGTGCCGACGAAGCAGAAGCAATCCATTCGTTTCCTCGAGCGTATGTACTCGAGGCTTGGCGCGTTTAATCAGATTTAAGGAAGAGAAGATGCACGCCGAATTGGCATCATCGTGAATACCCTCTATAGTATGAATAGGAGAGAATGTCTGACAAGGTGGCGAGCTATGGCTGACATCGACTCTCAAAAACTCGTCATCACTTGTCAGGAAGCTGAAGATATCACTCAGCTCGCAATATGCATGCTCAAAATTAAGCCGATAGGTAGAGGTTGCGTGTTTAGACTTGTCGAATGCCCACTTGTTATAAAGACCGGCTCGGCGAGCGCCACATGAGACTCCTCCAGCACCACAGAAACCGTCACCAAAGGTATACTGTCGCCGTCTCTTTTGATCTTCCACACTTTCTGAACAGGTGAGATCAACGACAAGATCAGGATTGTCTAGCACAATTACAGGGGAGCGGTCTCTAGGACGGTCTTCTTCGCCAAAAGCTCGAGTCTTGCCCCTCCAAAGCTGTCGTAATATAGCCGGTTCAATTTTGTGCCCTTCATCAGCTTCGATGTATGATAGATATTGCACCGAAACTTCTCCGCCCTTTAGCGTCTCTTTTAAACGACACCAAAGGTCGTTGGGCTTCGCGGCTTTCTGTGGATCGCCTCTGATTTTGCAAATATTGGTGAAGTTGATAGTAACAAACTTCGTAACCATGTAGAACGGTATGATTTCTGTGACGTTGGTAATCCAGACAAGTTCATTTCGCTCTTTAGGAACGTAGGTTCCGGCGTGATTTCTAGTTTTTAGAAGCCGACGGCCACTGAAGTAAACTGCATCCGTTCTATCCTTAAGAACTGTACAGATTCTAAGGTAGGACCCGTCATAAAGCTCGAGTGACTGTCCTGATGTATAAAGTATGCCATCTATGCATACTTCCCCAGCAGGGAGTCTCGTTGTCTCACGGATTTCCTCGGCCGATGTTGTCACTCTTGGGTTTGGGGTATGCAGCTGCCAGTTTTGAAGAACTAACTCAAACTCCTCGTCCACAAGGTAATCATCCTCATCAAAAGTTTGAACTGTTGAGTTGGTAAGATCCACTAGTTCACGCAGGTTTGTGGCTGCATTTGAATTCAGCAAAAAGGGTGTTGGGTCTCGGGGACGATTGTCCGAGACGATCACCACACCATCCGCATGGCGAAGCCCGTCCGAGTCGTAGTCAAGCGTAGCGCTACTATCCGTATCACTGTCATAAACTTCCAGGGTCGTCGGTCTGGGTTCCGCTATCTCAAGAATTGATGCCTCACGAGCTTGGATTGAGGACATCTTTGGCAGATATCTTAATGTCTTGGTAATGAGAAATGAAAGAAGTAGCAAGCTTATGAAGCTCAGTATACAAATGCAATGGAAATATTGTCTGGTGCTCTAAGACAATGAAGGGCGAGGTGTCTGTAGAATGAGTTGAAGATTGAGAGAGAGACACGTAACACGACGATCGGGAATTGAGTATTAAGTATGATGAGATGAAGTGAGAGAGAAACACAATAGTTGCTTTTATGGCCCCTTTTAACTATTCATCTTCATTGATACTGGTGGCTGACCTAAGGCTACATATGTTTGAGATATAACACAACTTGTCACATCGAGTAGCAGAGAGGTGAATACCACAAAGAAAGAAAACAAAGAAAGACAATACAGCAAACATAAAGTGGAGTGAAAGAATAGCAAAGAATCTGTGAAGATATAGTGTTTAGCCATGCTTCAATATACCCATGATATCGTGGTTTGTCTACAAGCATCCATGGAAAGGTCTACATCAAATGTCTACATAGTGGACAAACCATCCATGATTGAGGGCTATATTTCCATATCCGGAAAGGTTGAATTTATTTGAAGAATGATGACTAACTGGTCACGGGACCACCTGCTTTGGGTAGCATCGGTGGACACGTGAGGAGTCAACCCCTCCGGCTGTTGAGATTTTTCCGGTCCGTTAACGGAGCGGCACCCGCAAATTTTCTGTCGTTACTGTGGAGAAGTTCGAAGAAAAAAAAAAATCGGAAAATCGGACTAGGCAATGGAAAGGACCAGAGAAATAAAAACTGGTGGCTTCTTCTCCCTTGCCTCTCCCTCACTCTTTCTCTCTCCTTTAACCTTTCACCATGCCACCACTTGGTCCTTCAATCCCTCCGTGGGTGTGATTTATTACGATTTGTCACCTATTAAAGTCTCTCCTTATTCTCTATGACTATTGTTATGTTTCGATAGAGTCAAAACTGGTTCCATTTTTTCCAACTCTGTCTCCCCACCATTGCGTGTCTGTGTGACAAATTGATTCATCTTCCAAGCATGTGAGTTGTCTGGTGTAATCCCCCGCCTGGTTATCAATCAATATACCCCTCCTTTCCATGATGAATTTCGGTTTTTTTTATTATAGATGTTAGACTTCCTAAGCATTTTTGCGGAGAAAATCCGACCTGATCTTATATTCGATGCTATTCATATTGTCTCGCGGCTCATCCTTTCGTGAGAGCATTGGCTAATCATAAGCATCCGCTAGAAATCCGATCACATTCACAAGATGTGTGGTATCATTGCTCTGATCCAGGCGAACCCGTCGTCTTCCGCCGCCGTTGACCTGCACGAGGCGCTATACCTGCTCCAACATAGAGGTCAAGATGCTGCTGGAATCGCCACCTGTGCTGCAGGTGGTCGTATCTACCAGCTGAAGTCAAACGGCATGGCGGCCAAGGTTTTCCACGACGGTTCCAGGGTGGCAGACCTTCCGGGATTCATGGGCATCGGTCACTTGAGATATCCTACAGCCGGAAGCAGTGCGAATGCTGAGGCTCAGCCTTTCTATGTCAACAGTCCGTATGGCATTTGTCTGGCCCATAACGGCAACCTGATTAATGCTCCGGAACTCAAGAGATATCTGGATTTTGAGGCTCACCGTCACATCAACACTGATAGTGACAGCGAGCTCATGCTCAACGTCTTCGCTGATGAGTTGAGCGAAACCAAGAAGGCGCGGGTCAACAAGGATGATGTCTTTGCCAGTCTTAGCCGGATGTATGAGAGATGTCAAGGTGGCTGGGCATGCACCGCTATGCTAGCTGGTAAGTAATTCAGCCAATCTCAGTTCTGGAATTCAGAATAAGAATGCTAACCTGAACAGGCTTTGGTCTCGTCGGCTTCCGTGACTCCTATGGCATCCGTCCCTTGGTTCTTGGTTCCAGGCCTTCCGCCGAAGGCGAAGGCACGGACTATATGATGGCCTCCGAGTCTGTTGCTCTGCACCAGCTTGGGTTCACTAACATCCGTGACATTCAACCTGGTGAAGCAGTCATCATTGAAAAGGGCGGCGAGCCTGTGTTCCGCCAAGTCGCCCCGAAGAAGGCCTATGCTCCTGATATCTTTGAGTATGTCTACTTCGCGCGTCCTGATTCCGTTATCGATGGCATTAGCGTATACCGTAGCCGTCAACGGATGGGCGATCGCCTTGCCGCCAGGATTCTTGATGTCCTTGGACCGGAAGTGGTCAAGGACATTGATGTTGTCATCCCTATCCCTGAGACTTCCACGACGTCCGCAGCAGCCGTCGCTCGGTATCTCGACATCCCGTACTGTCAAGGTTTCGTAAAGAACCGCTACGTTTTCCGGACATTTATCATGCCCGAGCAGAAGACCCGACAGAAGGGTGTTCGCCGCAAGCTGAATGCTATGCAAGCAGAATTCAAGGACCGAAATGTCCTCCTGGTTGACGACAGCATCGTGCGAGGAACAACCAGTCGGGAAATTGTGACTATGGCGAGGGAGGCTGGCGCTAAGAAGGTTTACTTCGCCAGTTGCGCACCGGAGATCACGTAAGTGATCCACATCAATCTATGAGTAATGAACACGTTGCTAACTATCTCCACAGACATGCTCATATTTATGGTATTGATCTTGCGTCGCCTAACGAGTTGGTTGCGCATAACCGTGACCCCGAGCAGATCGCCAAGCACATTGGCGCGGACAGCGTCATCTACCAGACCTTGTCTGACCTGAAAGGCGCTTGTGCGGAGATTGCCCAGGAGAATGGGTTGGCCGAGCCGCAGAACTTTGAAGTCGGTGTGTTCTGTGGTGACTACGTCACTCCTGTTTCCGATGGGTACTTCGATCATCTGGAAAAGATCAGAGGCGAAGGTCGCAAGATCAAGGCTTTGGACCGGGCTAAGGAAGCCGTAACTCATGGTTTCGCTAGTGAAAAGGATTTTCAGATTGCTGCCAACGGCGTCAAATTGGATGCTCGCGGCAACATCATTCCGGCATCAACCCCGGGGGAGTCTGAAGTGCCACAGGTCAGCCTCTGCAGCACCCGCAAACCCGAGGAGAGCGAAGAGCATCCCAAGGTCAAAGACCGGATGGACATTAGCATCCACAACATGGGCGATCACCCATGATCACTGATGAGTTTATGGACCGTATATTCATATCATCTGGAGTCCTGGAGTTGGTGGCCGGTTGATTAAAGAGAACGAAAGGCTATCTGCTTGGTGATGGTTATCGCAACGCAATAGCAAAGGGATCCAGATACCCTTTTGTATGCACGACATGACCTATAGACTTTATACTTTTATGACGAACAAAGTTTGCTTCTGGCAGTTAATAGCAAGTGCTTCAGTGAGGATGATACGGAAGTAATTTAACCCGATCACGTGAAGGTGATGTCTTTCACCAGATTCAGTATAACTGGACTTCCATATCCAATAAATGACTCCCTCCCACTGCATCACCCAATTTACGTTCTATGTCCATATCTATAGCCATAACTTAGAACATTAGTGGTACCTGGCGGGAAAACTTAGTTGTGTCGTCAACACCAAGCGCAACCCCACTACTACTCTTAATACTAGCAACTTCTCGGTGGCGCACGATTCTCATGGAGCGTCGCATAACAAGGTCCGCCGCTGCCAAAGAAGCTACATCATTGGCAGCTGCAATAAAGATGTCAGAGCAAGAATTCGCCACTAAACCGCTCAGTTTGGAAAATGAATCACCCGGCCAACAGTCGTCTTCTCTTGGAAACAATTCAAAGACTAGGTCTACTTTCAAGAGGCGCAAGACAAAACGTCCGGCGTCAGAGGTTAATGCTGTGAATGAGTTACCCCATAATTTGGGTTCATCGGTTAAACCAAAGTACAAGACCAGCGCCTTATCATCAGGGGTCAAGGTGGAGGTGATAGACACTATTTCGAATGAACTGAAAAGGACTGTTGAGAAAGCCACAACAACACCAAGATCGGTGTCAACAGGTAAAAGCAAGAAGGCCAATCCATATCGTCTAACACCCGGGATTACTCCGTTCCCAGATTGGCCCCATCCAACCCCCGATGCCTGCGAAGAGGTTAATAGGCTACTCTCCAGCGTACATGGAGAGATTGCTCCCCCCACTACCATACCAGAGCCGTCTCTGACTGTAACGGGTTGTGGAGAGGTTCCCTCTGTTCTTGATGCGCTTATTCGAACTTTGCTTAGTGGTGCCACGTCGGGAAACAATTCTGCGCTGGCTTTCAATGGGCTGGTACAGAAGTTTGGTATCCTCCACGAGGGGATAGGCAAAGGGAGTGTTAACTGGGATGCCGTTCGTCAAGCGCCACTTAAAGATGTTTTTGAAGCTATCAAGAGAGGCGGTTTGGCCGATATCAAGAGCAAGAACCTCAAGGCCATTTTAGATATGGTACACACGGAAAACCAGGAACGTCGGGAAATCCTAGTAAGAGGCGAGGACGCTGGACCGTCAGATCTCATGCCGAAGTCTGAAAACAGCAAACAGTACGAGATCGCATGTGCAGACCAACACTTCCTGTCTCTTAACCATCTCCACACCCTCAACACAGAACAGGTAATGGAGGAACTAGTCAAGTACCCCGGGATCGGACCTAAAACAGCTGCCTGTGTCCTGCTCTTCTGCCTACAGCGTCCGTGCTTCGCGGTTGACACCCACATCTTCCGCATCTGCAAATGGCTCGGCTGGGTACCGCCGGACAAGGCGACAGAGATCACGGCGTTCGGCCACCTCGAGGTGCGGATTCCAAATCACCTCAAGTACTCTCTTCATCAGCTCTTCATCCGACATGGAAAGACTTGTCCAAGATGCCGAGCAATAACTGGACAATCTTCCGCCGGGTGGGACGAAGGCTGCGTCATTGATCACCTAGTGAAAAGGACCGGGAAGAGAAAGGGAGAACCCGCGACCTCGCCGCCTGTCAAGCGTAAGAGCACTGGCCGGCAGCATCGTAGTGAGAAGGCGTGAGGATGGTTCGAAAGATTTAGCACGTTTCAATGTAAATAGACAATCTGATAGATAGATTTCTGCTGATGGGGAACCTTGTGTATCTCAAAAGTAAGACAATAGGTGCATGTATGGAGACCAGTTCAAATAGAGTACATGCTTTGCTCAACCTACAAGACGATAATAAGCAAGGGAAAGGAAATGTATTGCCTGATGGACTATTTTATAGTATGGGTGGCACGTGCACCCCTATCGGAGTGCCTGATAAAACAATCGGACCACTTCCGCTGCGCATCTCCGTCTCCCACATTCGCCCGCCTCCTGAAACCTTCCAGACAGATTCCTGGAGCTCAATTTCAGCTGTCTGGATTTCAAAATGGAGGCCCTGACCCCGTACATCCCTCCAGCTCTTCTTCCATTTGCGCAAACTCTCCGCGATCAAGTTCCCTTGGTCAGTGTCGCGCTTGTCTCGCTCGGTGCGATATACCTAGGATACATTTACATCCTGGGAAGAAAAGAAGCTGCCGTGCTATTTAACGTGCCAATTCCACCCGAAGTCCGTACCAATTGGAAGGGTAAAGCGTGGGAAGATGTTCAGGGGGAGGAGAAAAAGGTGCTAGAGGGTCAACTTAGAGGGGTAGGTTTACTTGTCTTCATGTTTGTCTTTCTTCGAGGAGTGCCAATGGCTGACTTTAGTTTTCTCTCTTATAGTCGTGGAATGACAAGATTATCTTAAGCTATTGTCCTGCAGATGGAAGAATACTAGGCAACGGAATCAAACCTGCAACAACTGACGACGTCAACCGAGCGATCCAAGCAGCGAAGAAGGCTCAGATTGAATGGGCCCGGACTAGTTTCGCTGAAAGGAGGAAGGTTTTGCGGACATTGCTTAAGTATGTTGCATCTATAGCCTCGATTGCTGCGGCCAGAAACTGTACCTAACTGAGACCCATTTGAACAACAGATATGTGCTCGAGCATCAGGAAGAACTTGTCACCGCTTGTTGTCTGGATTCTGGAAAGACTAAAGTCGACGCGTCATTTGGAGAAATCCTTGTAACAGCAGAGAAGCTGAAATGGACAATTGATCACGGCGAGAAGGCTTTGACGCCCGAATCGAGACCCACGAATTTCCTGATGATGTACAAGAAGAACATGGTCACTTATGAGCCTCTTGGTGTGGTGTCGGCCTGCGTCTCTTGGAATTATCCCCTGCATAACTTCATCGGTCCAATTATCAGTGGTATTTTTGCAGGAAACGGTGTGGTTGTAAAACCATCGGAGCAAACTGCATGGTCCTCGGCGTTCTTTTTGGAAGTCGTGAGAGGCGCTCTTTCGGCATGCGGTCACCCTCGCGATCTTGTGCAAAGCGTTGTCTGCTTGCCTGAAGTAGCAGATTTCTTGACCTCACATCCGGACATCGCTCAGTTGACCTTCATTGGATCAAGGCCGGTCGCGCACAAGGTTTGCGAGTCAGCAGCAAAGGCACTGACTCCAGTGACTGTTGAACTGGGTGGCAAGGACCCTGCCGTCATTCTGGACGATGCCAGAACAGTGAGCGAGATCTCGTCTATCGCGTCCATTCTCATGCGAGGTGTCTTTCAATCCGCTGGGCAAAACTGCATTGGTGTTGAGCGAGTCATTGCCTTGCCTGGAGTATACGACAAACTTCTGGATGATGTGTCTTCACGCATTAAGTCATTTCGTCTTGGTTCAGTCCTCCTTGAATCCAAACCCGAAGATCCTCAACAGAAACCTGGCGCTCCAGACATGGGCGCTTTAATCTCCCCAGCCTCTTTCGACCGCCTGGAATCATTGATCAACGACGCAGTCCAACAAGGCGCGAGCCTTATCTGCGGTGGAAAACGTGTCAACCACCCCAAGTATCCTCATGGTCATTACTTTGCGCCCACTCTCCTTGCGAACGTAACACCTTCCATGCGGATCGCTCAAACCGAACTTTTCGCCCCAGTATTTCTCCTCATGCGCGCCGACTCAGTACCCCACGCTATCGCTATCGCAAACTCAACGGAATACGCCCTCGGCGCTAGCGTCTTCGGCTACAACCATATTGACGTCGCAGCCTGCGTCTCAAACATCAAAGCGGGAATGGTATCTGTCAACGATTTTGGAAGCTACTATGCCGTGCAGCTGCCTTTCGGTGGAGTCAAGGGATCCGGATACGGTCGCTTTGCGGGAGAAGAAGGACTGCGTGGTGTGAGCAACATCAAGTCCCTCTGCGTCGACCGGTTCCCCAAGTTAATGGCGACTCGCATCCCGCCACGCGTGGATTATCCTATCTGCAAGGGAGATGATAGTCGTCAGAATGGGACCGGCGCTTGGGAAATGTGTAAGGGCGTCGTTGAAACAGGATATCAGTTGACTCTGGCCGGAAGAGTTACTGGTATACTAAGGCTGTTGAAGAACATGTAAGTTAGGTTATACGATTTTTATTAATTGAGCAATGTCACCAGCGACATTGAATGTATGTTCTATGTACAATATCATATAATACACATGGTAGAAAACAAGATAGGATAATCCACCCATGCCGTGCGTAATAAGTAGTCTCTATAGAGACCTCCACTGGCTCTCAAAATCATGACAAGTTTCTTCCATCCAACTCCCCAATTCTTCCACCCCCAAAACCTCATTCAAATACCGTCTCGCCAATTCTACCTGTCCATTTGCTCTCCCTAGATAGAACACCGCCCCTTCAGCCGGATTAGCATTCGCCGCCTCAATCCGCTGCGGCAGCTGCAACATAAGATCAAGAAGCCACCGTCCAAACGAATTATCTAGATCCATAGCCCACTGCGTGATATCCGAATCATCCGGCACAGACTCCGCACTGGCGCGGACAAGAAGCTGAAACAGTGCCGGCTCATCGCGCGCAACCCGCACAGCTGTACGAAAATGCTCCGCTGGAATCGTATACGGCACACTATTGGTGACCGCGACGTTCGTATTCCTACACCGGAAATAATACTCATCTATCTTGAGTAAGGAAGTAAGTGCCTCAGAATTCTGTTCTACCAAAGCCGCATAAATACCCTTCTGCAGGACATCGCGCGACAAAGAAACATGCGTTTCCATAAGCTCTGAAGTATTGAATCCGCTCGTGAGTCGAAGCGTCTCGAGGTAGGCGATAGTCTCTGACGTGAACCCGTTTTCGCCCCTGAGGAGTCGTTCCGGAAACTCCGTGATACCGAGGATGCGGTGCGTCTGCACAGTCTCCGTTTCGTGGCAGGTGACTGTTACAGACACGAGCGGTGACACGGACAGTGTGTAGTGGCTATTACCTTTATCCGTGCCTTCGAAATTGCGGGTCTCGTCCTCGTCCTCTTCGCGCACAAGGAACCGTCTCAACTTCTCCTCTTGGTCTTCTGCCATCGTGATTCCTGCACTGAACCAATATCGCTGAATACTGAGGCCCATCAGATCCGGGAACCGGCTCAGTAGCCGCTGCACTGTGCACCATTTACACCGCAAAATGGCACTCTGCAACGCGCCGCGCTCGTTGAGGTCAAGCGGAATATAATCCAACGGCCTCAGGGTCTTCGCAATTGCCGTCGCGGAGACGGCATCGAACGGGCCCGTCGAGGAGGGGACATCGTTCCAGAATGCCAGAAGTATCAAAGCGCGGTAGATCCGCTCGCTCGACACCGTTGCGGCGAGGGACGCCGACGCCCGGGGTAGATTGACGTTCAGCGAATGTAGGAAGATCTTCTCAATCAGTTCCACCGGTAGGGTCTCCAGCCGGCTGAGTTTCTTGCGCGGATGTTTAGGCGGTTTTGCGATTAGACGTTGCGCGCGTCTGATGGCTTGGCTTTGGGAAGAGCTGTATCGTTCGGCGAACGACGTTAACGGTCGCCCACCGAGGCCTTTTGAGCGCTTGGGTTGAGGTCCTGCATCTTCGGTAGGAGCAGGGCGTTTTTTTCTACGGCCGCGCACTCGGATCGGCGTGAGCATGCCCGGCGGCGCGGAGCGGGTTGTTTTGTCGCTCAGTTTTTGTTGTCGCAGGCCATTGGACGGGAGGGGAGGTTATCGGGCATGGCGGGTCGGGAGTTTGTTGTTGTTGATCGCATGTATTTTTATTTGCTAGATTCAACGTTTGATATGATGTGGGTCGAGAGACAAAAACTCTAGGTGCCTGAGGTTCTCAATTTTCTCCCGTTTTTAGTAGTTGAGCAGTGCTGCTACAACAACTAGGGATGCCAACTTCAATTGTGACGTGTAGTATCATAGCAGCTTGGACTATGTAGTACATACAACGTCGTGAGAATAGATATAGGTTTCAACACAATTGCCTCAGTGTAATCTAATCTATCACTGTATCTCAGTTCCTGGTATCTTACATAGGTGTCCATGTATGTCCACAGGTCATGGGGTTAAAGCGGCAACACTTACAGATGCATTTCCGCTCCTCAGGAACCAATCCATAGGGCTGTTCAGCCACCTGACAAGCCCTACCTTAGTCATCCTGCTCACTACTGGCACATGACGTCAGACCCAACTCAAACGCTTTTCAAGGAACGAATGTCATTCCAGATAATAAGAATAATAAAAACGACAATAAGATTCACACCAGAAGAGTTTAATTGCCAGGTGGCGAATGCGGATTCAGTCACCAGCCGATCAATAGGTAATGATCCTCGTGTCTTTGCCTGATTCGGCGGGCGAGAATCAGGACGGGATTCTTGGTTCCATGTCAGTATGACGAAAATGGCGGTCAAGATGGCAATCTGATGGGCGATGGATTTAGTATGCGCAGTAAGGGCTGTCGAGTGTTGGCGCTGCTGTTTGGTGACATACATCATTGTCAGTGTTGCGTGGTGGTGAATTCATTCTTGGGGGCGGAGGATGTAAATAGTATATATATCTCGTGCTATTCTGGGCTCGGGGGATTTTATGGTCAGACCAATTTAAACATATTATACTCTACCACGAAAGAAAAAACACCAATACATTACTCCATTCAGTGTTTTGTTTAAACCAAGAACAACCTAGTGACTTAACCATTGATATCTTTTCAAGATGGGTGCTGTTGTGTCCTGTGTATGATTCCCTCCTCTTTCCCCTTCATTCTGGCCTGATCAGAAAAAAATATTCTAACGTCCGATCACAGATCCAAAGCGTCTTCCATGCCATCGGTGCCTGTCTCATGGGTATCGTCAATACGATCGGCGCGGTCTGCAAAGCGATTATCGACGGCGTCGTCACCCTCTTTGATGTGATCATCTCCTGCCTGACTTGCGGCTACTGTGGACGAAGGAGGAGAGGAACAACGCGAACACGGCGGTCCAGAATCTAAAATTGTGAATCGCGGCGCGCTATGAGTTACGATGGATACGCTTGATGTTTCGTCTTTGGTTTCTATCAGCTTTTGTGTTTTCAGTTCTATTCCCCAAATGTGTATTATAGCAATGGATTTTATTAATAGAAGTGCATGCTGATTAAAGATGTTATCACATATGGCTCGCTCCCGCTTTAGACATCAATTGGTCTTTGAGATGCAGCAGATTTGAAGGGATATCATCCCATCGTTGCTCGACTAGTAGTTTGAGGAATGGATCGTCATGCTCGTCCGCGTACTTCAATGCTACCTGGAAGTGGTTTGGGAGGACAGGCCAGCGCACAGGGTATTTATAGCACTGGCAGCGGATGTGCATGTTGACGAGTCGCTGGAAGGTCGGGAAATCACGGTCCCGGATGACCTGGCGGAGGATACGCCGCGAACGGGTGAAGGTGTCGTCTGCATCGATGTACGCGTCCATAGAGAGCAATTGGAGCAATTCAAGCTTCGTGTCGGTCCAAGGTGGGCCGAGCAGTTTGTTTGGCATGCGAGCTGGCAGCTCCGGCAAGCAGCACGGAAGGCGAAAGAGATCGAGGTCGGTGACTAGCTTGTTGGGCTTGCGGACTTGTAACGCCCCAAAATGAAACCATACTGCGACTTTGTACTCTACGTCGGTGTTTCGGTCTCGAGCTTTCAGGATCAAATCGCCTTTACTGCGGCATCCTCCCCAGCCTTTGTCGCAACTTTCTAGGTTACTGAAGCGACCGTTGATGTTGGCTAGAGCATAGTGATCTTCAGGGACCAAGTCTAGATCTCGACATTTGCGGCGAATGGCATGTTCCACGTACTCCCTTTGGCATTTGCGTATTAAGGGTAGTGTGCACCAACGAGAAGCAAGGATTTCACTTTGAAGATCCCTTCTCTGATGCTCAGAGAGCGCAAAGAAGCTCAGAGGCGGCGGTAAAAAGTCTGGAGTAAAGAAACCACTCTTTGAGCTCTCGTTCGCGCTGCTGAAGGCGAGTCGGATAAGCCAAGTGTAGACCGTGGGATCAGAAAGAACCCTGGAGATATACAGAGAGGCGCGTGGGAGATTGAATTCAAGGCAGTGGAAGAAGATCTCCTGAATAATCTCCACGGGTAGATTTTCGAGATGACACCGGTTCTGACCCGGTGGTGACAGTTGATTCATCTGCCTGATGGACCCGTTCTAAAAAAGCTTAGGCGGGCAGTGGATCTCTGATAGAATCCAACCGGTGCTCATCGAAGTCTTGTCTTTCTGTGGTCTCTATAAAACAAGAGACGGATGGGATAAAGCTCCTTTCGTCATATCTTTTGCCCGCAGCTGACCGGTCATCAACGGACAGTTTGTGGGAAATAAACCACAAGGCTGGCAAGCAATCAGATGAATTGCCTCAAGTCTGATCACAGGGCAAATACCAGGATGGGCGCTCACAGCAGCCAGTCTCCGGACCGCAAGAGATGCGGGGCTCAGATCACTTGTTCCTAGCAGTGGAGAATTTAGATAAGCTGTGTGATATACAGTGGTGCAATTAAGCGCCGTGACTCACTTTACCCCTGCGCGTTACGCAGCAGCGCTGGGATATAAAGTGTAATTAGGGAAGTCGGGCGTGACGCGTAGGAATCGGTAAAGGTCAGTAGTTGAGGTTCAACCGCCAAAGGCGGAACTAAACAACTCCCTGGGGTCCCAACATCAGGTTTCTGTCGGACAAAGCAGTAATCGCTTTGGAAACATTGGACTGGTGTATACGTAAAATCTTCTCGCGTATTCATATCCGTAGAATATATTTAGACCTGACCTCTTGTACCTACCGTGGAACATCGTTCCAAGCATACTTGCCGCTTACTAGATATTCATAAGCTGTGCGATAGAGAAGACCAGATGGTAGGAATTTTCAATCCACTAGTGCTATAGAATAGAAGAGGACTCCCTCGCAGTATTCATCGACGGGTTGAACATCGTTTACGGAAGCAATAAAAAAAAGAGAACAAGGCTGTTGGTTAATGTAGGAAACCATCTTCTAAATTGCACATTGTTTCTATACACGTCCCACAACCAAGTTCACACTGCCAGACGCAAAGGGTATCCTAGCTGGCCAACATGCTTGACAAAAGAAAATCCCATCGTGTGATGACACTGGTCGAAGGAGAAAAGAGGCGTAAAATGACAGATAATGCTGATAGTTTAGACAACAGACATATCGCCGAAGCGCTCCTGAAAGTGAGGACGCGTATTAGTATGCGTATAACCGTACATTCGAATATAGATGGTCTCACCTTGTAACCAGCCGGCATCCAGCGGCCCTTGCTGACCATAGAGGCGGTCTTCTCATCAATTTCGGGCTGGGCAGAGGCAACCTCATCCTATAGAAAAGAAAGAGAAACGGGTCAGTATGTCTACACCCCTGCCAAGTTGGCATACACAATCCACCCAAGCCAAAACATACCACAGTGAGCTCATCGAATGGCCGGGCAGTCTCGATGTTCTCGAGAGTCTTCTCAAGGCTGCGGAGCTCGGCCTCAACCTTGCCCTTGGTCTCCTCAGCGCTCTGAACAGCCTGGCTCTCGAAAGCATCGATGGCCTTCAGCTGACGGGAAACATCGTAGGTGGCGGGCTTGAAGGTCTTGAACTGGTTCTCGATCTCGTCGACAATGGCCTGGTTCTTCAGGACCTTGCGGTAGTGGGCGAAGTCGATGGTCTGGGGCTGTTCGGACAGAAGCTGAACCTTGCGACGGGCATCATCGTTCCTCTTCTTGAAAGCCTGGAGAGAGGCAGCGGTCTGGCCGCGGAGGCCGAGGGAGCTGGTCACCTTGACCCAGTCAATCTTAAGAGCGGCGCTGCGCTGTACACGAACTGTTAGCGGACTTGAATTTTTCTGCAACCAACCATAACCAAAGCACCAGGGCGAAATTGACATACGGCGGCCATTTTGAAGTGTGGATTGGAGGGATATCGGTGGGAGGGGGGAGTTCAACGTGCAAAGACTGAGGTTCCGGGAGTGAGGATCAACTCGGCAAAGGTTTGGAATGGGGATGTCTCTCACGTGACCGATGGGTTCCCGTGTTCCGAACACAAACGAATACAGCCAAGAAACATGAGTACAGTGTATGTATAAGCCTCAAGGCCCTATTTATTGACCTTTGTATATATATATGGATACAATGGATCCAAGTCCTACTCCTAGAAATTTTGCAATATTGGGAAAAAGATACATCTAGAGATTTACTGACAATTTGAGGAAGCATTGGGTCGTTCAATTCTGCTTTTTTTGTTTTGAACTCTTGATTTACACTAGGGCCTGACAGAGCATGCATCCCAGGGGATATCAACCTGACCTCTCACCCAAAGCCATCCTGCCAGCAGGGCTAAGAGACATCAGCCACTGATAGCGCGAAATTAAATGGGCAGCGCTTATATGCTGAGCGCCATGATGGAGTTCACGATATCATTGTCGTTCTCACGAAGAGCCTTGACAGCCTTCTTGCGCGACACGCTGGCCTGAGCCATGACGAGCTCGATGTCCTTGGCCTCAAGGCCGCTCTCGTCAACGGGTTCACCATCATCCTCTTCCTCCTCCTTCTTGGTCTCGGCCTCGGGGACCTTGCTACCGAGGGGTTCGTGCTCGTGATCGTGACCAGCGTGCTCACCGGCGGCAGCCTCGGCAGCGGCGAGCTGCTGAGCAGCGGAAGCCTGGGCCTGGGAGTTCAAGTCCTCGATCTTAGCCTCACCGAAGATGCTGTTCAACGTGTAAGCCAACGAATACATCCCATGTTCATATTTCAGAGGAAGACATACATCCAGGTGTTGCTGGAGGGGGAACGGTAGACATCGGGCTGGTTGATGACGAAGAGGATCTGTAAGAGACATATTAGCCTCTGCATTCATGCATCTATGCTGCTCATCGCCAACTAGAGCACAGGGACTGTTGAGCATTGGACGAAGGCGGGGTAGGTCGAATTCATACGTTCTTGGGTCTGCGGAGAGTGACACGAGTGATGCCGGGAACGTGCTTCAGGCCGAGCTTGCCAATGGCCTTGCGAGCCTTCTTCTCGTTACGAGAGTGGATGGTGACGGCGGCACCGGCGGGAATGTTGGCCTCCTCGCCAGCCTCAGACTCGGAGTCGCTGCCAGCATCCTCAACGGTCTGCTTGGGAGTCTCCTCCTCAACGATCTCTTCAACACGGGGGTCGGCCATTTTGTGAATTGGGGGAGCCTAAAAGGGCTATAAAATCGAGGGTCAGCAATTCGCACTCTAGGACTGTTTCGGTCGCTTGGAGGCTCGAATTGTGGCCCACGAAACCGGAGGGTCCCGCCCACGAAAACTGCAGGAATTCACCAGTTCCGAGCGTAAAAATCATCTTGACGGCCAGAGATACAATAATAACGTACCTAGACACAGAAAAGATTACTGTGGTGGATGAGGGGGTTTTTTTGGTCTGGTTGAAGGTGGAAAGGCGCAAAGCTGTGTGAATGTCATGGCTGCCGAAAATCGTTAGCGAGCTGATTGGGTCCCTCACGAGTTTCCCACCCCCCCCCAGACGCCGGGACACACAAGCGACTCAAGTACGAACTATGTATCTATGACTCTAATGTTCTGTCTGTATGTATGAATCAATGAACGAATGAATGTATATCCCCAACTTTTACATGACCATATTCCGACAAAATTTATCGGAATTGCTCTATTTCAATTCTAGAATCGCAAAAATACAACGAAATTAAATATAAGCGCTTGGTCATGAAAATTACGTTTGTTTTTTGTTTTTTCTTGATTTCCCTTCATGGTTTTTGTGGATCATTCCCCAATTTCCATTAAAAAGGCATGGCCCGCTGATGTCAAGATAAGTAAACCCGGAGCCTCCTTAATACTAGTAGAAAGGTGTGCCGTCTTCTGTGACGTACGAGCGTAACCTCTTTGGTCAGGATATCAAGGTTCTCGAATCATTTTATGCTGCCAATGATAATGCGTACAGCGTCTTTTTTGCTGAAACCAAATAAACCCTCAGCAATGTAAAACCGTCCCAAAGGCACTCCCTTCACACTATGCACCGAGCCTCATGAAGTAAACCATCTACGACTTAGGAGCAGCCGCCCTGAGCTTGGCGTGAGCCTTCTGGACCTCGAAGCGAGCCTGTTAAAAGTCCATAATGTCAGTCTTCCATCCTATTCTCATCGACCAATCCCAGCGCAAGGTCCAATATATGTTCCTAGCCCTAGTTTCATCGTTCCAAAAACCATCAATGGGGACCATCCACGTACCTGCTTCCGGAGGCGCAGGACCTTGAAACGCTCGAAGTCGTTGAGGTTCTTCCGGCGCTCAGCACGCTCGGTCTTCTGGGCGAAGCTGGACTGAGCCCACTTGCTGTCGATCTCGCTCTTCTGCCAGAGCTTCTTGACGGGGCCGGTACCGGCAGCACGGGGAAGCTGGGGAATGACGAAGTGGGTGAGGGTGGCGTGGGCGAGAGGAAGAACGTGACGGGGGACGATCTTGTTCTCCTCGGTGGAAGGACCGTCAACCAGAACCTATTTCGTTGCGACACTTGGTCAATATCATGTCCATCCCCAAGTATTCTTTGCCCATCCTAATCGCGGCTGTCCATATCTCGCTCGGATCAAAAACATACACGTCTGTGGTCGACAATCTCCACGATGGTGGCCAGCTTGCCGGTGTAGGGGCCGCGGCGGATCAGCACCACACGGCCAATCTCAACGAGCTTCCATTGAGCGATCTTGATATCGATATCGGCCATGGCGAAGGCTTCCTAAAAAAATTGCCAAAAATGACGGTCTCAGTATAACAGATTCTACTGGGACGATAGACGGGCGCATCAATCACTCACGGTCGACAGACTCCGGGAGGTCGGTGGAGGAATTTGTTGTCGAAGTGGTCGGGGTTGTCGAAGGGTCGTCCGAAACGCACAAGTTCGCTCTGGCTGCTGGAGTCGCGAATTTCGGTCTTGCGGCGTTGCCCACAGTTTCTCGCTTAACAGCCAGTCGGAGCCCGTCGATGGGACCTGTGGTGCGGACTAGGGCTGCTTCGTTGTCTTAGCGCCGCCTTCGGAGCCTCCTATTCTTCCGCTTCCGATCCCGTTGCATTTAAGCTTCATTTTCTCTGGTGGATTTTTTTTTCTTTTGTTCCTGCAAAGTAAAAGCTTCAGCTTTTCATTTCTCTCTCTCCATCAAAACATAATGCTGTTTTGGGCAATGATTCACGATCAGCTGGTCTCGTACTAACTGTCAACAGTCTTCAGCATAATCACACTGGTATGTATAGCATGGTTTTTTCCTTCTTTCTTCCCTCTTCACACTTGTATGATGCGGTAATTTGCGATTGACCCGGTGTCTGTGAAGCTCTCGCCGGAGTTTCGATACAGCACTGAAGTATGATATTTAATTTCTTACATATTCTGATACGTGTTTATAACTTCACTTGATTGTTATCACTCCATCTTATATATGGAATCGTGGCTAACATATCAAAAGACTTTGAGCAGGTTTTCATATCGATCATTACTTCTCCAACAAGCTATCACAGTTTGGAATAGGTACGTTCGGAATTTTTTTTTTTTTCAAATGCCCATGTTCCGAGGAAGACAACTTTGCACTGCCTAGATAGTAATTGATGCTTCTGGCAATGATATTACCCTCATCACCAAGATCTCTGATGGAACATTTTCAATCTCACAATTTGATCCCGTTTTATCTTCGGAATCTTTGTCTAACGTTCGACGTTATAGGTCTTACATACCCTGGACTTTGATAGCATACATAGTTAGCATGAAAATGATATATGAATTTCTGAGAATTGCACCATTGCCTGGTAACCTTTGTATCTGTATGAGTATGCGTAAATCTTCAAGGCGGTAAACAATAACGTGATCGTCACTGCATGTCCATTCTCAAAAGCTTCAATCTAAGCCGTACAATAGTCAAATGCCACCCCAGTCCCCATACCATGTCTCCTGCCAAAGCCAAGCTTGTTGCCGAGGCATTACTCTCGTCCATCGGTCTCGAACTAGTTTCTTGTAGGGTCCTTCAGACCCTCTGGGCAGGCTATGGCCATATATGCGCAATCACGGCGAGAGCTTCGGCAAACCAGACCACTCGAACCTCCAACCTGAAGGAGGATGCGAATGGTAACGTTCACCTCATCCTCAAACTCATCTCGCCCCCAAAAAGCGAGGGCGATGAAGGCCACCTACGTAAAATGCTCAGCTATGAAGTTGAGCAATATTTCTACCAAGAAATCACACCATCTTTGGACCAGGATGTTGCCGTTGCAAGTTGCTTAGCTTCCACGGGACACTTGCAACAAGGCAACAGCCAGGAACTCCAGGGCTTGACTGCCACTATCATGGAGGATCTCCGTCTAAAGTTTCCTGTTGCAGGAGAAAAGAGAGCACTTCTCAATCAACAGCAGGTCTATGCCGCCATTGAGTGGCTGGCAAAGTTCCATGCCAATACTTGGAAACTGCTTCCAGATGACCTCGATCGATATCTCTTGCCGCCATTGAAGGAGATGCAAAGAAGAAGAGCTGATCCATCTGCAGGTGGTGATAAACTCTGGTTAAATGGGGGCTACACCTACCTCGCAACTCGGCAGAAGGAGCTTGCCTCGTTAGTAGAAGATACTGACTCTGAGTGGTCTTCTGCGTTTTGTGAGCCCCCGCAAGGCTCAGCTTTGTCGATTGCTGATCAGGTGGCTAATTTTCTCACCCCATGCGGCCGGCCCTATGAAAGTTATATTCACGGTGATGTAAAATCAGAGAATCTTTTCACTACCAGCTCAGGCGATGAGGTAGCCTTTTTTGACTTTCAATACGTTGGATTGGGCTTAGGGGTTTGCGATCTTGCCAAGTTGTTTACGTGCTCTGTACCGTTGGATATGCTCACCAACGACTACGACATCCCTGAGGAGCTCCTCATGGACGACGGTGAAAGGGCCTTGCTAGAGCGTTACCGGGAAACCCTACTGGCCCGTCGCTCATCAGGAATGAAGGAATTCGATTATCCCATGAACTTACTGATCCGCCACTGGGAGACTGCGCTTGTCGATTGGTGTCGCTTCCAAGCATCATGGGGTTTCTGGGGCAATACAAAATGGCTTGAGGCAAGAGTTCGGTCGATATTGAAGGATCAAGCTTGGCGAGAGTGGCTACGAAATGAAAGTGGATAGCTTTTTGTTCAGGAATAATGCTGCGGCCTATCCCAACTTCACGTCGCCAGCCGTTGGAGCATATATAACCCTAACTCAGCTCAGTGACCGAATATGGCTTTTTTCTTTTTGGAGGAGGGTGGGGTGAGGGGAAGGGACATGAAAATCGAGAGTTCTAGACCAGTAAAACATCCTCTAGAATATAGCATGTGGATATTATCTCCAGAGGCCACGACTGTCAAAGCATGGCGACGTAACTCGTACTCATCAAATCAATAGCTCTCAGACAAGCAAGAACATATTACGTAGGCAAAATATGGTCTAGAATCTATCAGAACATTAAGAGAGTATCCGCCCAAATTCGCTCCTATGCTGAAACATGAAATAACACAGCTGGAATTATCTAACATCTTTACATAGCATGCGTAACGAAAGTCACCCACAGGAGTCGATTTTCTCACCGATGTATGTCATATCTGTTTCTTCGTGAGGGCGTCTCTCGTAATTCGCAAATCCAGTGGGGTCCAATAGCTCAATTACGACGCTGACCCAGCTACGTTCGAAGCAGTTGGGCCCTCTCGGCTCAGCACCCACATGAAGATAAACTGAATAACATAAGAATAGATGAACAAAAATTGGGTGCGACGGTTGCGTTGCGACCGGGCGACGGTGTGCATCGATCCCGTGCGTGCATCACTCGCCGAGTCTGGAAGGAGGACGTATTTCAAAGAACGAAGCTAGATAATACATTAGTCGTTTTGGCTTGGAATGAAGGTCCTGGTCAGAAGGACTTACCAAGAAGAACGCATTAGCCAGGAACGTGTAAATGAACACAACCCAGCCGACCCAACCACCAGTGCCTCTTCCCGGAGTCAGAATCTCCGACGTCACCAAGGTAATGATGATTCCCACAAATTTATAGCCTGAGTAAGCTACGAGATCCAGTAGCTGCGACTCATTGTTGATGCTAAGAATATACGTGGCCAGCTTTAGACAAAGTATCTCGAATACGATGACCGCAATAGCTGTGGTCGTGATCGAACCAAGCAGTTCGGGGTGGAAGTTGCCTCTAAACCCTGCCAGCATTGCCGATAGGAGGATATATGTGACGAGAGCCATCACCGGAATATACATATCGGGCGAGTTCAGGTCATCGCGAGGGGGCAGGAACATGGTCGAGTATTGCTGATGGGAGATCTGACCATTGGGGCCAGTGGATGCCGCCGTGACGCGGCTTTGCTGACGAGACCAAGGTTTGTGCCTCCAAGGAAAGAGTACCAGAGCGAGTTTATTCAATACATAAGAGTTGGACACATTGAAATAGTGCTTCAGGGCGGGAATGGAAACGTAGCGGTTGAGCTAACACGGATAGTTAGTTGAAAGAACAATCGCCCTGCCCTTGCGTTTTCAATCGCCTACATTCTGTTCCATATATTCTTGGCCGGCCATCATAGCGGTCTTCCCGACCTGAAATCCCATTTGCGCAGTGGGATCGTTGATGAAACCTCCAAATCCAGGGGCGTATGTCCCACTGCCGCCTTGCGCCGGAGCGGGCTGATATGGGTTGCTACCATAGCCAGACGTCTGAGACTGTTGAGATGTTGGAGGGGGAGGAGAGCGCATCATAGGGACGGTGGAAACATGCTGAGGAACCGGATGATGAAGCGGAGGTGACTGTGCTGGCGGCGGAGCGAAGGACTGGCGGTACATGTTTTTGTTTTCCCTAGATAGAGAGAACGGGGAGGGAGAATCAAACAAAATGAGGGTCCAGCTTTAATCAAGGAATGTTTATGTTGCAAAATTGTGCAGAGTCGGAGGGGAGTGAAATAGTTGGTCGGAGTGGGTGTTTATACGTGGCTGAACTCTTGGGGAGGTGGTGAAGTTCGAGCTCAGTAATTGAATTAAATGGCTTTTCCGCCCGCAGGATAATTTCCCCACACTGCGGATCTTCTTGTTCTTCTCCTACAGCTCATCCGTACTACGTACATATATACCACGACGCAATTAATTTAGCAAAGCATATTCGGAAATAATGTTGGAAGCGTTCGAGATTCTCACTACCTCCGGGGTAGTTTTATGGTCCAAGTCATACGCCCCCGTTGGCGCCCACGTTGTCAACAGCCTTATCAATGATGTCTTTATCGAAGAAAAGGTCCAGATCCAAGCGGCGAACGCGGTCTACCCAGTGTACAAAAAGGAAAAGTATACCTTGAAGTGGAAGAGAGTCAAGGAGTTTAATCTGATCTTTGTGGTATGTACTGCTCTTACAGCATGCTGCTATCGCCGCTAATCTCGAGTTCGCCACAGGCCGTGTATCAATCACTTCTGCATCTCGGTTGGATCGACAAACTTCTGGACAATATCTCGACCTTGTTCATCGACATCTACAAAGATCAACTACGGAGTACGCGTGCAAGGGTGGTCGAATATCCCTTTGACAGATATTTCGAACAACAAGTTAGGGAGCTTGAAGACAATTCGGCGCCCATTAATTCAGAGGGTGTCGTGACCAGTGCGGAACAGAAGAAAGACCCGCTTGTCTCATCGGAACATGGTGGCCCTCCACCCCCATCTGTGCCGGGCCTTCTTCAAGGTATGTGCTTTTAGTCCATGCGTTAAGAGGATATACTGACACCTATATAGCGCAGCGTCACGCTGCGCCGGGCGTGGCGACCTCTGATGAGGGTACGCCGCCCCAGACCCCAGATACTTCTCGATCAACCACGCCTGTCGCGAGCCAGATTTTGACCGCTAGAGGAGGACCTGGTGGCCGAGTTTCTCGCCGTGCGCGCAAAGCGGCGAACGCGAGCGCAAACGTTTCATCGGGGGATGAGAGCATCCGCAAGGGAAAGACACCGAAAGGAGGAAAGAAGATGCGCAAATGGGATGCTGATGGATATGCTGATGAAGATGATGGTACGGTTCTGGACTATTCCGCACCTGCTGATGGCGACGAAGCAGCTGCTCCAGCCGTGGAAGCTGTTGCACAGGATTCCTGGGGCCACAGAACTGGGAAAGGACAGTTTGTTCTGAAAGACTTGGGTGATGAGGTTCATTCTATCTTAGAGAATGCGGACAGCGAGAAAGCGAAGAACACGTCCACAGGACTCGTTGGCTCAGGATTCAATGCTATCGGTGGCCTTTTCCGCAACATCGTGGGAGGGAAAGTCTTGACCGAATCCGATTTGGAGAAGCCCCTGAAGGCTATGGAGGACCATCTTCTGAAGAAGAACGTGGCGCGTGAAGCAGCAGTCCGCCTATGTGACGGTGTGCAGCGGGAACTTGTCGGAAAGAAAACAGGAAACTTCCAAAGTGTGGATGCTGCATTGCGCCTGGCCATGGAGTCGTCTTTGCGGAAGATACTCACCCCTACATCCTCACTCGATCTGCTTCGCGAGATCGACACAGTCACATCTCCCACAAGTAAACAGCAATCCCCCCGTCCTTATGTCATCTCCATAGTCGGAGTTAACGGCGTTGGAAAATCGACCAATTTGGGCAAGATTTGCTACTTCCTGTTGCAAAACAACTATCGCGTCTTGATTGCCGCATGCGATACTTTCCGCTCTGGCGCGGTCGAGCAACTTCGTGTCCACGCCCGGAACTTGAAAGAACTCAGTGTCCGCGAAAACGTCGGGCAAGTTGAGCTGTATGAGAAGGGATATGGCAAGGATGCAGCAAATGTTGCCAAGGATGCTGTTGAGTACGGAGCCGCCAACAAATTTGATGTTGTTTTGATCGACACTGCTGGCCGGCGTCATAACGACCAGCGCCTGATGTCTTCTTTGGAGAAGTTCGGCAAATTCGCCAAACCGGACAAGATCTTCATGGTTGGAGAAGCTCTGGTTGGCACTGATAGTGTGATGCAGGCGCGGAACTTCAACCAGGCATTTGGTACTGGCAGAAACCTGGATGGTTTCATTATCAGCAAGTGTGACACTGTTGGGGACATGGTTGGTACACTGGTGAGCATGGTCCATGCAACTGGCATTCCCATTGTATTCTTGGGAGTTGGGCAGCATTATGGAGATTTGCGAGGACTCAGTGTTCCTTGGGCTGTTAGCCTGTTGATGAAGTGATGTGTGCGATGGTCTTAATTTTTCCTTTGTTTATTTAATCAAACTGATTTAATACAAAATCTTTTGAGCGTATGTGTTTTGATCACATTCGCTACTCGCTTGAAAATGCTGCACCTATATCAATGTTCATATTGATCTTTATGATGAATCCGAGACATGGCTTGACTATAAACCCCCATTCGCCGATAGCGTAGAACAATAACACTATTGTTACTACTGGAGGACAAAAGGAGTTATACAAATGAAATAAGGAGAAAAAAAAAATAAAAAGAAAAGAATGAAGGATTAAAAATCTAAAATAGAAGAAGGAGGAAGGAGCAAAGAAAAGAAAGAGAGGGCCAAGGGAATAATAGTAAATTAAAAATTAAAAAAAGAAATTGACCTACGCAGGGATCGAACCTGCAATCTCTTGATTCGTAGTCAAGCGCCTTGCCATTGGGCCAGCAGGCCTTATTGAACAATTGGACCGCAGTCTTGTTAAATAAGGAATTGCGTATATCTTTGCTCACCGCGTAGGCTTCATTGTGAAGGATACTCCACACAGTGGAGCAAACGCGAAAATAAATGTGGATAAAGATCTTTGGCGACAGCCCCAGTTTTGGACAGCATATAAAATGAAAAACCACATTGTTTATGTTTACCTTGTTGTATTGTCATCCTCAGCTTTGTCTTCATGTATCTCATTATTATACTGACTACATATACTCCATACTGGAAGATAGAATCCATTATAGTATGATGTCATGTGCGGAAAATGATATACTGTATGGCACGTGCAGGTCGCGTGGGTAGACAAGAGTCTGGCTTGGCTTGGCTCTTAATTCCATTGTACTGGGTACGTGGTAAGGAAAGGCACTGTACTTGACTGAGGCCTGATCTTTCTCCCAGGGACAAATGCGATCTGAGCCGGGCCAATGACGGGCATCTGCAGGCCATTAACACCAGTCAAATGCTTTGCAATGTTAATTTCAGGGCTTTGACTCCATGCGGGATGAAAGGATGACTCAGCACAATCCCCATTATTGGCTTACATCATCCTCTATATCGGACATTCTTTTCGGCCGTTCCTTGTTCGTTGCCTCTATCTTGATCGTGCTGGATCTCTTTCCTGACCCTTTCCTCACTATTTGCTTTACAGAGCTTGGATTCTGCGCACAGGCATTATCATAGCGTTGTTTTTTTTTTTTTTTTTTTTCCCGGTAGTGGTTGAGGGTCAGGGACATCTTCCTCTTCGTTTTCTTCGCCGCGGCGCCAACGCCACATCGCGAAAGCTTGGAACTCATTCTCAGTGCACCCACTAGGGCCGTTATTGACGGGCTAGTAAGACAAGTCCTTGACCGTGCCGCTAAAATATATGTGCTGAGTACGTTTGGGGGCCCATTACTCTGTGTGCATAACTGCCCATTGTCAAGATGAGGACGTCTGAGCGGGACGCCCTCAATCGGCGCCGTTCCTCCACACTACACTATCAGACCTTCGAGACACCGCCGCCAAAATCGCGTGGTCGACCAAATTCTGGTGAATCGAGATCCTCGGGAGCAGACCATCCCCACGATGAATCCAACCATAACGAGTCAGAAGGACACTCCCCATTGCCAAAGAAGCAGATGGCCGTCTTGGCAATGATCTCCCTCTGCGAACAGACAGCCTTCAATTCGATCAGTCCATACTTACCTGAAATGGCTTCGCAATTTCCTGAAGTGGAGCCGAATATGGTTGGTGTATATGTCGGAACACTTGCTACCGCGTTCGCTGTCGCGCAGTTCGCGACGAATTACTTTTGGGGCTGGTTGTCAGACAGAATCGGACGGAGGCCGGTCATTTTGCTGGGTACCATATTGACGGCAGCATGCTTTGTTGCGTTTGGCTTCTGTAGGACACTGGCTCAGGCAATCGTCGTGCAAGCCTTGATGGGTGCCGTCAACGGCAATCAGGGCTTGGTATCCACTTGCCTGGGTGAAATCACTGATCGGAGTAACCAGTCAAAGGCTTTTGCCTACCTCCCTGTTCTCTATGGAATTGGTGGAATAACAGGTCCTCTAGTGGGCGGCTTGCTTGTCTTCCATCATAACCCATGGAATAGCAGCAAGCCCAATCCGTACCCATACCTCGCACCCAATTTAATGGCTGCAGCGGTTCTGGTGCTGGATTTTGTCTTGTCCATATTTTTCTTGGAAGAGAGTCTTGAAGACCCCGAAAGTCTACCCAGGTTCCAGCAGAGGGTCCGCGATTTCTTCTCCTGGCTGTGGCAGTTTACCAGTCTTGCAAAACGGGCGAGATATGTGCAACCACCACACCCTATCCCGTATCGCCCTTTTCGCCAGGATTCTGCAGAGACAGCGGATCATGACAGCGACCTTGACTCGGCTTCAGAGGCCTCCAGTTATCGTGGTCATCAACACGCCAGTTTGACTTCAAGCGAACTGTTGAACCGGGACACTCTCCTGCTCCTCTTAACGTATCTTGTTTTCTCCCTGGGCAACGTTGCCTACAATGCCCTCTTCCCGATCTTCTCGCAGGCTGCCCCACCCACTGGACGAGGGCTCACACCTTCAGAGATTGGTCTTGCGCAAGGATTTTCTGGTTTCGTAACGATCATCTTCCAGATCTGTATTTTTGGAAAGTTGAGAGATAAGATGGGAAATCGGTGGTCCTACCGCGCTGGTCTCTTTGGCTTTGTGGTCTCCTTCATCCTAATGCCCTTTATTGGCTACAAGGGTAATGATTCCGGAGGGCTGTCTGGTAAAACCGCACTCCTAGCCGTTGAGCTATGCTTCGTGTTGCTGGTAAAGACAATCGCCACTGTTGGTGGATTAACCAGCGCATTGCTACTGGTAAGTCTACCCCTTACATACCCCTGCCATCCAACAACCAAATAATAACAGATTCAACCATAGATCACCAACTCCGCGCCTGACCACGCAGTCTTGGGAGCCCTGAACGGCCTCGCCCAGACCCTATCTGCAGCCGGTCGAGCAGTCGGCCCGTTCGTGTCAGGCGGCCTCTTCAGCCTTTCATCGCGGATCAAGCCCAAAGGAGAAGCCTTAGCCTTCGGCGTTTTTGCTGGCATTTCATTTGTCGGATTTCTCCTGAGTTTCGGCATTCAAGGCCGGTCCCTTGAAGCTGATGACTGGGAGAGTGAGAGCGATCACTACAAATCTGACGACGAGGAACCAGACTCATAGGGGTCGGATCTTCGTTTTGTCGCCATCTAAATACTCCAGTTACGATTAACGAGCTTAGCACTGCTTTGTATGCGGGTCCTGTCTGTATATGTTTGATACGTGATCTTTGTATCTTTTAGCTTTCTTTTCTTTATCATCTTTCTCTTTTTCTGACAAGCGGTAAGCGTTTGGATTTGGAAAGTACAAGTGATTTTTCTTCCTGGGAACCAGGCTTTGGAATCATGGATGTTTGGTCTGTAATCTCACCAGAAGCAACCGATACGAATCGGTTAATAGAGTTAGAATAGACAGCACTGACTTCGATATCTATGTTTTATTTTACATCAAGACTACCAGATAAAGCGGTACATTCGATCCTACAAATGGTATCCAGAGAGTAACTATTGGCTATTACAAACTCAAAAGACAAAATGCTAGACAAGACAGCAGTAGGTGATCGTTATTTCAAGCGAATATAGGAGAGACATTTCCATGACGTACAAATCAAAACCCCCCTATACAGAGACATATATATCATTCCTCACGTTAACCGCTTGAAAAGGGTCAACAAACATCCCCCTCTGGCCCTTATTTCCATACCCACTCGACAACGTGCATAAACACCTCTCCCAAAAACCCGGTAAGAAGCAATCCCTGCGCGAACTCAATCAGTTCATCATCGGGTAACTCTAGCGCTCGGAACCGTTCTTTGTCGCCGCCCCCACCGCGCACACTGACTCGCCTCTCGATGATGGATTTGAGCATTTCTCTCCCCGGGGTGACGAGCACATAGCGGGCTTGGGGCTGGGACATTTCGGAGGGTACGTAGACAATTGCTTCTTGTCTTTCTGGGGAGAGCCATCGGACACCCTTGAGGTCGGCTGTGGAGGAGGTTGACGACGGAGAGGTGGATCTACTGCTGGAGTCTCCTTGGTTGGAGGCTAGGAGAGGATTATCGATGGTGGCGTATTGGATATCGCAATCGAGAGAGAAGAGGATTACCGTGTTTGTGTCGGAGTTGAGCTTCATTCGGAAGGTTGTGAAGTTCCGGGGGTCGAGGTAGAAGGTGTAGCTGGCTGTTACGTTGACGGATTTGGTTTTGTCGACACGGCGGATTTTGGAGATGGCTTGGTCGCGTGCAGAGGTGGGACATTTGGCCTTTACGGCGAGGGACTTGGATTCCCGGAGGGAGACGGATGGGATGCAATAGGGGAAATGGGTTTGGAGGGCTTGCTTTTGGCAGATTTCATTACAGAAGCGGAAGATATTGCAGGCTGTTAGGGGGGCGTTAGTGGTGGATAATGCTCGGGGGTGGAGGAGGGACTCACTGTTACAGAGAACTTTCGTGGTAGTTCCGCAGTTCTCACATTGAGCTGGTTCATGTAGTGACCATGCTTTTCGTTCTTCGGCGAGAATGTCCCGTCGGCGGTTGAGGTCTGCGATTCGCCTATCCGCGTATCCAATTCTTTTCCGTGAGGGGTGATCCGCTGGTGTTCTATTGGCCATATGGATGAGCTGCTTGTATGCAAGAATCGCCTTGTCGATGGAGTCGAGATGCTCCCGAGAGACACATAACGCACTAAGCGCATCAAAGGTCTCCGAGGCTTCCGGGCCTTTGATGGTCAAGAAGTCCTCGACTAGTGCTTCGAAAAGCTCTGCTGCGTCATGGTTGAGGCCATTATCCATGTATGATCTCCCTAGATGGTGAATGACTTTCAGGGAGTCTGGATCTCGGGATCGCTGGTAGTGGTCGAGAATGTCTTTGATCTCAGTGGGAAAATCAAAATTGTTAGAATCTTGGAAATACCGGACAACTGCGTCTCTGGTAATAGGGCTGTTGATGCCGAAGAATGTTCTGCAGTGCGGAATGGCCTTGTTGCTTATTGCGCGGGACTCCTTGCTCAAACGAAGTTTCTGATATAAGATAGATAAATGATTCATCGCGTTCAATGTCGCCGCATGCTGGAGACCGAAGACGGTTTCGAGTGCTGGAACCACCTTCTCCAACAAGAGCAAGGCAGCTTCCAGGTCACCTAGTAAAACCTTCAGAGAAGCAAGATCCTGCATGCTACTCAGGGTCTCAGGCGCATTGTGCCCGAGCATCTTCAATCGACCTGCGAATGAGCGTTCATATAATGCCGCTGCTTCTGTGGCGTATCCGTCTCTCTCGTATAGAGCCCCAAGGTCATGCAGAACAGAAAAGTTCTTAGGGTTATCACGCCCAAGAGCCCGCTTATATAGTCCTAAGGCCTCCAGGCAACAGGCTTCCGACTGGACAGGCATGTCCAGGTTGCGATATGCCTGTCCCATTGAATGCAGAATGGTAGCTCGTGACAGTTTGTCAACATCGAGCGATGGAGCAGTTTCCAGCATTTTCAGGGCGTCATGATATTCCACTACAGCTGCTCGACAATTTGCTTGCCTCAAAGATGCCTCTGCTCGCAGTCGGATCGTTAGAGCTTGTGACCAGACAGTAGCGGCTGCAAGCTCATCCCTCAACTGCGAAAATAGTCGTGCCGCCTCGTCCATTTGAAGTATTCTTTGACGTCCAGATGCATCGTGGACTACAATGCCCCCGGATACATACTGTACATGAATGTATATGTTTTGAGTTTCCCGCAGTAAGGCAACGTATTCGGCATCCTGAAGGGGTGTTTGATTTGCCTGCTGTCTGAATTCTGCTGCCCTTTCCATCTCTACCGAAGTCCGTACGCTCTCAAGCGTAGCTGCCCTACTTTCGCTCCTTGAGTATTTGTTGACAAAAGAGAATCGTATACTGTTTGCTTTTTTGATCAATTTCTTGCGTCGGCCCGATGTTGAACGCGCGCGTGATATACCTGACTTGCATGAGTGCTTAAATTCTTATGAGGGGGTCTGTTACGTACCCTTGGAGACTTTCCGGCCAAGGATTTTCTCCAGGAAGGACTGTCTGCGAGGTGTCGCTTCGTTTTGGCTGTCATCCAGCAGTTCACCATCAGAGCCGTGCGTATCATGCCCATGATGTTCATTCTCACAGAGAGCTAGACCAGAGCTCTTCGATCCGTCTGCTGGTACTTCATTGATTGCTAGCCAGCGATCAGTTAGCCGGCCTACTTCCCGATGAGTACAGCTCATTTCAAGGTCATACCGCTCGAAGTGACACTCGTCACTGACTGACCGGGATGTTTCTCTGTCATGCCGCCTTCAAAGGGCTGATAGAGGCCGTTTGGAGCGTGCACTATATGGCACCTCAGCAACACAAAGCACAAAGTTCAGGCACCGAGTACAGACATACCTCTTTCTAAGTCATACAAACCTGCAAAGCTGATTGCCACTAGCTCATCTTCGTCACTCTGTGAAAACTCTCCCTGAGGTCAGTGATGACCGCCGGCTGTTTGTAGAGAGGAGCATACTTCTGAGCGACCATGAGTCTCGTATCTTTTTGGCCTTCTTTGCGATCGACGGTTCATGAGGGTTTGCCGCTGCCGGGGACTTGACGCCTCGGGAGTTCATTTGAGCAATGCTAGGACTTCGGCTGTTGATGGGACTTGCAATGTCCCTCTGAATATCTCGGAAGCTTATGTCGTCCCGGGGATCGTTCAACAGAGGTTCATATCTATGGACCGTTATGTCAGAACATTTTTGTGCATAAATGCTTATAGCCAAGTGAGCACGGACGAGATGTTGCACTTTTCTCCACAATGTCTGCATTGGACGTACGATGGGGCATCTGTAAACCTTGTTAATCACACATTCTGAATACAAGGGCAGTATGTCCTACGTTGGTGTCTATCTAGAGGTTTACCGTCGTCGACGGCAAAATGTCTCTCGCAACTACCGCAGTAGAATCGAATTGGTCGCGAATCTAGTGGAATAAATCGCTTTTCCATACGATAGCCTTTTGTGATTAAACTAGAACCAAGCAATTAGCAGAGGTGCGGAAAGCGATTGAATGACCTACCGATCTCGTGTCATCACATATACAGCAACCGCCGTCCCAGGACAGTACTTGGTCAGGTAATGCTGCTTCAATTCCTTCCTATCAGCCGGTCAACCAAAAGTCATCTATCGCCCACAGGCGATGTAAACCCACTGGGAGGAAAAGACCGCATCACAGTCCGGGCATCGGATATCGACCGCCCCAAGAATAGCACCGTCGTCATCTCGGAACGGTGGATACAAGCGAAGCACTTCCTGGAAGTTTTCAACGGCAACCGATGGTTCCTGCGTATCTATTACTCCCATTCATGCTTGATTAGCTCCCCATAAAGTATCCCTCATGCATCAATATGTAGGTAACCGGGAAGCAGCATACCGCTCGTCGATCTGCCCGCTAAGGATAGCAGAACATCGGAAGCTCGTAGGATACGCGTTTTTGATCCTAGCCTCGTCGTTTGTGATGCATCACTCAAGACAATGTGCTTCTCCAATTCTCGCCTCGTGTCGCATGGCAATTTATCATCAACAACCCTATTCAATCGTTATGGACCGTCAGTAGGCAATTGGCCTGTATTCAGGGTGGGGAAAGCTCACCGATCTACGGTAGGTGACTGATAACGATCGTACTGCATGGTCATCATCATATAGAGGGGAGAAAGGGAGGAAGGCAGGGAAGAGAAAGCGAAAAGGAAAAAAAGTCAACAAGCAGGCCTGTGCAAAATGCAAGCACTCGAGGTTCACAGTCGTGAGGGTCGTCAAGCTCCAGAGACCGGGTGAGGCGTCATTTTCAATGAACTGTAGGATCTACCAGCGCGCATATGCGGGTCGATTTGGCGGGTTTTCGACTTCTCCATGGGGGCAGCCCATGGTCAACGGTTATGCCGCATCATTTCCCCTGTTTCAAGGTGGGAAATGGCAAAGTTTCGGGTTCTTTCATCCCTCGCATCCCAGCCGAACAAGCGGGTTTTGGGGGGTCAATGTTAAATGACAAGGAACAGGTCCCGAGTCTAGATGAAATGATTGACTGATGCATTCTGTGCGAAGATGAAAGGGTCAGTTGATTCGCCCTAATGCGATGGCGAACGTCGGCCGCGAACCCAACGGACGCGACAAGAACGTCCTGCAGGGAGATCGACCAGTAACAGTTTACCTTCATATTTTTCTTCTATCCTCGTTTCGCTCCCCTGCGCAATAAACAATGGGCCCCCTTGCGTCGAACTTGGTCAGAGAAGCGTCCATAGTGTTCTTCTGCTCACCGCAGGATCTCCGTGGGGTGTGAACTGTCTGTCTTCATTTTGTGTTCTGCTCCTTTCCCCAGTGAAATTCATGATAACCTTTTCACATTGCAATCGGAACAATGGAATTGGCGTCTCACCTGTCATAATCTGGCAGGGTATGGGTTCTTTGACTTTTCTCGCCGATGATCGCCACGCATACCCACCAACCAAGGTGACAGGTCACAAATGGGCACCCTTCCCGTTGATGGGGTTCAATAATTGACATAGTTTAGCAATAGTTACATCGGAGAATTTTCTGGTCCCATTGCTCGGGTCATGGCTATTGTAGTCTTTGCAGAGGGCTGAGCACGACGCTGGCCAGCAGGCGAACTCGGAGATTGTTTGGTCTGGAAGGAAGCATCCTTGAGGAGATCATGTAAATTTACTAGTCAGACCACGTGAATTGCATGGAATGAAATACAACTGGAATAAATGAGATTGAACATTCCAATTGAAAAGCTCAAGAAAGAACGCCATTCTCCTCTACTTCAATTAGGGCAACTTCAATCCAATTAGCCTTTAGCCCTATTATCCTATTAAAATTCTAGTCAGTAGTAACCCGTCAATCAAGGGCGTCAAATTGTCAATTACTGGCGGTAAATTCCGGATAATTCCCCAGAGGTCCAAGCCCAGTCCTCCTTCGTCTACAATACTTACGACGATTCGAGTAAGGGCAGGGAGTTAGTAGTTCTCTAGGAAAGAAACCGAGCTTTGGTGGAGACGGACTCCCGATATGTAAGGCCGATAAAGACAGACTCACCTCTCCCGATGACGAAATTCATACCGAGTAAAATAAACAAGGAAGCAAACAACAGTATTCTAAATGACAGAAGTAATCCAGAATAGATCTTGACGAATGCCAATGGCTCGAAATCCCCATTACTCATCATGTTTTGTATTTCCTCTCGGCGAAATATAAATGAGAAGAACAGTTCGATGTCAACGTGACGTTCCTCAGCCCTGCGACGTCATTTTGACGTGCGGGACCCATCACAACATCCATTCAGAAGTTTTTCATTACTGTCAAACAATGAGTATAAAAATCTGAAGAAAAAGTAGATTGCACATTATATACTAGTAGTAAAGGTACATCTTTCTTCTTTCATGCAAGGAATGACTGTTTCTTGAACATAGCCTGTATCCTCCGACTTTAATCTATCCTTTGACCATATCTATCGTCCCTACTCAATCATGGCCAATATCGTGGCTGGGGGCCTCCACAAGGTCCAAGAAGCAGTGCAAGGCGCTGCTTCAAAGGATAAGAAGCTAGTGGACCTAGCACCCGACACCCACAATGTACAGTCCAGTAAGGAGCCACTGACCACTGATCATGGCGTGCGCATCAGCGATACGGACCACTGGCTGAAGGAGGTCAATGATAACCACACCGGACCTATGATGCTTGAGGACCAGATTGCACGAGAGAAGGTAAGATTCCCCCCAGATCGGTATCAACCAGAAGTATAGATTTGACTAACCGCAACCCCAGATCCATCGTTTCGATCATGAGCGCATTCCCGAGAGAGTCGTCCATGCGCGTGGCACCGCTGCTTTCGGAAACTTCAAGCTCCACAAGAGTGCTGAAGATGTATCATACGCTGGTATCTTGACGGATACCTCTCGGAACACTCCGGTTTTCCTTCGTTTCTCCACGGTCCAGGGCAGTAAAGGAAGTGCCGACACGGTCCGTGACGTTCGTGGGTTTGCCGTGAAATTCTACACCGACGAAGGAAACTGGGATCTGGTTGGAAACAACATTCCCGTTTTCTTTATCCAAGATGCGATCAAGTTCCCCGATTTCGGTACGTATCTCTTCCCAGCTAAGGGAGTGTAAGGCTGAAGAGCTAACAAATGTAGTCCATGCCGTCAAGCCCGAGCCGCATAACGAAGTGCCTCAGGCTCAAACTGCTCATAACAACTTCTGGGACTTTGTCTATCTTCACCCGGAAGCCACCCACATGTTCATGTGGGCCATGTCTGACCGGGCCATTCCTCGGTCATACCGTATGATGCAGGGTTTCGGAGTCAACACATTCAGTCTCATCAACAAGGAAGGAAAGCGTCATTTCGTTAAATTCCACTTCATCCCCCACTTGGGCGTACACTCATTGGTGTGGGATGAAGCCCTGAAACTGGCAGGCCAGGACCCCGATTTCCATCGAAAGGATCTCATGGAGGCCATTGATAACGGCGCATACCCGAAATGGGACTTTGCTATCCAGGTCATCCCTGAGGAAAAACAGGATGACTTCGAGTTTGATATCTTCGACGCGACGAAGATCTGGCCTGAGGAACTCGTGCCTCTGCGCGTGATCGGTGAACTGGAACTGAACCGGAACGTCGATGAGTTCTTCCCTCAAACCGAACAAGTCGCATTCTGCACCAGCCACATCGTTCCCGGCATTGACTTCAGTGACGACCCGCTCCTCCAGGGTCGTAACTTCTCCTACTTCGACACCCAGATCAGTCGACTGGGCATCAACTGGGAAGAAATCCCCATCAACCGCCCCGTCTGCCCCGTCCTGAACCACAACCGAGACGGCGCGAAACGCCACCGCATCGCCCAGGGCACCGTCAACTACTGGCCGAACCGGTTCGAGGCCGGACCACCAGCACCAGTAGAGCAGGGTGGCTTCGCGTCCTACCCTGCTAAACTGAATGGTATCAAGAAGCGCGGCTTGAGCCCCAAGTTCCGCGAGCACCACAACCAGGCTCAACTCTTCTACAACTCCCTCTCTGAGCACGAGAAGGTCCACGTTAAGAAGGCCTTTGGCTTCGAACTGGACCACTGCGATGACCCCGTCGTCTACGAGCGTCTTGCCGGCCACCGTCTCGCTGAGATCGATCTCACTCTTGCCCAGCAAGTTGCCGAGCTCGTCGGCGCCCCGATCCCAGATAAGGCGCTCCGCCCGAACCATGGAAAGCGTAGCAAGCACCTCTCGCAGACCGAGTTCCCGGGCAAGCAGCCGACGATCGCTAGTCGTAGGATCGCCATCATTATCGGCGACGGGTACGACCCCGTCGCTTTCAATGGTCTCAAGGGTGCGATCACGGCGGCTGGAGCCTTGCCATTCGTCATTGGCACCAAGCGGTCGCCTATTTACGCCGATGGGGAGGACAAGTCATCATCCAAGGGCGTGATCGCTGACCACCAGTACGACGGCCAGCGCTCGACAATGTTCGACGCTACCTTCATCCCTGGCGGTCCGCACGTCGAAAGCCTCAAGACCAATGGCCAGATCCGGTACTGGATCATTGAGACATTCGGCCATCTCAAGGCTCTGGGCGCCACCGGTGAAGCGGCAGCTTTCATCAAGGAGGCTCTGGGCTCCACGCTTCATGTGAAGGTCGCTACGTCTGATAATCCCCAGCCTGTTGAGTGGTATGGTATTGTCACGGCTGGTAAGATCCAGAAGCCCGAGAGCATCAAGGAAGGTATCCAAATTGTCAAGGATGCAAAGGATTTCATCGGCACTTTCTTCTACCAGATCAGCCAGCACCGGAACTACAAGCGTGAACTGGATGGTCTCGCTTCGACAGTTGCATTCTAATTGCTTTCGTCTTTGGGTGAGGGCATGGGGGGTTGTGTTAAGGGTAAAAGTGGCGTTTTAGTTCCATGTCATCCTGTAATGAATTATGTCTTAATTGTGGATGGTCAGAATGTATTCTAATTAATATGAGTCATGAAAACACTCTATTCTAGTTGTCAAAGTGAAATGGCGTGGAAAGGTAGTTTATCAAACTTATCCTGAGGTATCTAATATACAACATCTTTGGTATGTAGGAGAAGGTAACTTAAGAAAGGATCGTACATAGTGGGTATCATAATCTGGTACAGCGTCAAGGCTCGGGCTGAAGCGATGTGTGAGAGCAAATGTTTCATAATCAAAAAGGGCGCACGGCGCCTCTGCTTTCGAAACGGCGTTATATAGTTCGTTGTAAGTCATATGATCCGAAGGAAAGATAAAATCGAAATGAGTGTACAAGCGATATGCTTCGTCGTGTTTCGTATATGACTTTCAGGCCCATCTCCAGACAGAATTCATGGATTCTGGGCTAGCGATAACCGAAGATAAGAGACTGTTGCTGCGATATGCTCGCATAGAAATGACATTGCTGTTGCGTTGGTAATTCTGGTGCTCCCTGATAAGTAGAGATACTGCAGCATTCGCGTTGATCCCTTCTCCGCTATCTGTGACTTTCAGCGCCCATTTGGCGTCTTCTTCTTGGAAACCCAGCTCGCGGACCATCATGTCGATAGCCTGATCTACAGGGTCGCGGACCTGCGGTTGTGGGTGCGTGGCAAGCGGCGGCGGTCGGGACTTGACTAGATATTGGCTGGTCGGCGGACCACCATAAGCAACGTAAGATGTCATCGTTGGCGGTGCAGGCATTGGCGGACGTTGCTCGTATGGGACACCTTCAAGGCGGCTCATAATAAATGAGTATTTCGAGATGGGGCGTTCGTCTGAAAACGAGTGGGGGCCTGCGTTCGGTGGCCGTCTCCGTTGGTTTCGTAACTGGTCAGCGTAGGCTGCCTGTCTCCGACGTTCATTCT